AAACTAAATAAAATGTATGACTCGATTGTATAGGCAGATAGCTGTTACATATATTCTGTATTCATGTATAACAAAGGCTCTATTATTTTACATAACAGATAAAATATTATGGAAGCATGTGATTGGCTTTGTGTTAATAAAAAAAGTTAATTAATTTAAAACTTTTTGAGTCATAACTTTAATACTAGAACACAATGTCCAAACAAAAAGAATATCTAAATAAAAACTTATATAATATTAATAAGGTAACGTGAAATATTTTCTAACTTAAAAAAAAACCTTGTGTTTTAATTAATATTTATTATGTTTATCTGGTTAAATTTCAGATATAAATACATTTATTTATATAAAAGAGTACAAAATACAGTAACTTGTATAATAAAAAGAAGTTATTTATCTAAATCATTAAATATAACATAAAGAACTAAAGAAAAAATGATCGTTAAAATAAAAAAATTCAATTCGTTACTGAATATAAATAGTAAACTTTTTAACCTTTCAAGCTATTGACTCTTTTCGCAACGAATTAACAGTAATCTATATATAAAATACTAATTTCATTGTATAACAATATTAATTAATAATATAAAATACTAAATATAGAAAAATCCTAATTTTAATTAAAATTTAAAGTCAAAAGGGCAAAGAAGATCATAGAAAATGTGATGGTACATAGTTGAATTTTTCATTGTCGAAAATCGAGCTATCCCACGCTCCGTCAATTATGCTAATTGAGCTTAATACAGAGATTAATGGAAGTCGAAGCCACAAACGGCTACTAACTTTACATCTACTATGCGAGTCATCCTCTGCTTTTTCATCTATTTCTATTATGTGAAATATTGTATATAAAACTGCTCCATAATGTTATCGCTTCTGACGTAAAACATTATAGTTTTCAGTGGACACTACTTTTAAGTTCTTTGATTATGAGCATTATTTTATTTATAAATATGTATTGGGTTATCAAACTATACTTCTATATACTTTTATATATATATTCACAAATAAGTTTATGATTATAGAATCTGGTGACAACAATATTTTCATATGAATTGAAAAATTGTTCTAAATTCGTGTTTTGCCCTAAAGAAATGATTAAATTCGCATATACTAAGAAGACAAATTCTAATTTTTATTTGTCTATTAAATTTTATTATTTATAAATATATTTATCTACGTTCTTTAAACAAACTTTTAATATTACAGAATTTTGTTACTGTATATAAGTAATTTCGAACGATATTAAGCTCAGAATAAACAAGCATTTGATTCGTAAAATTTCATTAATATTTATATAACTCAACGATCCTAGTCAATGAAATATATCTTTGAAATATATCTGTATTTATGAAAGCATCAATAATATCCTAGATTAATCTAACTTTAAACTAACGAACAATTATTAATCGCAATCTGAACAATGAATATAAATTTGATGTAAAGACGAATAACTTATTGATCAAAATAAAATATATAATATATTCAAAATAATACAAAAAATCAATACCATATGACAACATATATTTGTCAATTGAATGAAAAAGGTTAAAGAGAACAACTAATTACTATTTATTTAGGAAAGGATAGGGGGACTTTTCTATCTAAACTGTGTATGGAGTGTGCGAACGCATATGCAAATAAAATGACATCCAACAGCAAATATATGCTACTGAGAGATAAGATTGACCTTAAATAAACTATAAGGGATGCAAAATAAATGGCAAAGTTGCAATAAATAAAACTATAATGTAAATTAATCAATACTATCTTATTATAATAATATTTAACTTCTTTCTGGTTTTTTACTTTTTTTAATTTTTTTCGATTATTTTCATTAATTATTTACATTGAAAATTTCTATAATGTAATAAAAAACTGCTAATATTACTATGAAAATATACTTTTATACTATTAAAAAATATATTATTAATAAATTTCAAAGTAATTCATAATTTTCTAATGTATTATAGAAAATTTTATTATTAATATTTTTAAGTATTAATATTTTATTAATATTTTTAATATTTATTCTTAATAGTGAGAATAATTATAACAATCGTTTTTGGGATAGATAAATTTACATTAATTTACTTTATCAACTAAAAGAAAAAGAAAAAAAATCTATATAAGTAATATTGAATTAAAAAACTGTACTAAAAAATAACTGATTAAAAAATTTGTTAGTAACCTGATTAAAAAATATTCTAATTCGACTATAAGAATCTCATTAACTATCATTAAAACAATTTAAGCACTAAAATTGTTCCTACATTTTTTAGTTTAATTGATGTTTTACAATAAAATTCAATTAATAGAAAATCTTGTTCTATTCAATTTTCAATTAGAATTATTGAAATATGTAAAGTATAATTGCGGAGAACCTAAAAATGGCAATAACATTAATTGTAAATTTAAGGAGGTCATGAAATAAATAATTATTGCGCAACAGAACAATACGCAAAATTTAAGGAATATAATAATAGCTATTGGTCTATAAAAATAAACTAAATGAATAAAGTATTATGAAAAAGAAAATGAAGCGTAAAAATATTTTAATAAAAACAGACATCCCAAGCGCTGCTCTTTTGGATTATAAAATCAATACGTTATAATGTTGAACTCCAAGATTTGTTATTTACTACATTTTTTGACAATCCGAGATTCATTTACTAGCTTTTTCGCTCATTCGAGATCACGCGAATCATAGGTCAGTTCCTAGTCAGCGGCGTTCACCTTTGTTGACCCGACTTTGTAAATAGCATTACTACGCAGTTACAGTTACAAACTCCACGTTTTCGTGAAGTTATCGAGAGCCAAGTTGTCGATTTTGTAATTTACGTACATGCCGATGTGAGGAGAGAAAAAAAGCCAATATCCGAGTGCAACATATATACAACTTGATATTTCCAAGACAAGTTTCGTTGAAATTCGTCTTCTCCCGCGAATGATTATACAGTATCTACAGAATCTGGTCCATGGTTCTTTACTATCTCCCGTCATATATTAAAAATATTACATTTTTTAAATACTCTCTTCTAATTGTGAAAATTAGTTTTATATGACATATTGTGGATAGTATTGTTGTGGAACGCAATGAAACACTAATGAAATAAATTTTTATTAAATTTATTTAATTAAAATAATAACTTATGCTCTTTATTTACTTATTAAAATAAATAGGCATTTTGAGCTCTACGAATCAAAAGCTTTAAGCTTTTAGATATTTTTAAATAAAAAAATGTAATTCCGCTACGATGAGTTTAATTTAAAAACAGACGATTTCCATAGCATTCATAAAGACAAAAATATACATACGTTCAGTTACATTTAAACCTTGATTCTTTCAACATATTATAATACAACAAACGAGATAGTAGAAAAAAGTAAGATTTACTCTTCATTTACATGATAATACATTTTTATTACTATATTAATACTATAATGAAGAATACTATTACAATTAATTACAGTTAATTAGAATCAGATGCTACTTCTCTATATATGGTATTAAACTCGATAAACATACTCACTTCATAATAACTCATTGACGAATTCTTATTTTAAGGCAGTGATCCTTAGATCCTAGCAATAACTATAGCGAATAAATAATTTTTAAAAAATATTGATAGAACGTAGATAGAGGACCAAACATTGAAAACTTAATTTTCGTTTTTTTCAGCATATTACATTCATTGCCTTCTATGGTTTCTACTTAATTTATACGGTGACCTCAAAATTACTCTTGAAAATTATCTGACTGATTTTCATGTAAGAAAAGTTGTTTAAATATATTCCTCGACATTTTACGAGAATTATACTTCTAAGCAACTGATCACATAATTTGTAGTAGCTATCTGTTATATAAATTTGTTAAGATTAAAAGACTTTCCACTTAATAAATAATTGTATATAAAAAAAAAATTATTTAATCGAAACATTTATAAAAATAATTAAATATAACATTATTTATAAATTTAAAAGTAAAATGATTTAATTTCAAATATCATTGCAAAATTGAACAAATATTTCATTAGAATATGCAATATATGCAAAATTTATTGACACGAGTAAATGTAAGTAACACTTACAGTAGTATGTGTAAAAGTTGATTTTTTTAGTTAAAGAATTTATAGATAATTTCTTAATTATATAAACAAAATTAATATCTTGTGAATATTTAAAATAATTTAATGACTAACATTTATAGCTATAGTGATCTCAAAAGTTATTTATGCAGTTTAATAATATTATTTATTTAAAACTAAATAATTAAATAATAATTACAATGTGTGATTGATAAAATTTAATCTTTAATTGTTGAATTATAAATAATATTTTAATAAAAAAATTTTTAAATTAATTTATCATTTTTTATAAGATTTTTATAAGATTATTTCATTGTATTTGAATATACAATATATGAATTGAAATGTTAGTAATATTAATTACAATTATTTAAATTTCAAATAGTACAAATATATAAGACATTTTTAAGTATTGATAATCATTTTATAAAACAATAATGATCAGATATTTGTATAACTGGCTTACACATAAACGGCAAATAAATTCTTTAACGACTGAAAATTAGTTTCTTTTATTGACCTTAGCGTACTGATTTTTTTGAAACTTGCAAAAATAATTCACCGAATATAATATTTTAAAAGGAATATTATAATATGATCCACAGAAATAATCAATATATTTTTTCTACGAGAATCTTATAAAATTATGCAAATATGTACTATCTTACCGACTTAGCCATGTCTTAACCACCTCTATGCATATAAATCTACTCAAAACTACTAATATTAAAGGAAGGAGAAGGCCAGTATCCTAGTTCATGGAAAGCACATAGATAGAGCGAATGAGAGATGGGGGAGAAAGAGAGAGAGAGATTGAGAGAGAGAGAGAGAAAGGTGAAAGGCAAAGTCGACGCTGAAACGTTCGTATATAAAAAAGAAACGTTCCAAGTGAGGCGGAGAGTCAAGAGGCAACCATCCGACTTGTCATAAGAGATCGGCGTCTCATCTGCTCGACATCACTGTGACTTCTCTTTATCTTGCCGTCGCAAATGAATGAGGTAAAGGAATACTTAGAGGCGCACGAATTGCAGACGCGTGACGCTGCAGATATCATCGAGGAATTTGGTGATGAGATCAATACAATGCATGGCAAGTGCATCGATATCGGTTGTGGTCCGGCCTCTGTTACACGGGAGCTTTTCATGCAGAAACTGCCTGCTGATGCGACCGTCATCGGTAAGTACGAATGAACACAAAAAAGAACGGGGAATAAATTAATGCACATTTACATAATCGATAACTCTTATACGTTTGCCTTCTCTTTAGTAACTTCATACGGCAGTTTGTTAATGTATTTGTTAATCATATCATTAAGCAATTTATATTTGAGCTTTTACAAGCGAACCTGATAATTCATCTCGGCCTTCTTGATCATAAATCAATAACATATTATATGAGAGTTTAGAATTACAAGTTACTTTCATCATTTTAAAAATGTACATTTTTACAGAATAATTTTTTGTCGCAATAATGATATCCAACAACGGATGTTTATTAACTTTTAACCAACCCTTCATAAAATTTCTTTAACTAGTACAGTTATGTGATCATATTATATAAGGTTATGCCTAACATTAAACATAATTTTATTTCATTACATTGTAATACAAATTATTTATATATAAATTTAAAAATGAAACTTGTATCCAATTAATTTAATGTACAAACATCTTGAAAAGATATCTCGCAATAAATCATATTTATAATTCGCCATCTACTAATAAATATCATAAAAAATTTGAAATATTAAAAAGACTTCGAAAGGCTTATAATTTCCCTAGTCAGTATCACGTTTCAATAACTAATATATATTGTTAAATACATTGTATATATAATAACGTAAAAGAAGAGTTTAATTATATTTTGAATAATTAAATGAAAAAGAACTAACTATAAAGATAGTAATAAAAATAAAAAATGCTTATTATTTGCGTAGAATTTATAACAAAACCTTGCAGTTAGATATATCATCCTTATACTAAAAAAATAACACCGGTGTACCGTAAATAAATACAAAGATTTAATCAATTAAATATTAATTATGTCAATTTAATTTTACACTAATAATAATCATTTTAATTATTTAGTTATGCGTGCAATATATCAAAGTTTCATAAAACTTAATAAAAATTATTTTATGCTCATTTTATTATATATGCTAGTTTTAAGAGATTTTCGAAAGTATCAATATTAAAATTAAGGTGTTTGTTTACTAACTGCGTTTACGTCAAACAAATTTTGATATTGAAAGTATATACTGTTTAATATATATTTTTTTATACTAATTTAAATAAAATTTATAGAAAAAATAATTTTGATAAATATATCAATTTTTCTTTATTTTTCATTAAAAAAACATTGTCAGAAGAATAAAAATATAATTCAATTAAAATTAAATAAAAATAATAGAACTTTTTATGAAACGGATTTTTTTAGATCGCCATATTATAGTTACATATCACTCATTTTCGCTAAGATATTTATCTTATCTTTATTTTTTCGAAACAATGTAAAGAACAACCGCATGTACTTTGTAGTTTTAATAATTGAAAACTTCTGTAGCTTCAAAGGCAACATAAATAAATTTTCATTTTCATCACACTCATATCTATATAACTATTTAATTTTTTATTATAAGCATACTATTAAATCTTTTAGTCATGTTAAGTATTGATTGACAATGAAGCAAATATTCTGTGAACCAATCCATTGGATTAAAACCTTTATTATGTCTATTATTGTCTATTATGATCCCGTCTCCCCAAATATAATCTTAATTTCTTTTATAATATTTTTATAATAAATCTGATTAACTCATATTTTTAAATATAAACTATTAAAAATTTTAATCTTCTCATATAATCCATATATAAGATTACATTTAAATTGGTGAAATATTGAATTTTTAATAAATGATCAAATTTAGTATTTATTTTTAAATCATAATTATCTATATATTATTTTGATTTCTCTATTGAAAGAGTTAAGTTTTTTAAATAATATTTGGTTTCAAAATGATTAAAAATTTCCAATAAATTACTATTTGACTTTCGCTTTTATTACAAAAAATTCGTATATTATTGGGTTCTAGTTAATAGTATGAATATGTTTTGTAAATAATGCTATTTATCTATAAAAATTCTCAACAAATATTATTGTGAAAGATAACTTAACTCCTATGTGAAAAATTCAAAATATCTAATTGACATAACAACATTTGTCGATATGATAAGTTTTATAATTTTATGGAAAGATTTTTTTATTACAACATAAATTATTACTTCTATAAAAAAACATTAAAATCGTACTTATTAAAAAAATATTTATAACTTATAATTACTACCAAATATATCCATAAAAATAAATCATTATTTATTGCAATACTTCTGATTTTCCTTTATTTTTATTTTATAAATAATATTATATTTAAAATAATTTCAAGTAACAATGGCAGATTAAATAGTAGTTTTGAAGCTATACAAGCAAGTTATTGAAGTATTAATTCAAACATATTCAATAAAGTAAAAATTTATTTAATAAATTAAAATAGAGATTAATAGTTTAATTATAAAAAAATTATTTTTGTTACTTTCAATTATAAAGTTATATTAATAGACTTCGATAAATCAAATGATATGGTAAACAATAATATCAAATTATTGTGTTTTAAAAAAATTATGTTTTATCTAGTTATTCTAAAACAATCAAAGTTCGTACTATACATGGAATTGTATATTAAATATTCATGAAAATTCTTGGAAAATAAATCTATATTCTATTTGATTCAATTGATAATTATTTTTTAATACTTTGATGAACTATAGTTTTAATAAAGTACCGATATAAAAGCTACACTTTTATTACAATAGAAATAAAATCTGTTAATATTTCATAATGTAAAAAAGATTTATACATAATTAATTATAATTTATATATATCAAAAAAAAAATTTTAATTTAATATTTTTCAATACTCAGTGTAAAAGATAATTTCTTTTGTAAAATATTGTCAAACAAATTTACAAAATATGATATTTCTCTAATTGTGGTTATAAAATTTTTTTTATATGAATCCTTTAATGTTTACCAATTTCTTTGTATCTCATATATATATATATATATATATATATATATATTTGTAGCTTATTTTTGCTCATGTAAACAATTTGTAGATTATGAATAATGTATTAACATAAATTTGCATTAACAAAAGTTTAATAACATTTTCTTATATACCTAATAAATTTATGAAATAACAGTTAATTTAGACTACTATATTTCCTTGTAAATTAAAATGTTTATCAAATAAACTTCATTTGTATTAAAATGAAACTCAATTTCACATATTTATAAAATAAATGAATGGTATTTGTTTTTCATATTTTAGGTAGTGATATATCCAAAAAAATGATCGACTATGCAAAAGTTACGCATGCTGACGAAAAGCGACTTTCATTTATTGAATTCAATATTGAAGTAGAAAATCTTCCCTCAAATTTAATAAATACGTACGATAATGCCGTTTCATTCTATTGCTTACATTGGTGTCAAAATACTAGGTAAATATTAAATATAATATAAAGATATAAAATAAAAGGTAATATCCATATTTCTAACAACTTGCTGTACTATTACTGTATATTGATTTATTATATTAAATTATTAGACTAAACATTAATCATGTATATAAAAACTATCTAATAAAATTGATTATTTTTATTTTAGGAAAGCGTTTGAAAATATTTATAAGCTTTTACGCCCCGGAGGAAAGGGTTTGGTATTATTTTTAGCTCATAATACTGGATTCGATGGTTATTTGCAACTGTATGATGATGTACAATACAAACCTTACATGAAGGTAATAAAATAAAAGAAACCATTATAACATAAAATGAAATAATTTCTAAGACATAATTCATTGTATCCTATATTTAAATATAAAAGAAACGTTATAATCACGTTTAATGCTCATTTGTATTATTTCAATGGAAAGAAATTATTAAACTTGTTGTTATAAGATAAATATGATAATTATTGATCCTATATTTCTAATTTTATTTACTTTTTTTCTAATATACATATTCATTAAATATCGATAATTTAAAAGGATCAGTTTCATTTTAGTAAAATTAGCTTGCAAAAAGAAATATTTTTAGTAAAAAACATAATAAAGTAATAATGATATAATATAAAAATTATTTCTTAACAAAATATTACATTTATAATAACTTTTGTAAAAAGTAGAAATTACTTATTTAAATTTTTTAATTTATATTAATAATAAATTAGAGTTAATTATACGAGTTTTATGTATAATTCCATTATATAATTAAATATTTATGATTTCATTGTTAAAGTTTAAACTATTTAATTAAACATAACCTATTTAACTATTATTACTTCCATTATTGCAAAAATATAATATTTTGACAAATTTAATTTTTAAATTTTCTTTTTTAGTTTCAAATATTTCATTTTTATCTAAACATTTTAATATAGATATTCATAATCTTGTCGATGTATTTACAATGTTCTATATGTACTTTGTACTATAAAATAAAATTTTATAATTTAAAATTTCATTTAATACTTCCTATTTTCAATATTTCCGACAAATTTATGAAAATATTTTTTCTACTTCTAATCAATTAGAAAAATTGAACATTTATATATTGAAACATTTAATGTGCTTCATTATCCAATACATTATATTTATTTTTAAGAATACTATTATATATTATTATTATTAAGAATACTATTATATTTTTTATTATATAATATTAATAATATTATATATTTTTATATAATTTTTCTTATACTAATAAATAAAAATAACAAATATAAAATAAAAAATATATTTCTACAAAGAATATAAACTCAAAATATATAGAAGATTGTAATTATGTTTTAAAATAAATTATTTATTTTAATATCATTTTCTTAAGATATTTTTATATCATTTATAAATTTATCATTGTAATTGCTAATTATTTGCTAGTTGTGAAACATTCTTTTGTCTTATTTCCATTCTTGTTATAATTATAATTTAATCGTGCTAATGATTGTCCAGTATCTGCGTAACTTAAGCCAATTTTTTAAAATAATTATTTATCTAACTATGTCTAATTAATTAATTATGATCAACGTCTATATTTTATACTTTCCTGTTTGATTATCTATAAGGCATTACATGTAAATATAAAACTATTTATAAATTGTTTTATAAATAACTGAATAGGATATTGAAAGATAAATTACTATTCATACATTTTTTTAAATTCTGCTTTTATTAAAATTTTGCTGCTTAGATTATTTGAATACATTTTTTCATAAAATAAATCATTATTTAAAATAATTGTTTTATTCATTAATCATTTTACTTTTTTCAATAACTTCAAATAGAAATTGCTCTTGTACAATTAATATAAAGTATATCGTTCTAGCTAGGCTGATGAAATAAAAAGCACTTAATACAGTCACATAAATATCGTTATTTTTTCAAGCAATACTTGCCGTTTGATCAATTCATTTTGAAAAAATAACGAAAAAATCATCTAATAATTGGTCCCGATTAATTTTTTAAGATTGCTTATTTGTAAATTGTACTTTGTAATTTCGTAAGTATTCTTTATATCTAATTGTCATTTGCTTTGTTTATAACTCAAAAGACTTATTATAAATTGGAGATACATCAAATTCAATTGAATAAATATAACTAAATAAATATGTGTGTGTGTATTTGTATGTGTATAAATTTTTGTAAATAAATATATTTTGAAACTCTGTTTTATAAAATAATTTTTTATTCTTAATGATATCAAGTAGATTACTTTATTTAACAACAGAATTTAACAGAATTTTTTATTTTAAAGATCAATTTGTACAATTGGCAAATATTATTTGTTTACTTAATATTTAATTAAATATGTAATTACAAATCAAAATGTTTATAAATTAAAAATGAATAATAAAACAAGAATATGAGAAAGATGAATGTATCAATCACTAGAAAAAATTAAAAATTAATTTTTGTATATGAAAAAAGAAAGGATGGTGCATAACATTTAAATAAATATTTATACTAACTTATTTATACATATTGTAAATTATATTTCTCTCGATATTATTATTATATATTAATAACGCTTGTATTTTAATAGGATGTCTCTAAGTATATACCTTACTTTCAACACTGCGATAATCCAAGGGCTACGTTAAAAAAAATTTTAGAAGAATCTGGTTTTGAGGTCTTACATTGCAGTTTTCGTGAAAAAACATTTATATTCAAAAATTTGCAAATACTGAAAAGTAATATGAAATTTTATTACCCATATTTTTATTTTTAATAATACTCAAATAGCTGAATGTTTTATAGAACACGTACATGCTGTTAATCCTTTTATTCAGCGAATGCCTGATGATACAAAGAAACGATTTAAGAATGATCTCTTATACGAAATAGTTAGTAGAAAAATTTCATTCGTCACCAAAGACAAGGAATTGAAAGAAGAGCGCAAGATACTCGATAGATATTATGTATTAATAGCTTACGTTAAGAAACCAACTATCTAAACTTCAGAAAAAATGAATAATTTAAATAATAAATGGTGTTTATGTATTATCTATACAAAAAACATTGTGGTTATTATTTGAATTAATATAGTTCCTTTAATAATATTATAGGAATGTTCCAGTCAAAGCAATAAGAAATCATTTTTTATGTTTTATATTAATATTCTTATAAATAGATGCTTTAATTAATAAAATTATTGGATATAAAATATATATATTAAAAATTAAAATATATCTTATTTAAATATAACTAATATTAAATTTATGTAAATTTCTCAAATATATTATTTAAAAAATTTTCAATTAATTAAGTAATTTTTTAAGTAAATGTTAATCTAGAATAACAGAAATCATTTTAAGATTAATATGGATTTTTATTTTTTTGTCTGTTTTCCGGCATTTTACACATTTGCAATCTGGTGAGTTACATATCATTATTTTGTTATTTTTCCTTATAAATACAAATTTTTCTCATACAAGAATTTAAAGCATAAAATTTGTTTAACAGTGGCTTTTCAAACAGTGCTGTTAATGCTATTCCATAAAATAGATTTTTGCAAAATAATTGTATAATACCAACACTAACTTCTTTAAAATTATGGTATGTGCAAATATTGTTATAAACGAAAATAATATTTGTATTTTATGAATTTACTTTTTTTACTTTCTCTTAGATAAGTCAAACTATTCAATTGTGTGTTTATATAGAAATAACTTATTCATATTTTAATATAAGAGTTTTTATGATTTGATTAATTTAATTTTTAAGAAAAATTTTATTCTCGTTTATTTATACATTGTTGTAGTAAGTTTGACAATTTCAATTTAAATGATTAATCCTACATTAACAAATCTAACTCGGAATGATTTGACGCAAATTATTTTATTGTAAAGTTAAGAGAAACACATATAATAATCACAAATCTACTAATATATAATTGTAATTACCCCATCTCCAAATTTCATTATAAATTTAATTAAATAATTAAACAATGACATTCTGCTTATTATTTACTGTTCCAAAATCATTAATAAATAAAAAATAACTCAAACAGTAACTAAAAAATTGAAAACATAAAAAAAAATTTTATTTAAAATTGATTATATGGCATTAATTATTTTGTAATTAGAACAATATCTTATTTTTAAATGCTTAAAATTTTATAAAATATTTGAAAAAGTAAAAAATAAGCCTATCTATATCAACCATTATTCGGAACAATTTAATCTTAAAATAGATGGCTGCGATTAATAAGTGATCGTCTGAACTGTACTTCATGTCATATACAATTTCAAATTAATATTAAAAATTATTTGAAGCCTAAAAAAACTTCTTACATATAAATAAAATAAGATAAGCTTTCTTTTTATATGCAAGATAAAATAATGTTTAATAGACAATAATCGTTGAATGGTTTTATATTTTTTATTTGTATTTTTTATATTTTAATTCTAAATTATATATGTACAAATATATGTATATTTTAAAAATTGTAGATAATTCTTTTTATAAATATTTTTAACCCTTTTACTTGATTTTTATTACATCGACTTAGTCATGTATAGAAATAGTATCGACTCCGTTCACTTTGAATGTTAAACACATTAACAATCAATTTGATATAATAATTTGATCTCAATTTTTTAATTGTTAAAATCCACTCGAAAAAATAAAAATATATTTTTCATAAAATAGCGACAAACGTGAAAATACTTATTAGATGTTTTATATTATTCAGAGATTTAGAACAAAATGAAAATTCTTAAATACATATCTTATTTTTATCACTTTGACTCTAATACATTAAATTTAGTGTTAATTACGTTTAACGATAATTTATACTATTTAACGTTTCTTAATTTAAGCGGTATATATAATAAAAGTATATAATAATAGTATGTTACTTATTATATCCTATTTTATAGTAAATTATAAAATTATATATAATTATAGACTTATATATAATAAAAGTAGTTATTTATAAAAAAAAAATACTTCTTAAATATGTTTTCTAATGAAATAAAAATATATCTAATATTTAATTTAATGCAGATATATTTATGTCATTGTATTTTGAATATACGTATATTTTATCATTTTTGTACATCCTTCGTTTAACAAAGCTGCTGCATATTGAATTTCTTACAAAGAAAGTATAAACAATTACAAACAAGTCTTTGTATTACACGACTACTTAATTATTATGTCAATATAATCATTGCATTAGATTAAAAAAAAAAAAAAAAAAACAGAAGCTAATAAAATTTTTCAATAATATATAAATGCAAAACAAATTTTCAAACTTTAGTTAGCTTAATATTCATAAATATAAGGATAAATAAAAGTATGGGAGGTGCTGATTAATAGCAAATCGAGAAAAGGTTAATGTGATGTGATATTTCTGTGAAAGTATTCTGTGAAACATCATAATTATTAAGTACTTTCATAGTGAAATTACATATATTTACTTTCAAGAAAATAATTAAATAATTAATCGTTATAAATAATAAATATAAATAAATATAAATACTATATAAACTTAATATTATATTTACGTTTAATGATTTTAAGAAAAAACTTTTTATCAATAAATAAATCTCAAAAAGCAATAAAATTTTATGAAATAAAATTAAATAATTATATTTCTTAATAACAATAAAAACATGTTGACCTAATAATGTTTCAGTCAAAGAAAATAGGAAAATAAAATTATTTACTTATACACCAAAGGTGCAACTTAATAAACAAGTATATTATACAATATACTATGGTATAATTTATAACATTTATTTATTTGTATTATTTATTTAAAGTGATTTGTTATAATAAAAATAATATCGTTTGTATTAATTAGCAATAGTATGTTCGAAAAACACAAATGCGTGTGTGTGGGCAGTGACAGATATCATATATGAAAAAACTCTATTGAATGTCTAGTCTATAAATATTTATTTATATGCGTGTACCTACATAATGAAATTATCAAATATTGATATTTCGTACAAACTCATTATACATCAATATCAAATTTGTCATCGCTACATTGTACAATTAAGCATCATATTTAATTTCATTAAAAGTATTTAAACTAGTTAAAAAGATTAATAAATAATCAAATATTTTTTACTACATTCAAATTGAATTGCGATGTTTATAATAGCAAAACAAGCAAGAACATAGCATATATACTATGAAATGTTTTTGTTTGATATAAAATTGTATTCAAAAACAAAATATACACAACCGTTATTATTAAATAGATGTACAAATGAAAATAAAATATTTATTGCAATACACGCAATTACAGATATATAATTAAATATTAAAAACAGTGATATTAACAATACAATTCTTTAAATTTATAATTTACTTTTAACTTAATTTTAACGATGAAAAATTTTAACAAAAATAATAAATATATAATTAATAACATAATAATAATAGCGCATAAATTTAACAATATTTTATATACAAAGACATTATAAAAATAAAATCCCTTGCTTATAAAATAATAATTATTTATTTTTCATTTCTTCTTAAGAATATTAAATAAAAATCTGAAAAACATTGTATATCAATCACTATAAAAACTAAATTCAATTGTATATTCGATGAATTATTAAAATAACATTTATACAGAATAAATAAATATGCTTATTATAATTATAATAAACAATATATTAAATTTTCGAATCTTTGTGACGTTTTAATTGTTACAAAGTAACAATTGTGTTCTACATGTTCTAAAAAAATTTTTCTTGAACATTGAACTTTCTAAACATTGAAATTTAGAAAAGACCCAGTTAAGAAAATATAACAATTGTCAAAGCATATAAAAATAATCGCAACAGAATAGAATAATGTTCTTGAATATTCATACATTTAGGTATTACTTTTTTACTACTTTAAAGGTTTGTAAAGTTATAAATTACACAAATCAAGAAGAATAAAAAATTATGTTTATCAATTAAAATGGAGAATAATTCAAGAACAATTTTTAGAAACATTTAATCTTTAATCTTTAACTTAACTTTTTAGAATAAAAACATAAGTATATAATTGTTTATTTCTTTATAAATATAAATATTCAGTATTAAAAATTTCAATATTAAACTTAAATATATTTTAAATAATATTATTATTTTATATTGATATTATAAGCAAGTTTCTTATTTTTAATTACTCTAACATATCAATAATTTGTTTACTATTTTATTTGCATAGGATCATTTCCAAATGGTTTCTAAATTCTTTTAATATTTTTGTAGTTTTATATAGCAAATTTATGAAACTATTTCAAACTATTCAATGACATTGCCTTTGTGTATTGGACGATCGCGTTATTGTTATTTAATCTTAGAAAGTTAAAATGGTATGAAAAAAATACAAAGATATTAAATTTACAATTGATATTGCATTGTATAATAATTAGAAATATAAAAATATAAATGTCAAAAAATGAAACATATACATTTTTTTATGTTAAATTTCCTTTCATAATGATACTATTATATTATTTTATTATATATTATATTATATTATATAATAATTATAATATAATATTATATAATAGTATATATAATATTTAATAGTATATATATAATATTTAATATATAATATTAAATAATATATAATATTATTATATAATATTATTATATATTATATAATAATATTATATTATATAATAATATATAATATATAATAATAATATAAATAATATAATATAACTATTATATAATACATAAATACTATTATAACTTAATAAGCTTAACTTATAATTTTGACGTAATTTTACAATGAAATATTTATCAACTCAATACATGAATTACAAATCTATTTTATACATTAATATAAGAACCTTTGATTTTTTCAATCTTTTGAGAATTAATTAAGTTGACTGTGTTGAATATATTAAATTTTACCATCTGAACATGCGTACTAAAATTTTTGTTATTAATTTGTTATATTAATAAAATAATATTTATTTACATAAATAAATAAATTTAAAATTTTTAAAAATATATGATACAATAAAAAGATATTTTTATTTCTTAAAATATGCAATTTCATTTTTTCATAAGAAAAATAAGGTATTACTTTAAAAAATACTATTAATTTAACTTAGTACTTATATAGAAATGAAATAGATTATGTTTGTGAATTCTTATTAATTATTACATTATGATTACATTAATTATATTACTTTTGATACATTTATTGGACTAGTGAAGATTTGATGTTTAACAAATAAGAAAAGTAATATTTATTATGAAATATTGGAAGAGTAAATATTTATTATAAACTAAAACTTAGATTATCTTAAAATATGCAATTATTTATAATCCATTTAGCAGGCTGATTTCAAGGTAATGCACGTTTGCTTCGATAGAAAAAATAAATTAATAATAAATTAATAAATTAATTTTTTTTATATAACAATAAAATCAAAGATTATTGTAACCGACTTAATGTTATCAAAAAGACTATTTTTTAACTTTTTTCTGTACTATTAAATAATATAATAATCAAATAAATTTTCCACAAGTTAGATAATATAAATAAACCATAAATAAAATTAATATAAACCAATAAAAGAATAATAAGACTAAATAAGAAATAATTATAAATAAAAATTAATTCCTAATTCGAGATCAGTTACTTTGAATTGTTCTTTGATATATTAAAACGATTCGTTTTTAAGTGTTTGTTCATTTATATGCTATCGATCTACATATAAGCTCTATTACATTAATTTTATATATTAAAAATTAGAATAGACGTAATGATTCTCGTCTACCTACACATTTAATAACATCAACTTCAACAACACATAATAGTACAACGCAGAATATACTATTTATTTAAATAATAATTGAATCGCTATACTTCATTTATATAAGTTTAAAATGCCAGGAATGGAGAAGGAACGATTTATATAAGATTGGTTAATATTTAACCTTTAGATTATGTATGGAAGTCCATTGGTAATTGGAAGAACTGAAATTTTGTTTATCTTTTCCTGGTATTTCATATATAATTTTTGTTTTTTCGCTGTTTTTCACACGTTCTTGGATTACAAATAATAATGGCCTCAAATAACAGATCAATTTAATAAACTTGTGAAATTATAAACAAGTAGTCGAAAAATATAATTTTATCTTAATCGACGACTAAAGATTAATACATCAGAAATAATCAAAAGTATTATGAAATTTGATTGCTTTCATGAATGTTTCTAAATGTTATGAATTCAAGAACGTGAATAATTGCAACATTTTATATAATATTTTATTCGTGTCATATTTAGTAATCTTTTAAATAACGCATGCGTGCTCGTATCTATTTTTCTTTTGCATTGATAATTAAATATATAAGCTAGAACATAGTTTCGCTATAAAATTAACGTTACAAAGGAAGCTCACAAATTTCAAAATTCAAAAAGATTTATCATAATTTTTATTTTAATTTGTTTTACCAATATTAAGTGTGAAAATGCACATGTAAATTAAATTTATTATTCGAAATAAGAATACAGGAACCATTATACTTTTAAATATTTGTAATTTTCTTGTCATACCCTGTAACAAATAATTATCACATTTATAAAAAAAATTATATAAATATATACATGAATAAAACATCAGATTTTTATCTTAAAAAATAAGAACATTATTAATAATTCTTAAAAATATAATTGACACGTAGCATAGATATAAATAATATATAATCAGGCATGTATCACAACATATTGCTTTTATATACAATAATTACACTTTTACCTTGTGCTTTTACGGAGTATGACAGAGAATTTATAAATTATTATTAATAAAGAAAGTAACTATAGTTTTTTTATAACTTATTAATAAATTATGTATAATACATAATTTCATATAAATGAAATAGTTATATATATATATATATATATATATATATATATATATATATAACTTTCAAGTATTACTGCCATGTATAAAAAAAGTTCATACTTTTAAGTCATAATACATAAATTGCATAATTAATAAATTGTATATATGAACACTAATCGCAACTATAATTTTTTTAAAAACTATTTATGTAAAATAATGAGCGTTAATTTTGTACGTCTTCTACTATTAATCGCATGATTTATTTCACTTTCGATCGCCTAAACTTAGGAATTTACCGTTTGAGATCCATTAATATCACAACGCGTTATGCCTATATTAACTGCACATTATTAATTGCCGCTATTTTATGCCTAATACCAAACATTAAATAGCATTTTATGTGTCGCGTCGTCACTGAGATAACTCAACTTGTAATTTTCTTGATTTAATCATTATTAATACGATTATTATGCATCTCGTTTAATATTCTTTATATTAATTTTTATTAATATTATTATCTTTATTATACTTATTTTTATTTATAATTTAAATATTTTATTTTGTTTTATGTACGTATGTTAATATACACATACATACATTATAATTTAATAATAACAATGAAAACGTTACGATCGTATTAACACTTACGTAGGTAACATTTTTGATTGTCTTCCTGAAAACAGTAATTTACTTCAACTTATGTTATTTATCGTGTTCGTTCACTTTCTCACAAATTCGTTTAAATTGTTTAATTTTTACTTTTTATGAAATATCAAAGCCTCTTTTATCTATTTGTTGTATAAAAAAAATATTTTGTAAGAACACATTAGAAATAGTTGGAGCACATGATTTTCATTATATCTTTTTTTTCAACTTTTTCAATTAGAATACGATTTACAAAAATTACAAGTGCCGATTCATTTTTTTTTCTATTTCAACTTGTACAATGTACTTTCTTTAAATTCATTTGCATTCTTTTCAAGAATATTGATTTTCTCAGTTGTATTTTATATTATCAAACTCTTTCAAAAACCAGTTTTCCACTAACCCAATAAAATTTAACCGGGACCTATTTTTTCCATTTTCCGACTATACAGTACTTTTCAGTATCAATAAGATAGATCTCGAAATTGAGTAATATCAGTTTAATGGAGGATCTAAAATCTTATATATATAACAACAAAAATAAGTTATAGTTTTAAAAAATTACAATTATTTAGAATCGCATACCAAATATGAATATAATCAGATTCTTTTTTACGGTCTCTCTCTCTCTCTCTCATTTAAGCCTACACTTTACTTGTACGTATTTTCCTTCGTATTTAAAGGAATAAACTTACATTTCCTGTCTGTATATACGTTACGATTTCTTATTATTTAATACTGTGACTACCAATTCATAATTTTACAAAGTAGTATACATATACTCATATTACTTTCGATTCTATATTTCTACAATCCATATGGATGAAAACACAAAGACGAACACATTTTATTTTTCCATTGGATTACTGTATGATATTTTTATAACTTTGCTTACTTAAAAAATGATTTCAATAAAGGACCGGAATGTTGCATTCACTAAAAATGCACATTTTACATTTACTTTTACTTCTTTGCTGCAACGCTTTCTTTGTGATATTACTTACATTACAAAGAAATTTGCATTGCATAATAGTGTTTTATGATGTCCACTTTCAAGCTATTTTCTTTTTTGATGTGTATTGCGCTGAAAACATCTTAACCAACTACAATGTCCAGCCGTCTGCTAGTAAGTCTTTTCACTAACAGCTTCAGAAACACTCTGACTGACACTAGTTGGAGATAATTCCAATTCATCTTTATCAAGTTTGCTAAAACGTCGATTATATTCCATTTGAAGAGCTGTTCGAATCTGTTGCATAAATAAATTACTGTTTACTACGTCACGTAAAACAAGAAATTTTATTATTTATTTATTGCTTATTTAATATTGTTAAAAACTATATTATAACTGGAAAGATTTATTTAATGAATATCAAATATTATTCGAAAATTACTTTAATATTAAGGCAATATAATCTTAAAATGTAAAACGTAATTAATAATAATTATACGAAACAATTTAAATAATTAAAATATATAAATGTTTAAATATTTAAAAATATTTTTAAAATTCGTTAATAAATCTGAAATATTATTTAATAAATTATTTAAAAAATTAATTACATTGCTTAAGCTTAATTGACTAAATTAATTAAGTTGTGTATACAATTTTCTTTTTTACAATAATATAATACCATAATATTTTTCTTAATTTTAACTTTCAATGGAAAAAATTATTTTTAAATTCTTGGAAATTATTCTGTACAAATGTCATTAGTATTATTTTTTTAAAATTTACTTAATTTAAATACTATTCTAAATGAATGTAATAGGCTACCTTTGCTTTTTCTTCTTCAAATTTTTGACGAACTTCTTCTTGTTGTTTTTCTAATTCCACTTTTTTTTTTTCATATATTTTGGTTAGTCTCGTACATTCATTCACTCCTTTCTCAACTGTAGATTTTGCAACTTCTCTCTTCAAACGATCAAATTCAGCCTTATCTTTGTGAGTTTTTGCCAATTGTTTTACCTAATATTTGTAAAATAAATTAAATAATTTAAATATATTAAACAATATAATTAAAGATCTAATAACACGGAATTGATTGTAAATAAACAACATTTTTTGCTACTAAAAACGTCGTGAACAATAATTAGAAACATTAAGACCGTGAATTTGTATTAAAATTCTATATTAAAACATACCTCTTCATGTCTATTAACTTGCAGTTTTCTCTTAACATCAGCAGTTTCACGTTCGTATAATATCTGAAGTGTTTTCAACTGACTGGACTGCGACGATTTCATCACCTTCTCCATGGTTGTGAACATACTTTCATGGTACTTCTCTTGTATTTCACGTTCCTGTAATAAGTGCTCCTTACAAACAGCAAGCATACGCTCGCTTTGACTTCTTGGAAGTGTTTTCGACGGTGCGTCGTTACCTTCGTGATTATCTACCTCAACTGATTCTGTTGTCTCAGGAAGAGCCAGAGTGCTCAACCCTACTTCGCTGGAAAAGCTAAGATTCAGATATATTAAAATAAAAAAATTTTTATTTTAAAAAATAAAATATAATCCGTAATGATAATAAACACAAATTCAATGATAGATTTATGATAATAAATTTACTAATTATTTATACAATTTATCACTTTATTGATTTCTATGAAGTTAATAAATTGATGAATAATAATACATACATTTATATAATTAATAAAAATAAATTGTCTGATTATCTTATACATACATATTTTTACTGGAGAGACATTGCATTAATTTGTTACTCATATAGAATTTTGATTTTTGTTTCTCTCCATCCAAAGAACCTCTTGCTGTTTGTATCCGTACTTTTTCCTTCCAGATTGAAAAATATATTTTTATGTAAATATTAAATAATATTATATTAACACAAATATTTAAATTTTTAAGTAAATTAGAAATGAAAGTGTTTATTATTATAAAAAAGTTGAGAATGGTTAGCTAGTCAAACCTTGTACTTTATTACTTTATAAGTATATTATTTATTCATTTAAATTTTACAAAATTATTAGAAATATATTTATATTATTTTAATCATAATGCAATGGGTCTTTATAATATTTTATATATTTACTTTATAAAATAACTAAAAGATAAATAAAAATCATACTTTCTCTTGTTTCTTTTTTAATGAATCCAATTTCTTTTCTAGTTCTATCTTCTTTTCTTTGACCAACTTATTTTCCATTAATTTGTCTAAAGTTTCGGCAACGATATCTTCAGATACTATAGAAAAAGAACCTTTTCTTAAAGTCATTAGAAACCATTCGTTGTATACAATCTTTGAACACAAAATACTTACTCATACTAGCATTGAGAGGGCTTTTATTTGAGGAAGCATCAACTACATTTACCATAAGTGACGAACCATCTTCAAACTTTTGAGAATCAGATAGAGTCATGGGTCCTATTGATGGTCTTCCATGTGGACTTCCTATGCTTGGCATTAAACCAGGTAATTCTCCTATGGATTGTATTCTCTTTGACTTACCTATCTCTTCCTGATAAAACCAAATCAAATTTTAAAATAAAAAATTAATTTATCTATATCACAAAGTAAAATAGTTGATTAGAACTCGTATATAATAACATTTTTTAGCTGAAAAATAATGATTTATGTGAATAAAATAAATACCTTTTTAATATTTTGATTTTTATTAAAATTTTCAATTTATATATATATATATATATATATATATATATATATATATATATATTCAATATGTGTGTGTGTGTGTGTGTGTGTGTGTGTGTGTGTGTGTGTGTGTGTGTGTAGTGGATTTTTTACATTGTATATACAAAAATTATATATATTATATAAAATATTAAAATTGATTCATATTGATTCAATAATATATTGAAATGTATTAATATAATATTTTAAATAAAATAATAAATTAAAAAATAAAATTTATCCAGTTAATCACAGAATATTATAAATTTCAATAAAATGTTCCAGCTAGATCATAAATGATTATAAATTTAAAAAGACTCACAACTGGTTTAGAGAAACTTGATCCACTGCTACCTTTTTCCTTAATTTTGTCTTTAATCTACAATAATTAGCAGAAAGTGAATGTATTATTAAGAGAACAATCATATGCAGAAAAATATTTTTAAAAATTTTTAATAAAAGTTAACTGGTATTTAACATTGTATACAATTTAATATATATTTTAATAATAAACTTTTCAGATTTAGACAAATACATAGTCAAAATATAAGCCTCTCAATGATACTACTTAAAATTGTTAAAAGAAATTTACATAAATACATAAAATCAATATTAAAAAAAAATGTGGACCTACTTTATCTTAAAAATATTTTAAATTAATATATTAATCAATGTCTTTTAATTATGTATAATATTAAAGTATAGTTATAAAAGATTCAAATTAAGTAATCGTTTTAAAATCTAGTTCAAAAACGCGTATTAATTAAATCGCTTCTTACTTGAAAACAAGACAAATATTTGGTACCTCAATGTGACCTTTAGATGGTTCCTCCATATCATCTGTAAGCACTGATAGTTGCACTTCTCTTTTTTCTTGTTCACTTTGGTATTTAATTGGATTGGCCAGTGCTTCTGCCAAGTCACTTAACTTATCTGGTACATAGTCTTTAACGATAACATGTAAAAATAAACTGGCTAATGGAAGAGGCTGCCCACATTCGGTTCTCAGAGCCACATGTCTATAACCTGGACATAAACCAACAACTGGTAGAACGCGGTGACCAATCATCTTTCCAGATTCTTCGTAAGCTGCTATTCGAATAGAGGCTAATTCTGGTAAGACTACCTATAATACAAAATAACATTATCATTTTTATCTAAAGATTAATTGAGTATTGATGAAATAAAACATTCAAAGCTTTAGAATTGTTTCAAATTTAATTTTATTAATTGTAATTTAATATATGTGAAAATAAAATTTTAATAAAATCATTATAAAAATATTTGTAAATAATTATTAACCGAAATTTCAACTATAATTGCTTTCTTATGCCCTAATAATTTTTCAAATCTTTCCATTTTTTACATTTTCGAAATAACTGAACAAAATTTTTTTAATTATAGTGTCTGTATTATTATAATTGTACATAAGTATTCATCGTTAGATTTTATTTATTTATATATTGTGAAAAAACTTATTAATATGAACTCAAAATTATAATTGACCTTTTTGAAAACAAAAGGATCTTCGTCGTATACTGGATTTATACCATTATTAGGGACTATTTTGGTTTTAAATTTCTTTCTAACGGTATCAGCTGGAAGACCATACATATCAACTTCTACATAAGTTCCTACTCTTCTATCCGTTAAGAACTGGGCTGATATTACATGAATGTGAACCATTCCAGCAATAATACCATCAACTGTTGATTCAGCAAAAGGATCTAATCGGCGATCTTTTCTACGCATGAATTCAGGTTTTAATAAGTAACCGCAACGTTTATTATACTCAAATATTCCCAAATTTAATTGCATAGCAAGATCTGAAATTATATAAAATTTTCTGATATTAAATTTATGCAAATATTATTGAAAATTTAAAATTATTAATAAAATATAATATTTTTAATATGAATTAATTATGTTAAAAAGATGTTCCATATTTTAATCTATTTTTGTCATTGGTAATTCTTAAATTAAAATGTAGGGTCATAAATTATTAATAATAAATTAATTTATGATCAATAAATTTGATAAATCAAATTACCTAAGGTTTGATAATTCAAAGCTACAAGTTGACAACCGGCATTCCAAAAAACTTGAGGCATGAAATTACTTGAATCAAAGCGTGTACCAGATGGGTAAACACGAGATAATTGATGCTTATTATAATTGACGAATTCGAGTGGTCGTTCTTTTAATAATGTTGTAGCTTGTTTTTCATCAAATGATGACATCTCATACATACGATTTTTTTCTGAAAATTTATTTATAATTAATATATAATATATCTAATCAAGATATTATTTTTATGTACAATTTTCATATCAAATATGAATGTATGTAATAATAACTATAAACAATTGTATATATTTAATTATAATATTTTTATATTAAAACATGAAAAAATTATTTCCTATATCTTACTTTCTGAAGATTCAAAACTACTGAAATGAACTGGTTGAACATAATTAACTAATGCAGAAATTTCGGCTCCAGCTTCTGTTTCCTTAGTAGCAGCTGCTTTATCTGAAACTGCCACTTTATCATCAAGTCGCAATTTAATATCTTCAGTATTGGATTCATCATCTTCAGTGCTTGATTCATCTTCATCATCTACAGTAATTATTTTTAATAAATTAAAAATATTTTATATTAAAAATTTAAAATAATAAATAATAAATGTTTAATAATTTAACTAAATCTAAATAATAAAGAAGCAGTAAAATAAAATTATGAATATTTTTAAAACAACAAAATTGTTTCTATTAATACTATAAGCATATTCAACATTTATTTTAGAAATTTAAAAAATAATCATACCATCATCATCTTGAGTACTATCTTTGCTACCCTGTCGATGTTGTAGCATAGGTGGACGAAGTTCTCCATTAGCTATTTGATGTTCACCATTTCCATTCCCAACTACCATACCATCTACTACTTCACTTAGTGGTATGATATCGGGTGGAGGACCATTTTCTCCTTTAGCTGACTGATTCTCACTATCATGCTCTTCACAAGTTTCAATGCCTTCTTCTATACCTTCAGTTTGAATTTGCTGTTTTTTATGATGCTTTTTATGATGATGATGATGATTATGCTTTTTCTTATTTTTTATTATTATTTTTCTTTTTAATAATGAAGGTGGTGGTAATTGTTGACCAGGTTCTAACTGAAAATTACAAATAGAATTCCAAAATATATTCTATTTTTTATATAAATGAATTTTTACTATTAATAATATCTATCCTAAGATAGCAACTAATCATAAAGTAAGATAATTTATTTTTAATCAATTCATGCTAAATTTTAACAATGCTTTAAAAACTATTTTAATTACTTACTTTATGAGATTCAAGTGGTGCATCAAGAAGCATTTCTCCAAAGAACTCTCTACAGTATTGAGCAATTTTTGCTTGTTGTCTTGGATTACAATGATTTTCAAAGCTTAGTATTACAGGATACTCTGATGTTTTAAAGGCACTCTCTGCTATCGCTTCAATAACATCCCTAGCCGAAATTTCAGGTACAAACGTATACCTACAAAAAATAATATATATAAGAAGATTTAAATAAGCTTATATATTTCACAAATTAGTAATTTTGTAATTCTATATTAATAAGCATTTGTCAATGTCAATAATTATTAATATAAATTATTTTATCGTCATATTATAAAAGTAGTAACTGACATATATTAGTTTATAATATAATTTGCAAAAAATTTTAAAACTGAACCTTCAAGAGGATTTTAAAATATATACAACATAAAATTTTTCAAATAGCCTTTTCTAATATGTCTTTATATTTTTTATATTGATATTTCTTATAAGATGTATATATTTTCTTCTAAATATTCACTTAAATATATCTACCCATGAACAATGATCGGTTCATCAAACTTGCCGTTCCAAAAATCAAGCTCAACACATCGACAACCAGCAAGCAAACATTGACGATATATTTCTACAGAACTCTTACCAGTTAGTTGATGTCCTATAAAAAATTTATGATAATATATTATATATAAATATATTTCATAAAAAAAAAAATAATTTCATTAAATAAGTAAAATAAGTAAAAAGAGGTTTTTAAATTATAATAATTTCAGATGTTTCATATATTATTTGTTTGAAATAACTTAACTTTGCTAATAACTTAAAATATTTGTAAATCCATTTATTTTTAAGTGATTATAAATTAAAATTCCATTGAAACAAAAACTATTTTAAGGAAATTACCTGTAAGATACGTGTTATGACTAGAATTAATAAAATAGTGAGCGAGTGATTGATCCATATCATCAGATAATTCAAACTTTGATACAGCTACAATAGGATTATCTTCACTCATCAGGTAACGAAGAAAACCATCAAAACTTAACTGACTCTTTTGTGCATTGTGTTTATTTGGTTCATATTGATTAATAATTTCCATTGCTCTTACAGAATTAGCATAAGGATATAATATTTCATTTAGACGTGGATCACGTTGAGTTTGATTCAAGAATTCAACAAGTTGAGGTACAGACATTAATTTTCGTTTAGGATTCTCAACTATTTCTTCAAAAACCTTTTCAACATCTGAGCGCTGAGTTAGAGACTTATAAAAATTAAAGAATTCTTCAAATTGAAATTTTTGCAAAGGGATCGAATCATTCTTTCCAGAGGCATAGCCTGAAATATCCAATGCCTTTTCAACACGTTTTCGATCTTCTTTGTTTTGTGTAAACATTTTTATTATACTAAAAACCAAATAAAGTATTCCAAATTATGATTATTAAAAATATCAAAGTAAAATACTAAGAAATTCAAATTTATATATTTTTTTATGCATAGTTTTGTTATGTATAAAAATAGTATTACTTTAATAATAAAAATGTATTTTTATTAAAATATAAAAGATATTTCAGAAATATTTATTTACTTTTTAACTGGTATATTTCCAAATTTGTCAACAGATAAGGTAAGTTTTGTGTAAGCCTTTTGTAAGAACATGATTGTGCTAATATTAAGCTGAGTAAGATTATAAGCTAAATGAAGAATTTGATCAGTCCAGTGTCGAGCGATTTCTGCACGTGTTGTACAGAAATTAATGAAAGTCATGTTTACAAAGTCTGAACCATGACAAATTGTTACAGTCTTATCTTCTAAAGAATCTTGTGAACCCATTGTTACAAGAGCTTTTAATTTTGGATCCTGTAAATTACTTTATATTATTTTCTCATTCAGTAGATTTGCTAATATCCAAAGTATTTAATTAGCAAGAAAAGTATTTTATGTATAAAATTCTAACTGTAAAATAATTAATAAATTAAATATTCAATAAAATAAATCCATAATAAGTAAATTCAATAAGAAAATTGATGATTTATTTTGAATAAAATTTATTTACTTATTGATAAACAAGACAATTTATTTTAATTAATCATTTAACTATGTTTTAAAAATCAATAACATTAATTTTTCAAAATACTATTTATATCATAAAATCTTAGATTATTTTATATTAATTATTAAAGAATTTTATAAAACTATTTACATACATAGTTAAAAGCAGTTTGGCTATACATATTATTATTTATTTAAATATTACATTTTATTATTCTCAAAATTGTATTATATGATATTTTGTAATTTAAATAGTAAAATTACAAGTCATGTAAAATATAAGATTTCTGAACACATATTGTTAACTTCAACTATTCAAAAATAGAAATAAATATTAAATCTAAACCTTATTTTAATTTAAATCTTATTTTAATTATTATATGCACCTTAGGTATTTTTGCAAATAACCCAGTACGTGTGTCACGAATCATAGCTATATCGATCATATCCATTTCATTATGCTGATCTATCCAATGGAGGTAAAAACCATGTTTGTCAACTTTTAAAGTAACTGGTGTTGCCACTCCTGAATCCTATATAAAATCAAAATAATGTAATAATGCTTACTTAAAATTCATATTTAATGCACACAAAATTCATACTTAAAATACATGCATTTCAATTGTGTATCATAAAATTCTTATTAACTAAATTATATTAAACATATTTTACATTGAAAATTTTTTTTTATAAAATTTTTTTTGTATTCTAAATATTTTAAGAACACATTAACATAAAAGTGGTCTGAACAGCATTATTTATATAAAAAAACTATAAATTTAAATACTTCAATATATATATTAGTTCAGCCTTTATTTTAGATTATTTCAGACTTTATATACAACGTATATCATTCAAAAGTTGAGAAATTTATACCTCATCCCATTTAACAAATTTTTCTCCATCCTGTAATTGCTGTGATATCTCTACAGGCCTAGTTTGGACAGCATTTTCCACTGATTTAGTGCTGGCCATTACTTCGAAAGATTCTTTCGATAGAAAAAAAAAAATTCACAAACATGAATCCACTAATAATGAATAAAAAAGATCTCTTCACTAAATAATTTAATTCCGTTTTGAATTTGATTTATCCACGTTCAATTTGTTTGGCACTATGAACTGGATATAAGATTTTTCTTTTCCAGACATTGAAAATACTAAAAAAGAAAATTATATATAATAATATGGATGAAAAATATATTATTAAATTATTTATGTAAAATTTACAATAAAACAAACAAATGCATGAAGTTTATATAAAAATAATATTATTGAATAAATTATATTTAATCTTTATTATTACTTTATATTTTATATTTATACTTGTTTATAATAAAAGTATTTTAAAAAAATAGCTAGACTATTGTTTTGCACTGGAAATCTCAAAGGGTTATTTTCATCTATTGACTTGACTAAAAGTTTAAATAAGCAATTGAGAAGCAAATCAGTTCACTGTTTAATTTCTCAGGTTCAACAAAATTAAATTATTATACATAAATCAGTCGGTTCTAACAAGGTAAACTAACCGAGAAATCGCGCTTCTATTTAAAAAACTAATGAAGAGTAAAAAATAAAAAACTAACAAGTTCAAAAGTAAGGTAAATCTTACTAAATTGCATCAAATTTTTGAGATTGAAAAACAAGTAAATAATACGTTATACATATAGGGCGCAAAACCCTTTCCCTCTCTCTCTCTCTCTCTCTCTCTCTCTCTCTCACTCTCTCCCTGTGTCTCTCTACCTCTTAACTTCGAATCTAACAATATTTCTCTTTGTCTCTCCCTTTTGTCAAAAATGGAAGCACTGGATCGCAGCAATGAACATCCTGATTTCTAACTAGAGTTCACCGAAAATGTTTCAAAGCATTACAACAGCAGAATGGATGAAGATCGGTAGAAAAAATACAAAGAGCGCACGCATGTACGCACGCACGCACACACACACAGAAAATCAAACGCCCGTGCACGCACTCCTTTTCCTTGGAAACTTTTCCCCGAAATCAACACTGGACTTTTTGTCAGCTTTTTTACACAGGTATATCACGACTTTAGATAGAGGCTATGTTAACAATATCGCCTAGATTGACAAGGGCCTGCGAATGACTGAGCGGTCCTCTTCTCACGTATTATTTATTGTTTCTGCTCCGATTCATTCGTGATTACAATTTCTACTCGTTTCTACTGGCAGGCCGCTCGTTCTTTCCTTTCCCGCTTCCGTGAACACTAGGAGGCGCTCTCTAGAGCGCGACGACTGCGCGCCGAGTTGCAGAATGGCTCACTCTACTTAATATTTGTACAACAGAGTACCAACGTTCGTACTTGCGGAACTTGTTTTTAATACCCTGTTGGTATTTAGCTTTAATAATTTCTCTCTCTCTCTCTCTCTCTTATGCGTCCTGGCACTTGCTTATTCTCTCCCTCACCCTCTCACGCTTGCTCGCTCCCTTGTTATCATCTTACACACATCATTCGGAATCTCAAATAACTTTACATTCTGCTATATATTATACAATATACGATATATATTTACGAGTAACATAGAGAAATGTAATAACTTAAAATTTACTATACGTGTCTTATGCAACGTGATTTTTAAAAAATCGAGAAAAATGAATAATTTATACATTACATAAAAATTAAGAATAAGAGAAAATTAAATAATAACAAATTTGAAAACATGTTTTCATTATTTGTATTGTTCAATGCAGGTATTTATATAGAATCCAAGAAACGTCTTTTTCAGAATAATGAAAAAATGTCAAAAAGAACAATAACATCTTCAACTACATTCGTGCAAATATTTTCTAGAATATTAAAATAGAAATCATTGTTTTACTTGAGAAACATATAATCTGAATGTGTATACAGTACTTGTGCATACTTATATACAGTGTATGTCTATATCCATTTAAAAAATATTATTTATATATATAAGTAATTTCATTGTAATCCTAATAAAAATTATTTTTATTAATATTACTAACTTCTTGTTAAGTAAAAATAATAAAAAAAAGTTTCATTCTAAGGCTGTAAGAGATTGAAAAATGTTATGAAAAAATATATTTTATTTATATATTTTATTTTATTTTTCCTATTTCCAGCATCATACTATTTATTTTCTTTCACACATACATTTTCACTGATCTAAATATATATATTTATAAATATACTGCTTCATTTAATAAAAGGATATGAAAATTTTAAAATGAAGAAATTAAAGAAATCAATAACCAAATAAATGATATATTTAGACATTTATATTTTCATCATTATTTTCAATATTATTATTAAAATCCTTTTAAAAACATTATGTTATAAATATTGAATTTTTCTTCAATTTTCTTGAAACAAGAACCAAAATCATTATGTAAATAATATCTTAATAAATAATTTTTTACTTTAAATTTAATATTGACTTATACAAAATTAATTATTAAATTTTCATCATTTTTATATATTGAAATACTTTTTAATAATAATTTTATTGTCTTCCTAAATTACCAATTCTATTTAAATCCCCCCATAACGTATTATTAAATAAATTTTTGATAAATTATAAAATTTAATATATACTCTATTGTTAAGAAATGAATACATACTAGAATAATATTAAAATTGTATCTGAATATATTTTAATAAACAAAATAGTATAATACTTGATCATAAAAAGTAGATAATAAATTAATAAGATAGCTAAAACAATCATATTATTAATTAAATATAACTTAAATTTAATATGCTTTGTATTAAAAAAAAGGTTTTTTTAAAAATAAATAACGTTTGAAATCCTACGAACTAAAAAAGACAGCTATAAGTATAAAAAGACCTTCGAATAATTGCGTAAATGATAAATATTAGTAATTTATCAAATAGACACATTTAAAGAGTATTGTTAGACATTTTTCACACTGATTAAATTTATGAGATTTAAAACAAGAGTGTATATAATATTAAAATAATGCATTAAAAAGTTCTTTCAATTGAAATGAAGTGTCTTTAAATATGAAAAAATTATAATATTTTTGTTATTAAAGATAAATATACGTATATTGAATTATACAAAGTAAATCATATATAGGAAAAACCAATTTTTGAAAAAAAGAAAAAAATTGACGTTCTTAATATATGTACAGTTATTTTATTTTCAATAATTTATGTTTTTGTACATAAGTCATATATTTCTATTATTCTTCTTCATTATTTTAGCCAATAAGATTATACGATTTTGTAATAATTTAATAGTTAATAAATAATTTATAATAAATAACATTTTATAAATATTGTTTATAATTAAAATGATCTATTGATTCTAAAAATTATGAAAATAAACAAAACAAACAAAATTATAATTGAATTGCTTTATAAAAAGTATTGCAAATCTAAATCGCAGAAACTTATTCAATAAATGTAATTTCATTTAAAACTTCTGTTAAGTAAATAAAATAAATTCTATTTGCGTAATTTACAAGTTATAATGTTTAAAATTATGAAAAATGATCCTACCCTAAATCACTAAAAGATGTCAATCCAATAATATTTCGATATATTTACATCAGGGAACAGCCTTAAAATTCAACTTCTGAAACATTTTGTAAAATAAATAAGAAAGTACCCCAGTTAAATAATAATTTATATTATATTATATAATATAGATTACAGAACTATTGATCAATATTTCGCAATATATATCTTTAATTCAATTAAAATACGAAATATAATTTACTAAATAAATTCCTATATAGTTTGGTACAATGAAATAATATTTTGAATAATTATAATAATTATACTAACAACCTCTTCGGTATTTTTAAAAATGTATAATTTTAAGCATTTTCAAAATTACATTTAAAATATTTTTTAATCGCCATTTCTTTAATTAATCAATTTATTAAAATTTGAACTATAAGTTGATTAAAAAAATAATATATAATGAAACGAATGTCTATAAATAAAATACACAATATATGTTCAATTATCAACTATTGTATAGCGATAATTAATGTAAAAATTGAAAATAAGATAAAAAAGAAATCTAATAGTTACTAGAGTTAATAGTTTTATCATTAAATTAAAATTAAATAAAAAATTAAATGAAATGAAAATTAAATAAAAGTTACATTTAAATTAGTTTAGAAATAAAAATGACTAAAAATTAATATTTATAAATCCAAAAGTAAATAATTCAGATAACGCATGTGAGATGAGATGAAGTGGTTAATTTCCAATCACTGTTAATTCGCCATTTTATGAAAAAACATGAATCCAAATAAGTAAAATAATATATACCGATATGGCAAAAATAGATGGTAGTTACAAAGGTGTGAAAACGATAAATTTTACCGAAGGTAAATTGGCTTTTACAGTTTAATGGGTCAGAGGACTACACTATTGGAAAAATGCCAATCTTCGTATAAGCGTGGTTTTCTATAATAATGAATAGCATATTATGTTGCTTTATAATGAACATACTAATATATAAAATATATATAAATATATATAAATTGGAAACATACGTTATTTTAAAAAATTAAAATTTAGTAACTGTACTTTTACAAAATCATTTTACATCTTCTATTTGTTATTTTCTAATATTAATTAATACATGCTAATTATGCTAGATACATTATAAACGTTTATTAAAATTATTTCAAAATACATTTTATTTTAATCGTTATTAAAGCATTAAGTCTTTCATTTTATTAAAATATCTACTTTAAATATATTTACATTTTATTAACTGTAAAATATAAATAAAGATAATAAAATTTTTATTCAATTTTAATGCAATAATATACTATATAATAATATACTAAAGTTTTTGAGAATATTTGTCTATCAACTTTATTGTGAAGAAAAATTTTTTATATACGATTAAGCCATATATTAAAATACACAAATTGTTTTAAAATATTTCAATGTTTAGATAAGTTTTTAATTTAATAAAGAAATTTTTTCATATTTTTTAAGAATATAATATGTGAAATTATGTAATCTAATTTAACTATTCAATAAATATTAATGAACTATAAACTAAAAAAGATTTATTTTTGAAATTAAAAAGTTCATAAATAGTTTTAAAAAAATAGCTTTTGACTACTTAATAAAATATTTGAATAGACGTTTAAAATTTAAGAAATCTAGAGTATAATGAATAAAATTATAATTAACGTAAATGAATTATAAAGTAGTAGTTAAAGAAAAAAACTAAACTTCAACTGTGGTTTAAAAATATGTTAAAATTTAAAAAATAAAAATAAATTAAATTAAAAATAATAAATCTGTTAAATACAAATAAACATGATAAATATATTTAGTACACAAAGGGTAAATTATGTACATAACAAGTTCGATTGATTTTCCACACGAATCTTGCAAATTCAAAAATATATTTAGATGGTTTATAATATATTCAATTTATATCAATTTATAATATAATATATTCAATTTATATCAATTTACAATATACTCAATTTATATATTCAAAAATAAATATATAGGTATGTAGCTTCCCAAATTCCTCACATTTTGTAAAATTTTTTATTTACATTTATTAATATGTCAATTACATTATATATTAGTTTCAATATTATTAAAGTTAAAACTTTTTAATTTTTCTCGCCAACTTACCTCGCTCTCTTTTTCTTTTTACCCATGATAGCTAGGTAATTATATTTGGATTTTATTGAATATCACTTATGACGATTGCATTTACACTTTAATCGGTTACATTTTAAAACTACCCTTTTATTGATTAGCTGCAATATTTTGAACAAGACATTGAATGTAAATATTATCCAGATTAAAAAAGTGTATGCATCAAAGAAGATTCAGAATTAATTTCTCATCAGTAATAGTTCAAAATAATCAAAATGTAAACTAAATAAATAACAAATTAAAACTTTTATATGCAATTAGATTAAAGAATTTCTTATGAAAATATTTATTACAAAACGTATAAAAATTGATCTTTTCCAACTATTGGCGTAAAAAAAATATTATTATAGTCATTTTATCATGTAAATTATTACATTTCCAAAAAATAAATTAATGAATAATTAATGAAATTTAGAAAGTAGCAGATTTAATTTTCATATATTTTTACTCATAATAATAATTATAAAAAGTATAGAAATAGTTTATAATTCAACCCTCTATCTTTTATTATTTTGAAATATTATATTGTAATTAAATTACTAATACATATAAAAATTTACAATTCAATGTATAAATTTATTTATTCATGTATAATATAAAGATAAAAATTAAGTTTATGTAATGTTATTTTTAAAATTTACTAGTTGCAATATAATACATTGAAAACTAAATCAATTGTTAGATTAAAACGATGACAAATATTTATTTAAAAAATTTAAGAAGTTTTGGTCATTTGATTAAATGAAAAATTTGTATAATTTTTATTAAATTCATTTCATCTTTAAAAAAAATCTAACTCATCATTTAACCATATATTCATCACTTTTAATAACTACTAAACTTAAATATATATATAATTTCAATTTGTGAAGAATAATTTTCAAATTTTTTTGTAGGTAATGTCTATAAACATTAAGTAATGTATATTTTTTATAAATGTTTTTATATAATTTTTAATAAAAATATGTATTAAATAAATGTTTTAGTGATATAATTGATTAAAAATTTGCTTCATGTTATTTAATATTATGAAAACTATAAACTTTAAAAACTGAAAATTAATTGATTAAAAAATTTTTATTAAAATAATTTATAAGTATTCATTTCTAGTTACAAATTAATACTTATGTAGTTATAAATGTATCCATAAATTAGTATTGCATTATATAGCCAGAAATATTGGCAGCAACATTTTTCGAAAAATTCGTATTTAATAACATCACAAAATATGGTTTGATGTAGTACTGTACTTTGTCATGTTGTGCTACATAAAATATTTTAGAGAATATTTGTTACTGAACTAGCTTTTTATATAAAATACAGTAGCTATATCAAGCACTTTAATCTAATAGTTATGAACTTTTTAAATTTATTCTACGATATTATTCATTATATGAATTATATTGTATTATGAATATAATTCAATCTTTATATGTTTAAATTAAAAAATAAAAAAAATTGGATATCAGATTCTTCATAAATTTACATAAATATTTAAATATATTAAATAAATTATGAAATAATGTCATATACAATGCGTTCTCAATTATATTACATAGAATAATTATACTTACAATTATATTTAAAAACCATTTTACAAATAATTATAATCATAACAATGATAGTTTTTAACTTCATTTATACAATGAAAAATGAATCTCTAATTTACTATTTGATTAAAAGAAAATTTAAATATTTTATTTTTTTTAATATTACATTATTTAGAAGTTTAACAGTATGAAAAAACAAATTGTATCTCAAATGCAGTTTGCAATAATTACTCTTAAGACTGATTTTTAGGCCAAATGTGTTTAAAAAAGTTTTTTACATATTTGAAGAAATATCATCATTTATACTTATATTAACTCATACGTAGAATATCTAGTAATAAAGTTAATACATTTTGAATATATGTATGTGTGTAATAAAATATATGTATATAAAATTGTTTTTTAATACTATTAAAGCAACTGAGACAATTATAAATGAATATCATTGAAGATAGTTTTAAGATGATAAAACTATATTTCATTTACCTTAATAATTATAAAATAATTAAATATTTTAAAAATATGATATTTCTCAGGATAAACATTATATAAATATTAAATTAAGAATATATGAATATTTGAATAATTTTTTAATGAAAATAATAAAAATTAATCATTAATTGTATATATTAATATGGTATTATAATCAAGTGATATAATATCATAAAAATTCAAATTTAAATATAAATATTATATTGAAATTGTTGAAAAATATTAAATAATTATTTAACCTTGTGAAATTTGAAGTGATGAAATACTAAACTAAAAGAATATGGATTAATTAACCGATTAATAATACAAAGAATGAAATATTTTTTTACTTTCATTTTTATTCTTCAAATTATCATTATAAACTTTAATCGTACTTAGCATCTTCGGTTTCTACAAACATATTTTTACTAAGCATCTACAGTATTCACAATAGTGTAGATTTCACTTGTTCCTCTCTCAAGGCTGAATATCCTATTTCACAGCATTCACTGTATGTATTTATTTTACTTTTTAAATACTTTTTTTTAATCTCTAGTTATATTTAAGATTTAGTATAATATTAATAGTTATTTAACGTAATTTACATTCAAAAGTATAAACAAATATCGTATATAATTTCATTTTCAATACATACTTATAGACACAGCCATATTTTCGTATTAAAATATAATGATACATAATCATTTGTATATTCGAAATGTCAATAAATTTTACATGTTTAATTATTCGTAAATATGAAATTTTTGCTGTTTTAAAAATTATATTACTGCTCAATTTCATCTGTATAGATATGCATTAAACATAAATTGCAAAATCTAATAATCCTACTAAGTTAAATTCCTGTTATTAGCCTAATCAAATTTAATAATTTGTACCAATTTTTAATTTGCTGTTATAAGCAAGCATCGAAATGTCATGAAAGTATATTTAATATTCTATTATGAGAATATATAATATTTATTTACAATTTTAATATAAATAGAAACTAATATTAACTAATATTAATCAACTAATATGATTGTATAATGTATGTAACCTAGAATAAATAAAATGTATAATTATCAATATTTTATTGTAAAACATTTTTACTTCATAAATTAATAAAATATATAATACACTAATTAATATATATTAATTAAAATTTATATATACTTGTTTCAAATGATTTCATGAATTTAAAAAATACTTCTTCTTAATACAGAATTAATAACAGTACAAAAAATCGTATTAAAATAATTTATTACAATTTTGTCATTCTTACATATTATTATTTATATGTACTTTAGAATATTATACTGTATGTATAGAAACATTCAATTATACATATAATAATAATTTCTATATATATAATTATTATTTTATTGAATCTTATTACAATTCATTCTTATTATTTAATAAGTCACTTATAAATAAAGCACTTAAGTTCTTTTATGCTTTAAATGACTTTATAATAAATTAAAACTATTTTCAAATGTTATACAAAGCAAAATTCAGTTTGTTTTTAACAGATAGTTGAAAACTGTATGCAATAGCATATGTAAATCTTAAAAAGAAAAATTTTCAATTAAGAAACATTTACTTTAATATCTATAAGCTAGTAATTACGAATAAACTAAAACATATAAAATATTTATTACATAAAATTTTAAATTATATATAGTTATATTGATTCTCTTCTGTCAATTATATTAATGACTTGAAAAATAAACCAAATTTTTCACAAATGTTATATAATTATAAATTGATTATACTTCAATTGTAAATACTGATCTACTTAATTTCTGATTTTACAAATACACAAAACATTTTTTGTTCTATTTTTTCCTTTTTGTAAATATCTTTTTATAAATTTAACAGTTAACAAAACTTCATAATAGCTTCAGTTTGTATTTAATAATTTAAATTAGTTAAATTAGAAATTCCATCAATTTATAGAAGCATGCTTGACTAGAAACAAAATAATTACAGAAATAATTTTTACGCATATAATGCTCAATAATATAAAAGCCTTATTCGTGTCAAAATTTTAAAGTGATAACTTGTACTATAATATCTTTCAAATCCAATATTTCATCATAAATTCCTTAATGCATTAATGATAATTTATATTTAATATATAAAATATAATTTAATGTAAAGCTTAGAATTCTACCATATCATCTTCATGTCGATTTATTGGATCTCCTTTTAAGAGCGATACAATCAAACTTAAACAATCAAAATTTATTTGAATTTAAAATTAAGTTTTATTTTAAATACAAATTTCTAATTTGTACTTACCAATATAAATAAATAAAAAACAATACTAAATAGTAACCAAGGTATATCATGCAATCTCTTGTATGCCTTTTTAATTGTCCATGATTATGTATTTCTGTTGGATCATATACACCCATATTACCTTGGGGAGTACTAAAAACTTCATAAATGAGCCACATTGTCATTGGCGCATTAATAAGAGTTAACATCCATTGGCCATTAATAAGTAGTAGAAATAACAGAAATGTGTGAGCTATGACCTTGGGAATTACCCACTATGAAAATAAAAAACTTCAGTTAAACAAAAAAACAAATGATAAAAAACACATTTCCTAAATACATTAGAAGATTTTACCCTATTTAATCTTGAACAGCATTGTCTAGCATTTAAAGAATCACATTCTAAATCTGAGAGTGTTATTATCTTAAATTTTCATTAGTTAAAGATAATATTAAATACTTAAATATATAGTCAAATAAAAAATTAAAAAATTAGTTAAAAACAATATTAAATATAAAAGTACAATAAACCTCTTTTAAAAACATATATAGAATTATAAAATTGCTCATCTTTACATAATATATTTGCATTAGCCCACGGATGGATTTGTAATTGATAAGACTTATATTTAAAATTTAATTATCATTTAACATATACTTTCACATGTGTCTATTAAAGTGTTTTCAATAAAAAGAGTATTTTCTATTTCAATAAATTTGTTTATCTTTAATAATTAATTAAAGAATAAATACTAATCTTTTGTTGTTAGTTTTCCATATGATAATATTGATAATAATTTAATAAATGAAATTGAGTACAGTAATTACACAAAATATTTTTAGTTTAATATATAAAACTTAAATGTGTTAAATATCCATTTTGTCCCGCCATAGCTTGAAGCTAACCTTATATAGCATTCTTGCCAATTAAATTTCTATACTTTACTAGTTAACTAAAATCTATACTATAGAAATTATTTTACAATTATATAAAATACTTACACTATTTATAAAAACAACAAGATAAGTTAAAAATACAAGGATACAAAGTACACAAGAAGAAATAAAAGGGAACCGGTATCGAGTAGAGCAAATGCAAAAAGTAATTGCTCCATTACGAAGATCATAATGCACAAATTCCTAACTCTTTTTTAATATACGTGATATGAATTATGTAGCATCTTTTTTTAATATATATCTTTAAAACTATTTCATGAAGTTATTAATATCAATTACTCATAATAGTTCAAAAAATCTGAAAATTGTAAACGAAAAATAAAATACAATAATCAATGTAATAACTTCACACCACTGCCAACATCAACAAAGTGTGAATGCTGGCCAATTACTTATTGATATAAAACGTAGCCACGTTCCTCCTATTATCGATCGTCGGCGAGCGAAAATGTAAATTACATATAATATAATAAAAATATTAGTAACATTATCGTTCATTAAATTTGATTCGATTTAATTTAATAAAAAAGGAAACGATATAAGTCTTTTTATTAATTTATAAAAGTGATATAAATTTTACTTCATAATGATTCCGAAAAAATGTTCAAAATCAAACTTATATTGTCCCATTAAAAGTAAAAATAATGTTTATATAATAATTTCAATGTTTAATGTTGTTGATAATAAAGAGTAGCACAAAAATGGATCTTATCTCCATGCATCCTTTTAAAATGATGATGCAGAACTGACAAAATAAATAATCATTGCAATTCTGAACACAAATTCATGTTAGTATTTATTAAATTTAAGCATCAGCTAGCTTAGTTTTAAGATAAATAGATAGAATTAGTAAATTTACACAACAGAATTTTAAATCTTGACCTGTACTTAACCAAACCACAATCTTGTTTACAAATGTACGAAAAAATTTGAGATATTTACAAACCGAAACGATACTTTAAAATACTTGTACTGTTGATTCAATACAATAAATACCATTTGTTTATACATTTTTTGTAATGGATACCTCATTGTCATTCAAATACAAATTTAAATACGTAAAAAAATAGGATATTGGACATAGTGAATAACTATCCTTTCTTTTAAGAGCTTTTAACACGTTATACGAATTCACATTATGTTGTTATTTTTATGAATAAAAAATATTCAACTTGCGAAGAACAATTACAAATTGTGTTTAAAACTTCATCTGAATAGTCTTCGTGAAAAACATGTTAGAGTCTATAATACGCTACTCTATGATTAATTAATATTAATTTTAATTGCATGCATTCATTGTAATAAACTTAGATTAATCGTAAAAGTATCTTTATTCGTTTGATCATTTTGTTCTCATCTACCAAATATCGTTTTGCTCTTGAAAGAAACTACTTACATGAACTTGTATGCTGTGATATTTACCTTTCTGAGAAACCTTTATAAATTCCGAATAACATTACGATGATCACATGTTAATCAAATTACTATTTAGGTACGGAGTAAAATATAATATTAATTCTCCCACAACTGTACGCATAAGTTATAATATCTGTTAATGCAATGTCTTTAATCTTTAAATAACAACGTATCATTCATACCTTAGAGATTTACATACACATGCATACGTGCTTTGTTATTTGTCATAATTCAGGAAAATTCATGCTCACTAATTATTATGGTTAACAAATTAAATAAATATAATATGTATAAATAAGTTTATTCACATATCAGAAAGATTTAATGTTCACGTGGATTCAATAGTTTAGTCATGATTTTCAAAGATCCGCATCAATTTATTTATTATCATTCAACATTTTTAATCAATCTACTCCAATAATTGATATATATTCCAAAATCAAAAGTAAAATCATTCACGAATACTTAGAACTAATTTTACTTATTGCTAAATTTTTACAAAGTTACAAAGAGTGAACTTTCTATATCTAAATTTATTTTGTAAATAATTTTAAATAGCAAGCATCGATTACATAGATCAAAAATTTATAATTTTTACCTCTCAATTTAATCAAGCACGTTGTCTTACATCTAAGAAACATTTTATTTTGACATTTTTCGATATACAATTAATGGTATGTTTTATTATAATAATTACTAAGTCTCTGGTTTAAAAAAAATCTTAATAACTATTATTTTATTAAAATAATTTATTGACGTAAAATGATATAATTTAAAGTTTGAATTTTTCCCGGCAATTACTATATGCAGTTTCAATTGTATATATATATATATATATATATATATATATCAAAAAATGTCCAATCTATTAGTAATACAGAATAAAAATATGGCGAGTAAAAATGTCGTCCGATTACTAAAAAATTCAACTAAATTTAATTGTAAATCACTGCATTCGTCTTTTGCAACATGGACACCTCCAAATGATGAAACACATACTGATCAGGTGAACAAAAATTAAGCGATTAATTTATTAATTAGCACGAATTCAGTTAAAATGTTACGTCAGTAATATACGAAGTTTCGTATGTTTACTTTGTAAATTAATAAAATTAATTAGCATATATAATTAATTTTAAAAGCTAGCTTTAATTATAAAATATGTTATTATTTCATGTTTAATTATTATACAGCAATTTCATCCTGATGATTATCGAAATACGAGATTCATAGGAAAACGCAAGGAAGTAAATAAAAATTGGGCAATTAAATTAATTGCTGAAGAATCTCCAAAATGTGTAAAGGAGCGGATTGTATCTTGCGATGGCGGTGATGAATTACTTGGACATCCAAAAGTCTATATCAATTTAGTAAGAATTACATTTAATCCAACGAAAGCCCCTATTCAAATAATAAAGTATAAAAGAATTATTTGAAATTTTGTGTTATATGCAAAGAAATTAATTTAAATATTTGAAAAACAAAAAGTAATTAATTATTTTATTTTTAAAATGACATCTAAATATTAAAGACTTCTTAATGCTTAGAGATTAATCTATTTTTAAAATGTTAATATAAATTGACATTTCATGTTAAAATTCAAATAAATTATTGCATATAAATCTTTATTAATTTTTTTTATTATAGGATCAGCCTGGTAATCATACATGTGGCTATTGTGGAATAAGGTTCTACAAGGAGGATCATTAAGGAAATTTATAGTTATGAATAATATAAATAAAATAGTAGATAAAAAGATTTACACTGTATCATTTTGAGTTAACAATGCAAAGCAGAAATTAAACAATTTGTTATAAAGAATAATTTATTACATAAAATTAGTTTCTATTAAACTTATATAATTTTATACATTATATAGTAATTCACAAATCTTAATTTTATTTATGAAAGTTTATTGTTTATATAAATATTAAATTTTTTAAAAAGTCAGTAAAATTTATAAAAAAAGTTTATAAAGCTGTTTTTTGACTGTTCATGCCAAGAGGAATTGCTTTAAGTTCGGTTTTCATACACAAAAACTCACCACATACACACATTATACTTGTAGTAACAATGTTCAAACACCACCAACTAAAAGTTATTGGAAAATTACCATTATATATCCAACAGCAAATAAGATGTATCAAATGTGCTGTACATGCAAAATCCATGCATTGCTTTGTCCTTTGTACCAAATACCATAATGCTATTGAACCAATTATAGAATTAAATATAAATATGATTATTACAAGGTATCCACTAAAATCACGAACATGAATTTCTTTATATTGGAAGACATAATCTAGTGATTTCGTGGTACCTAATAGAGTAGCAATAATTATAATCCATATGCCAAGAATACTATATATAACACTTTGCACCGCAATAATTTGTGATATTATAAGTATTGGATCCCATGTTGTTTTTCGAAATTGTCCAGTAATTCCATTCATTTTTATATAATATTTATTTACATATTAAATTTACATCTAAGCTGAAAATTAATAACAGTTAATTTATAAAAATTAAAAATTCATAATTAATCACAATGTAGAACTTTAAAAAGAATAATGTTTTAAACAATTGTGTTTATTCATTAATTGATTAATAAATAGTAGAAAAGGATATGATAAAACAAATATATAAAATTCAAGTATTGATTATAACTTAAATTACAAAATTTGAACATAAATGGTAAATAACATAAATTAGTGAAATTCATATTTATTTATTTCACTTGTCTGTAAGACTGTAGTAAAATAAATAAACCTTATTTTGAAAATATATGAATGTAGATTTATATATAGACATAACCTCCAAAACAAAATTTGCAGTCCTATTCTAATTTTTATATAGTTAGTTTTTCTAGCTCTACATTGACATAGATAACATCAATACTTTCATAATTAATTTTAATGTAAACGTAAGTAACAAAATATTTACTATATTATAAATAATTACGATTCCATACATATATTTTATTAAGAAATTACAAGATTTAATTAAACCTATTTAAAATAACATGAATACAACAATCATTGGATAAACATATTATTAAATTGTTTAATATAAACGAATAAATGTAGCTATAATTCGTATATGAAATATAAAAAGAAGTAATATTTGTGAGTTTTGTTCTTCAATCATATACTTAAAACAAAAACATTCATAATATATACCTTTGCAGCTCCCGTATTGAATATATTTATAATTATAAAACGCTTTTAAACATTTTATTTTCATACTCTTTTAGAAAATGAAAAATCACAGTTATGAAATTTTAAATTTCTAGTAGAATTACATTATAAAATATAATACGTACAGAATTCTGTATGGAACCTTATTAAAGTCATGATATATCTAATATTGTAATTACGCAATTTGAAGTCTCGCTTCATTGGTGTTTTTATCTAAACACTGTAGAATTAATTGCATATTATAAAAATTTTCTAGTAACTCGTAACTTTCGTTTAAAATAAATGTGATTTTGATTTATTCTTTTCTCAAATTATAAATAAACAATGCAAAAGTATAAAAAAAGTAATAAATATAAACTTCATTAAGTTGTTTAAAAATATAAGAAATTATAAAATCGATCTATTGGTTGTAAAAATTTATTTTTAATATATATTTAATAATTGATATAATTGTATATTTCTTATTAAAATTTATATTAACAAAATTATATAATTAAAATATGAATCGTACAAATATATTTCGTTAATAATATCAAATAATTAATTTAAATAATATTAAAATGTAAACCTATGCGTTGACTTTAATATTCCTTATACATTTAGCATTAAATATTATTTTCATTCTTTTCTAATATTTAAAAATGTTTTAAATTACTTTATATATATATATATATATTTATAAATCGTGGAAAGTAAACAAAAATAATAAATATAAAATTTTTCTTTGGTAAAATGTTTTGCCTTAGTATTTAAAATATATGAAAGATTGTATTATATTTATATTTCGCGCATTATAAGTACCAGACTTATATTAGATATTTTTAATAAGAAATGTAGACCGACAGGCGCTACTGCATTTCACTTTTTATCACCGTTCTTACTATTTGTTGGCGTTTTTTCTTACTTCAGAAAGTTCGTGTTTAGTTAGAACTCTGACTGTATTCTTAAGATTTGCGGATGGGGATTTCTCGAAGCTCGAATAATGAATATACCAACTTCAGAGTGTTCAGAATAAAGTAGTGGAATTATAGGTAAGAGTAATAATCAGATAGATTGTACGAATGAAACTGATGAGTTCTAAATTATCTCTTTTATTGTAAAGAAGGAAAATAAAGATGCCATTTCTAGATTTTTTCCGAAGCATCTTTAATAAAGAAGCTATACAAGAGCCACCTCAAAACAGGTTATAAAAAAAATATATATAAATTGGATTTTTTTTTTATTATACGTATTAAATGTTCTTAGATTTTTTTGTTTCCTTTTATCGTACAATGTGTTACACAAATTAAAATAATTAAATTGATATTATTAAATACATGTAATTAGTTAAAAATGTTTTAATTATATTAAATTTATTTTAGGTTCGAGGATAACTATCGGTACAGCGATAGCTTCAGGAATCCAATTTGGCAGAATGATGAAGATGAAAATGAAGATGATGTTAGTGATTTTAGGTAATTCTTTATTGTGTAAAAACTATAGAAATATTTGAATTTTTTTTATAGTTTCTTTTTTTCCTGTTTTCAATAGTAGACATCCAATGAATAGATACAATTTTAAAATAGACAGTAATCCTTTTGAAATGACTCGTTTTTTTGAGGCCCAAATGGAATATTTATTAAAAAGTTTTTTTAGTTTTGATGGATTTGGAAAAAATTTTGGAAATCATACAAATATCTTCATACCTTTTGAAGGTAAATATCTTAAATTAAACTTTGTATATAATATTAACCAATTTTTTGCAATAATGAAGGTATTTTTATTTATATACAAGGGAAAATAGTAAAAAGTTATTTTTGGGAATAATAAATTTATTTAATGTTTACTTTTTTATACAAATACTATTTAAATAAAAATACAATCTACAATAAAAAAATATATTAAATAATACAGTTTATTGTTATGAATTCTATATATTAATTTTATTAAAATATTTGAAAACTACATTTTTACGTAATATAATAATAATACATTAAAATTTTAATATTCTGCAAAAATACAAAAATTCTATAAAATTTTTAACTATAATAGTTTAATATAAAATATATACAATTTGGATCATAGTTATTAAACTATAATTAGTAATTTAGGTTAAGAAGCATTAAAAAATATTTCAAATATGCATAAATTATATTAATTGAGTAATTTTCTGATTACCTTTACATAAAACTTGTATATTTTAAAAATATAATAATTATAAAAAAAAAATTGAACATTTTGAAATAATATTTTATAAATTGTATATAGTTATTTAAGCTCCAAAGGAAAACCATGAAATTGAAATTCATTTCATACAAAATTTGACTTAATTATATAAATGATACAAAATATGATTGTTGTTTTAATTCATTTAACATTAAAAAAGGAAATGTTTAAAATTATAGGTATAGTAAATATTTCATTTTCTGTAAGATTAGAATATAATTTCTAAATTTCTTTTTTATATATTTAGTTGCTAAACTTAATTATGTATAAAGAATTTATCTTCTTTTAATTCAACTATTATTTAATTAAGTTTATATTGTTTATTTTAATTTTTATTTATTTATTAATATCTAAGCCATAGATATCTTATACTAAAATCTTTTAGGTAAAAATAATAATTATTATTTTATTTAAATAGATGATAATTTTATGCAAGAATTTTCAATATACGATGGAAGATCAAATGGTATTGGACCACGTGATGAAGTAATGAAACCTGAATATAAAGCAACAGATCCAGGATTTGCAAGCAAGTTTTTTTACTTTTATGGATGTTTTAAAATATAAAAATATTAAATTATAATGTGGACTTTAAAAATGATATAAGATACAAAATAATATATAAACACATGTATTAAATTTATTATTTTATATGAATGTAGATGATAATTTTACAAGTTTATTTGCATTACCTGATGTGAAACCAAAAACTAAAGGGCTTTGTGATGCTTTGCTGAAACCTTCTTATGAAATACTAGATTCAAACAGTGATAAAGTGGATTCTGATTTAGATGGAAAGTAAGTAAAGCTTAACTAAAGAGCTTGAGTACTGTAAAATAAAACCAATATAATATTATAATTAATGTTGTTATTGTTGTTATATAAATATTCATATTATTTAGGATTAAATCAGGTGAGCTAGCAGAAATATGGAAGGCCCCTTCAACATCGGAAACTGTACAACCACAATTTTCTGTTAGAAATTTTACATTTGGAAAAAGTGTTTCAACACAGGTAATTCGAAGACAAGATGGAAGCATTGAAGAACGTCGCACAGTCAAAGATAGTAATGGCAATGAAGAAACTAGTATAACAAGACAAATAGGAGATCAACAACATACTATAATAAAAAAAAAAGCTAAAGATGGATCTGAAGAACAGACAGAGAATATAATCAACATGGATGAAAGTAAATATTTTTATTGTTTAAAAACATTGATTTTATTATTAAAAATTGATCAATGAATTCTTAAATATAAATTATTTTTTAGATGAATTGAAGGGATTTGATAAAAAATGGTTAGGATTTTCAAAAACACCAAAGCAGTCAAATATCAGTCTTGAAGATTTTCCATGGCAAAAATTTTTTGGTCCTAATCCAAAATTATAATAAAAATTAAATTAAATTAAATAAAAATGAAATAACATTAGTTAACAATGAATTATTATTAATGGATTTATAAATTTGTAGATATATAAATTTCTAGTTTTTATTTATTAATATAAGTTTCTTGTTATTTAAAGACAAAATATAATAATATAATTAAACTATCATTATTTGTGTATGGGAATGATTGAGAATATGCAACTATTAATTTTAGTACAAGCATAAAAATTATAATTTCACCTTTGATTCAAATAAAATCAGAAAATTTTATTAAATTATCTACATAAACCTTATTTAATTGTATAACATAAAAATTGAAAAATAAAATGTTTCAAGAAATGTTTTACTTTAATTGTAAAATTATTTTATGTTAAAACTACATGTTTTCAATAACAATAAATTTAATTTTACTTAAAGTCAATTACATATTTATGGAAAAAATACTGACTACAAACTATATTGCAAAACTGACATGATATTCCTGGTTAAAAAATCTGAAATTGAAAATAACTTGTATTAAAAATTATAGTAGCTTCATTGGTACTGAATAAATTTGATACTTATTAAAATGAAAAAAATAAAATTTGTATTAAACTAATTATTATGTAACATGTATTTGGATAAAATTTAAATAATAATTACTTAAGCAATTAAATTTTAAATACTTGTATGAAAGTTGTTTTATTTGAAAAAATTGTAAGTGATATGTAATTATATTTAATAATTTATGCATTTCATCAATGTAAATGATTTTAAAATAATTTTTTTTATTTTTATTAAATTATTAAACTAATTTTAGTTCTATGTTCTTTTTTATCATAATTTAAATATTTTTCAAATTATTTTCAATATACTCTTTTAACCAGTACTTTGAATTATTTGAAGGATACTTTTATACGTCGCTTTACCATTCATCTGTTTTAAATAATCACATGCTTATTGAAAATTCAGGCTTTTTTATAACATTCATTTTTCTCGTATATACATTCTTATATACTAGCGGTAATATTTCTTTTTTAAATCAAGGAATTATACTTCCAAGTAGAACTCTTTTAATTATACCACTAGTAAATTTTAATATAAGTATCAGCTTTTTGTATAAGATACGCTACTATACATTGTTCACGTATAGAAACACGTACATTATATGTCAGGTCATTTTGTAATAGCAAATGTAACAAAGGTACGAGATTTCACTTCTTAAAAATTCAATAAATTATTTTCATTTGTGTACTAAATTGATGTTACAGAATATTTCTTGATTTATGATCAATGCAATTATTCATTTTAATTTTTAAAAATGACCCATAGTAATCGAAAATCGTGTATTATAAATATTTTTCGTTATTTGACTAATATTATCTTTTCCATTTTTTTTTTAAATTTATAATTATACTGATTATTTTAGGAATGAATGTGGTTACACTGTGAATATTAATTTTATTTTTGCCGCAAATATACATACCCTTTAATAACTTTGGTTTTTTATAAAAGAAAAATTAATTGAAAATTAGTTTCATGAGTATGAATATGTATAAAATAATCCAACTATATTGTTCTTATATCGAAATAATTTCAACTGTTCCAGACAGCACATAATCATTATTATGTCATTTACGGTATAGCGCAAATATAGTTCAACTACATAAAATTTAATTTTACATAATATATCATTATTGGTTATCTCCTTTTCTGAGACCATGAAATTATAGACGAAAATTTTATTTTAATTAATATTCCTAAGTATTGAGGATAAGTTTTATATAATTGTATTTCAATAGGAACCGTTTAATATAATTACTTTAAATATAATTTATTTAAATAAACTAAGTTTAAATAATATAATTAATGCTATTGAATTTTTATAAGCCTTGTATCAAATTCTGTGTGTATTAAATACATTTTCAAAGGTGTATATAATAATATATGATTGTTTACCCTCAAAATAACTTGGAAATATTTACATAATATAAAAATTATGAAATCCACATATATTTAAAAGAAAAATATCTATTTTAATAATTTTCTAAAAATTTACATTACTTTTTATGTTATGTTTACACTTAACGTACAATAATTTAAACATGATTCGAAATTACTATTTATCATATGCGATATAAATATTTAAAAATTTTTACATGAACAATAATTTCGGTATATAAATACTTTTAACTTGAAAACAAAAATGAAAATTAATTTTAAAACATAATCATTTTTATCCAAAGCTTAAAACGATAAGCCAATTTTTTGTACCAAACAAAGAATTAAATAAAATAAGGATATTCGGAATCATACAATTCTTAACTGTGTACAAATAGCACTAACGACAGTCGCTTAATTTAATAACTTTATACACATCGTCGCAAAGGAACAAGGAAGAATATAGTGGTGGCTTCGCTTTACAAACATCGACTATATATATTTATATACATGTACATATACGCTATATATCTCGTGTTTTTAAAACAAAATCCAATCATTCATCATGGGTTAATACTTTTACACGCCCTGTCATTTGGTTTAGTAGTTATCAAATCGCAATCCATATACTTTGATACATCTGAGTAACGTGACTATCTTTTTCAATAACAAATTTTGAATTGTAAATTCATTGGATAAATCTTAATTTACATGCACTTAAATATGGAAATGAGAAAGTAATACTCTTTCATTTAGATCACATAATTGCATGTTTACAGGTTTTATGTATATTTTATTTTTCCATGTATTCAATTATACATAGAAATTGTTCTTGTGTGCTCATATGAATTTTTAAGTATTTAAGACTAATGTTATCAAAAATGGAGTATAATTAAAATTGTTAATTAAAAATTTAAATAAAATTTATTAATTAATTAAAATGTATTAATTAATTTATTAATTAATAAATAAAAACATACAAATATAATCGATTTTAATACAATCATACTTGTAAATTTATGTTTGATATTATTATGAATAACCAATCATTATCATTTTTTTTTTAAATTATCTATCACTGATAGCAATGATAAAGCAAAATTTTTATATAAATTCCAATATCTTGAATTGAGATTTTAGTTCTGTATCAAATTATGTAACAAATTAAATAATTCACTACTGATTTAAATCATACTGAACTTAATATTTAAATTCACAAGAATTGAAATATATTACATAATACAAAGTTCAAATTACAATGAAAGAGTAACCTTTTGCTTTGAGAAATTTAAACTTAAAATATTAATCTACACAGTTAGTGATGGGTGTTCTTACTCTTGACCAAAGCCCTCAGTTTCTTCGATAGCATAATTCAATTTCTCCACCAGTTGATCATAACTTTTATAAGGTGGTAAATCAAGCCTGTTAAAACACGTGTGTGATCTTGGTAGCCACGTATCCTTGCCAACTTTCTCAATGCAAAATCTTTGTGGACCATTACTCCCTTTTGTTTACAATTAGTACACAAAAATAAACATAATCTTAGAAAATATTAATTCAATGAATTGTAATATAACAAGAAATAATAGCATTTCGAATAAAAATTACGTTTCAATTTTCGAAAATATTATACAAAATAAATATTTAAATTGATAACATTAAAGATTTTTAGAAATTATATATATGTATAGAAATGATTATACATAATATACTTGGAACACATATTTAAGTGTAATCCAATAAAAAATATCATACACTGTATGAATTATCAATATAAATGTACTGAAAAAATATTCTTATAACTTAAAATACATTATCAAAGTACATGAAAATTAATTTAAATTTATAATATATTATAATATATTATAATAACTATTAAATAATTAAGTAATTAATAAATTTTATAATCATATAATAATTAAATCAATATAATAAATATAAATAAAAAAATTAATATAAATATAAACGAAAATATATAATAAACAAAATAAAATTTATAATGAATAAAATATATAATTTATCTTTATATTTTTAATAATTCTTATTAAAAAATTTTTCAAAACAAATTAAAAATAGTAATGTTTTATATCAACTGAATTGTGAAAACGTTATCTAAAAGTAAATTCCAATTTACCCATTAATTCTGCAAATCCACCAACAGGAACTCGACATGTTCCAGTAACAAATTGCAACAATCTTGCCCGTTTTTCATTATCTGCTGCTCTTACAAACTGAATAATAGTAATAGTAAATTACTTAATATAAACTTTCAAAATAATTTTACTTGTATTTCTTAGTAATATAAATTCAAATGAAAACAAACCTGCCAAAACCATAATACTTGCTTACTATTGCGTGTATAATGTCTGTATATGGTATTTCTTTGCCAATCATCCACATCGATTTCTTGCATACCACACAACATAAGTTCAAGTTCTCGTTCATCAAAATACTTTAACCATTCTAAAGGTACAACAGAATTAAATCCTTCCAAAAAAGCTTTGGTTTGCTCTTCAATGCCTCGTGTCATTCGCCATTCTGTCATTAGCCTATAAGTTTGTAGGTTAAATAAATTGATAATAATAAATATATATTTTTTATTTCAGTATAGATTGTACCAAAATTCGACTATTGGACACGCTTCCGAACTAATTATACCTTAAATATTCTTCTTTATTGTCTTCAATAACTTTAATTTTATCTCCACCATCTTTTAATTCATGATGAATTACTTGACCAAGAATTTCAAAATCAACACTATGATATAATTCAAGACCACATTCATCAATATTGTTTTCCTTTATCCAAATAAGTGATTTATAAAATTCAGGATCAATGGATTCAATATCTTTCATTATTAATTTTTTATTTAACATTCGTTTGTAGAAGGGCATTGTGAATCCACTATAAATAAAACGTCCGTGATAAAGTGCCTAAAAATATTAAAATGAATATTTTACATGTTGCGAAATTATACAACTTTAAAATTTTGTTAATATACCATTGCTATAAATCTTCCAATAAATTTAAAATAATTTAAATGATCTGGATTTACATAAGATGCTGGATTTATTTGTAGACTATAGTTGCTTTTGTTAGCATATTCAAAAAGACAATACATTGGATTAAGAACTTCATGACTTAGAAGAAAAAACCATTCTCTGTAAAAAAAATAATTATTTTAATATTTTGTATTCAATTTTTAAAAATAAACTATCCAATTAAAATAAACTTATTTGCTTGCATTCATGTCTTACCTTGATACACCACCATAATCTAAACCTTCTTCTCCTTTAAAAAGTATATACAACCTACGTCTAAGAGCGAAAGCTTCTGCATTCATTATTTGGTGATAAGAGTCTTCAAATAACGTTTGTCTACTAACACTAATTTTAATGTGATTAGGAAATGCATTCGTTTGACACAAAAAGCGAAATTGAGAAAGCTTCCAACGGAATGATCTTTCATATGCTCTTGGCACTCTACACATTCCCTTTGGTCTAAAGTAAATAAAATAATGCATTTCAATTAGACACATTTTAAAATATTTGAAGGTCAGGAACAATGTATTGTACAATGTATTATATTATGTTACAAATATAAGATTTTTATTATTTTCAATAGTTATATTTTATTCATAAAACTTAAAAAACATTGTAAAAATTATGAAAAACTTAGATTATTCATCCAATAATATTTATGAGACAATAAATCTTCGAAATACAGTAAGATTCGTTATACAGTATAAGCTAATGAATTGTAATCAAACAAAAATATTAATTTTATCTGTGAATATTTATATGATAAAAAATAATAAGAATGAAATTTAAAAAAATAGTAAAAAGAATATAGATCAAACTGAAAATTAATATTAAAAAGAAAATTTTAAAAGTATAAAATATTTGATAATGTATTTTGTAACTTTATATAACTATTTCTAAAAAAAAGTATCATGTCATATTTTAAAGATTGAAATTAAACATAATTATTAAAATAAGTAGCTTTTAAATATTTTATAATTATATGTATTGTAAATTGAAAAGATAGAAAATTTTAGACAAATTTATTGCTTAATTACGTACATTAATTTGCTTTTAAAATGATGACAAATGCTAAGAAAGAAAAGTATACCCATTAGGCACACCCGGCCTTGGATCCTGGAATGTTGTTGTCCTCGTGTTATGATCGACAAAGTATCGCATACCATCCTCGGTCAGCCGAATCTCCCAACCATACGGTAGAGGTGGCTCGTCCATTGTTTCCTGACCCTGTGTTCGTGGATCCTCCCATTGCGTCGTACGATTCTTATGGTTAACGTAATATACGCGACCTTCCGGCTGTCTTCGTCGCTCCCAACCAGCAGGCAAAGGGCCCAGACCATCGTCTTCATCGGCAATTGACGTAAATGGTCCTGCTGCCATAGCTTGATGCGACTGAATAATATAAGTATTTCATGTGTACATTTGTAATTTAAATAAATTTTAAATTAAATACTTATATAGAAATAAATTATATATAAATCTTAGACATCCATATTAACATCAATATTTTATTTTTGTTATTTAAATAAATTTTAAAATAAAAAGAAATTTTTCTAATAAAAATCCTTCTAATTAAAAAGTTATACCATTTCAAAAATAAAATATTGATGTTAATATGGATGTCTAAGATTTATATATAATTTATTTCTATATAAGTATTTAATTTAACTTAACATCACTCAGGTCATAAATTCGTATTTTAAAATAAATATGTACATTAAAAATAGCAATAATTAACAATAATTCGAGGCTTATCTTTGTTAATTTCAATCGTGAAATTCATTTTATTTAAGCTTTAATTTAAATACTTAAAAATATAAATTTATGTATTGAGATTTTGTAAATAAAACAAACAACAGAGTATACAATAGAAGATAAATACCTGTGGATAAAGAAATCGTTGATTTCCTTGTTGAACTACATACTGTCTCTCACCCTGCCACTGTTGATAATGCTGCAATCTTTCTGAATTTGGTCTTTGCCAGGTAGTACTTCTTGTATTGTGATCTATATAATAAATTCGTCCTCCCATATCTCGTCGAACTTCCCAACCTGGTGGTAAAGGTTGTGGTCTCTCCCAGGATGTGCTACGTGTATTATGATCAACATAATACCTAAAAAAATTTGTATAAAGAAATTAGATTTATAGAATCGTATGTTATAAAATTTCTATATAAATAATGAATAAGAAAAATTTTTAATTTAATTGTTATTGAAAATAGTCACCTTCTGCCATAAACATCGTGTCTCATTTCCCAACCAGCCGGTAGAGGTTCCTCCTGAGGTAGGTTTTCAACTTGGTTAGTTATATTAGAGGAACATGGCTGTGCAGGTGGTTGAACCAATGGTAAAAAACTTGTTTCTGGTGATACGCTGTCACCTGCTGTGCCATTGTTATCACTGCTGGTAGTACCATTTGAAAAAAAAGGAGTATATACTGCTATAGCTCTACTACTACTTGGCTCAGTATCTGATTGACCAGCACTGTTACAGTCTTGAAAGTTATTTGATGAATTACGATACATCAATGGTTGAACAATCATAGAAGGCACTACATCTTCTGTACCTTGTGATCGCATACGAGCTCTGACACCATCATCTATGATATTTATTTTTCTCAAAATTATATTTCTTATTTTATATAAGTTTTATAAATAATGCAATTACTAACCAAGAGGTACGGTGGTTGGATGAAAAGGTGGCGATACAGACATTTGACTTGTATTACCAAAAGCAGGGTGATCATGTCGTAGATGAAATGGAGGAGCAACAGTATTCATGTCAATTTTAAGCCTATCAAACAAGGTGATTAAATCACCAGTTTTAGGTTGAATATACCCATGTTGATTTCCTGACAATAAGTCTAGAGTAAGCTCTAAATTTTCCAATTTGCCATTATAGTTTGATAAAACATTATAAAGAGAGATTTTTTTTTCACCAATCAATGTATCTTTACGAAAAGAACTGTGATCTAAAAGACGAAAATGTAGATAAGAGTATGGTGTTACTAAAACTGTAAATTCTTCATTCCATTTTGGTTGTAGTGTTGACTTAGATACTTCAGTTTTTCGTGGACTTTTATGATCCACTGATAATTCTATGTACGGATTAGGTTTTAAAAAAAAAGAACTTTTCAAACTTGCTGTTTCAACTAGAATAATAAAGAAAATACATTTAAAATATTTACCTATTAAAATCCAATTTGTATTAAAAAACAATAGAATTAAATTTTATTAGTAAATTTTAATTATTAATATATACAAATAAATATAAGTAATATTGAGTTCATATATTTCATATATTATTTTTTATACTTTATCGGCAGTATTCTTATTTAAAACAATAAGAAATTTTTAAAAATTGCATTAAATTTTTTATTATACTATAAATAATCAAAGACTATATAATAATAAGGTAAATGTTATTTAATAAAATATTCATTTATCACCTATTACTAACATTAGATTTTCAATTATTTGTCTTCCATAAATTATTTATATATTAAAATATAAATTTCAAATATTTTCTTATTCAAATACTTTAATTATATAATAATAAGTAGATACTTGAACATATTTCAAATATAAAACATTTTAATAAATTTATTTTCAACTTCTTAAATTATTTATATATATAAGTTAATTCTTGCACCCATAATAGTTGTTTTAATCTAATTAATTTTATATTAAAATTTAATATTATTCTTTATAGTTTTTGTTTATTCTTTAATAATCAGAATGTATCTTATTAAATAGATTATTAATAGTATTTAATTATTTCCTATATCATTTATATAAAATTAAAGAAAATCTGGAATCTATGAATATAATTTAAAGTATAACCCATAATTGTATAATTATATTTAAAATTTTAGAAATATAACCATAAGTAAATATATTCCAGAAATATTACAAATCTGATTTAATAAATGTTCTGCAGAAAGCAATAAAATGTTCACATTATATTTCAACTTATAATTAAAAAATAATTAAATGGTTTAGATTTACTTGTAACACTGAGCTGATGAAATCCTGACATTGATGGATCCTCTTCACATGTAGACATAGTAAATTGTTGGATCATCTGGTTCAATTTACCTAATGCAATGACTCATAACATTTTTACCCACTTTAAACTGCATCTGCAGCTGAAACAAACAGTTTTATCACGATCAAAATTGTTATTACCTAATTATAAATGCAAGTTATTAATAACAAATTTTAATTACATTTATTGATGGAAAAGAGAAATATCTCTTTAATGAATTATTATATATATCCATTAACTATAAGAAGTCCATGTAAATAGCATATAATAAGCATAAATTCCTTAATGAAAGAAACTTCAAAGCTTAATATTAAAAATCAATTTCCACGATTAAATGTTATGTATTTGTAAGTTTATTTTAATTTTTCACTATTAACAGTCTGATAACTAATTATAAATCACTCTAGTTGCTTATAAAATACATCCCTCGTTCCTTTGTTTTTTTTTCTAGATAACAAACTTAATAATCGCGTATGTATATAGTGATAAAGCATCCAATAATAAAAAAATTTTTCATCACCATATATGAATTTAAATATTATGTAGATGTATGTAATTCTTAATTGCTAAACAAGAATGTGTATCAATATTATTACATCCTAAAAGTTCAACATAGTCAAAATGTTCAATTTGGTGGTATTTAATTAACGTATCGACGCATATATAAATTAATGAAACTCCTTTTATCGCTCGTGCGTATGTACATTACACGTAATAAAGACGGTGGACAAATGACAAAAAAGGCATTCCATTAATTCTAATAAAAAACAAACCTAAAGAATCGTTGTTATGAATGTTCATACAGTCAACCCACAATTTAAGGGCAGCAACGAAAGAAAAAAATGTAGTAGAGAACAACAGCAAAAGCTACTAGATAATTAAGCACTTGCATGTCACAAGAATGCAAGGTCAAATTACACTGATTTTTTCCTCTCTAACGTTCAACAATACAAACGAACCTTCATTTCCCTAAAATAAATGTACGTATGCAAGGAACACAATAAGCCTTGGTGTGGTTACGCGATTCACGTTATAATGCGAATATCTACTATTGCCACTTTATCATCATTGTACTACGGCCACCATCTTGCCATACGTCACTGGTGTAGTGCATTTAATGTGATGTATACACAGTTAATGGTCCAACGCGGACTTTCGTGTGGATTATGTGATGTAGCTTAATACGTATTCATGCCAGATCTTCTTACATACGCATGCACACTTTCTGGCATGGACCGGTGTGCGTAAGTGCCCCCTCGGAGCCCATATGAATATTAACGTTTAAAAACGATTTTTGGTGGAAACTTCGAGCTGTCTGCTAACCCTATTTTTAATATTTTTTTAATAATTTAATTGTTATGACTTTGATCTTTTGTAATGAAAAATCATTATATGGCATATTGAATTTTATTCTTTATTTATCTAAATAACTGCTTTAAAAATAAATAATTCATTTTATAAAAATCGCGTTCAAATGTTATACAAATTTTATAAAAGAAATACCTTTTTAATTACATCACAGTTTTCATTACAATAAATGAAAAACTTTGTATGTGAATTAGTTAAAGATTTATATCCATTATGTACAATATTACCTTAAAATGATACACCAGCTGTGAGACGATGTCATATACTACACGGTTTCCTCCATATTCCATTCGTTAAACAAAATTAATTTAATTAAACAATTTCAACAAGCATACGGATACGCTGTTTTTATAAATTATCTACGAAACTCTTATTATTAAAATTAATACTACCGCTAATTTTAAATAACTATAAAAATATAAGCGTTATTTCGAATTAATTATCGAATTGTCATTAATAACTAAATTAAAGAAATTTAATTTCTCAAAGATTGTTTTATGTTTTACTCGTGTTTAAATCCAATATTATTTAAAATTAATAAATAAGTTTACACTTTTATAGGAATCTATTTTTCGTTGTAAAGATAGGGAATTTGAATAAAGTACACAATTTATGCAAGATTTGTATACTGCTTGTATATAACCTGATAGTCATAAATATCAGTATCAAGTCAAACGCATGTTTATACTTTTTTATTAAAAAATGTCTTTAGAATCAAAGATTGAATATTTAATAGTAGATACTAGTGCATTTATTAAGAATGCACCTTTGCAGGTATTTATATAATAAAGTTTATCGTTATTTTGTACGGGAATTATGTAGTATACATTTTTAGGTTAAAATATTTCCAAGACATTTTTGTACAGATTTTATATATTTATGTAATGAAAACCATTTTTCTTTCTTCAGGAAATCGGTAATAAAATTATAACTGAATCAAGTGTAATAAATGAAATTAAAAGTAAAAGACAGATTAAACGTTTAGTTGTACTACCGTATGATCTAGAAGTGAAGGATGCTTATTCAGAAGATATTAAATTTGGTATTTATCAAATAAAATTTATAATAATTAATAAAATTAATAGCATTTATTTATATGTCATATTTATAGTGACTGAATTTTCAAAAAAAACTGGTGACTATAAAAGTCTTTCGTCAACAGATCTTAAAATCATTGCACTTACATATCGTTTTGAAAAAGAAAAAGTAGGAATAAGTCATTTAAAGGAAGAACCTGAAAAAAAGAAGGAAATTATTTATAATAGCATACTTCCTTCAAATGATCATCCAAAGAATATTATTGGATTTTATATGTCAGAGGTTTATATAATTTTATTATAATATTTAATATTTTTGTTTATAAATTATTAAATAAAGATATATAATAGCTTGTAAATTTATAAATTGTGTTTAAAAATCATTTTAATTTGTGTCTTTATTTATACTTTAAATATAATCTTTATTGTAACATATTTTAATATTTTGCTTAAAATTTCAATACATAAATTCTTTTAAAATTTTAATAATTTATATAGGTATATATATAATTTTTATTTTATTTCAGAAAAAAGAAATAGAAAAATTAGATAATGAAAAAGTTAGTGATATTTATGAGTATGAAAACGATTGTACAAAGATAAATGGCAATATAGAGGAAGAAACTAAATCTCGAATATTAAGTGAATATTCAGACTCTTCCATTTCAGACGAAGAGCATTTAGTAGCTGCATCAGTAATAAGTAATAAAAGTAATACAAAGTCTGATTATAAAATAGCTATGTCCGAAGAAGAAACAATTGAATTTAATAAATTAAATAAAAAATTTGAAAAACTCCAATGTGACCCAACAGATTTACCAGTTGATTGTGGAGATATACTTACCATTGATGATATTCTTAAACCCATAAAAATTAATTCAAAAATTCAAAAATCAAAGAATGAAGTTGATCAAGAAGAAATTTTAATTGAAAATGATAATGAAGGCTGGATTACACCAAGTTTGTATTTTATAATTATTTCTACAAAAATCAAGTATGTTGATTATTCTGTGTGTATTAAATTTTTTTAGAAAACATATTAAATATAAAAAAACGTATGGATTCAGATATAGTTAAAGAAAAACCAGCAACTGTCGCATGTTTAACAATGGATTATGCTATGCAAAATGTTTTAATACAGATAGGATTAAATATTGCTTCATTAGAAGGAAAAGTTATTAAAGAAATGAGAACATTTATCTTACGTTGCTATTCATGTTTTAAAACAACAGGTATAGTTACAAAAATTTTCTGTCCACATTGTGGAAACAAAACGTTAAAGAAAGTAAACATATCATTAGATGATGAGGGCAAACAACAAATATATATTAATTTTCGAAAACCACTCACTTCTAAAGGGAAAAAGGTAAGTAATTTAATTTTCAATTATTATTTTGTATATTTATCAATTATTTATTTTTAAATTTTATGTTTTAAATGTTATTAATAATTTAAATTAAAATAAGGAATGTTGAGAACATTCTTAAAATAAATTTAAATTAAATATAAATGAAATTATATCGATATGTTATGTATTATCTTATTCATTTTAATAATTTAATTATCTAGTTAATAATATTTTTCGATTCCTCTAAATAATATTAAAAATTGCTTAAATCTAGTTGGATACTTTATTTTTTTATAGTACTCTCTTCCAACATTTCAAGGTGGTAAGCATGCTTGTAATCCAATATTATTTGAAGACCAGCCAATGCCAGATCAAAGACCAACAAAACTTGGTTGCACTAAAAATGACCCATTAAACGAAGATTATATTGCTGGTTATTCACCTTTTATACAACGAGACGTTAATTCACGAGCAGCAATACTTGGTATCAAATCTGGTGTCAAATATTGGATGAGGAGAAATCCTAATGAAATTAAAAAATATAGGAAGTAAGATATATATTTATTTTTATTGAATTTTTATATTATTTTCATTACTTCAAAATGAATAAATTTTAACCAAAAAAATTCAATAAAAGAACTCTTTGATATTTTTATTATTACACCAAGAACTATAAGTGATTTATCAAACTAAAAATAATAATATAAATATTTCTAAAAAATTATTTAAAAATATGTTATGCTAGTTATCAGATAATTCCGGATTTTCTTTACTTAAAAATTTCTATTATAAGCAAAATTTAAATCTAGTAAAGTGAGAGTAGTAAATACAATTTTTGTATATTCTCTGTACAATATTATGTACATTATTCTTATTGTAATATTCACAAATAATATTATTGATGAATAAATGTAATGAGAAATTTTAGATATAAAAGTAATTTTCTTAAGATGACCACTTTATTATAAATATATTTATACATATATTATAAACTTAATGTCAATATCTACTATTTATTTTTTATCAAAAACTGATATCAATAAATATTGAATTTATGTTTTAAAAAATTTAATATTATTATACGAAACATATAATTTTTATAAAATATTTCTCTTGATTTCACTAGTTGCATTAAATTTTAATATAATGTATATATTTTTTTTATTGTTGATAAATTAACATCAGTAATTTGTACACAAACTTATGTTTTTTTGTATACATGAATTGTAGATCCTTTATTAGCTATATTAAAAAAAATCATGACAATTTTTTTAACGAAATTTTCTTTTGACAAGAATTATCAAAATGAAATTCATTTGAGGATGATAGTACAAGCTATAAAAAAATTACATTACAAATAATAAGCACTATCTATCCTTAAAAATAATAAATCTGTTCAACTTTAAATACAGATTTGCATTGAAAAGAGTTAAAACAAATGTATAGAAGATTCAATCTATTAGAAAATACAATATTTGCTCATACATGATCTGATATTTTTTTATCTTTTATATATTTTTTATTCTAAAACATGGAAAATTATTATATAAGATATATAAAATTTAATTTTTATTTAAAGAATTGATAATCGTAATAATTGAGTTAATGTTCACATGATCACATTAAATGTGTGTAAGGAAATAGATATTGAAAACATTTTCACAATACCAGGATGAATAGAACATGGTAATTAGCTATATTTTTGCAATTATAGCAAAGTTTCAAAACTATTACTCAATTTATTAGTTTCTTAATACTAACAAGAGCTAATAGCCATGTTCAATTCTATATAATTATTTATTAGGAAAAATTATATGTTTATAAATTAATTGCCCTTTATTTTAACCTTTTTTTTAAATAACCTAATGACAAGAACTAATGAAAAATTACGTTTACAAAATTTTATCGCATTTGTTAGTTTTCGTGAATTCTTTAATTTCTGGCTTTGGTTTGTGTTAATTTCAATATATGAGTACAAGCTAAATCGATCCAATTAAGACTTTGATTTTTTTTATTTTCGTTGTTTATTATATCCGTAATAAGAATATCTGAAAAACGGCAGCTTATTTAAAGTTATATAAGTCACAATAATTTAAGATTGAATAGGAAATAATAGTATTGAATTATAATGATTGCATTAGTCATCGAGTAACTAATATATAGTATAATAAATACAGTAATATTGTTTATAAATTATTTAAAGAATTATTGTGCTTAATATAATACTTCTATAATCATTCTGATATAATTAAATGGCAAATTTATTGTAACAGCCATTTAGCAAGTATGTTTTTATTCTCTGGTCTATGCATACAAAATAATATTCGGAATAGTAGATTCCTTTTGTATGTTAAAAGTGCCTTATTTTCATCAATATATAAAGAAATAATTGTAATTAATAAAATAATTATTAAAAATGTTATCATGTTCGTCTAAATTTGTGTTATTTTACTTGACAATATCATTAATTTATTTGATATTCATAATAAATACACGTTCGCAGAAAGTCAAGTATTTTTTATTTTATTTTTATAGGTGAATGGATTTCTAATAAATATGTATATTAACTTGAATAATAATTTTATCATGAATCGAGCTCAATCATTTGCATTGCCATCAATGTAAAGGATGATTTATTAAACAAATTCTTAAATAAAGATATCAAAAATATATTAATGAAATTAATTTATTATAGAGTCGAAATATTAGCGTTACATTTATATACTTAATATTGTGCTCAATAAGTCTAATATAAGATTGTATTATTTAATTCTTAATATATTTTTAGCTGTAAATTGATACACACACGAATTTTTCATTATCTGTACATGTTACTCAGTCGCTTATATGATACTTTTTAAACGAACAAATTGTAACATTATGAGACTTCAAAATAAACTACAGCCGTCAATCGAATTGGCTCTCACGTGTCTTCCTGTTTTTGTGAAAATGATCCTGCGAGTTTCAAATAAAAATAAATGTTTCAAAGAAAAACCATCGTAATAATTTATTTCTTTGAACTAGTATTGAATTATTATCTGATGTTTGCAATTCGACAATTATGATAATTTCAAGACTCACTTTGGCATTGGCCCTACATCACCATATTACAGTGGATTTCATTTACTTATCCATCTACCTATATACTTTTTACCTCGCTCCATCTTGCACTTTTGAAAAACTGATCTGACTAGATTAGTGATCACTTTTCACCCTCGTTTGTCACCAAAAAAACTTTAATGAATAACAGTCTTGTCAAATTTATTTAGTACGTTAATAAATAACATTCCATAAAATGACAAACTGAGCAAACCTGTTAACTTTTCTTATGTACTGTTAAATTTGAATAATTAATTTTCAAAAACATGCAATAATTTGTATTGTAAAGAATTTTTTTTAAAAATAATGAATATTTTAAGGTCAAAAAAGGAATAAATATTAATTAACAAAGAATAAATGTTACATTGTAATTTTTTATGATGAATGTAATAATGATGGTATATTACAAATTATTTTTTTTGACTTTACGTTTTCAATTCACAAAATTTTGATTATATTTATATCAATGAAAAATAAATATTTTTTTTTAAAGAAAAATTTGGAAAATATAACAAATTATATAGATATTTAAAAAATATTTGGGTTTGCACACAACAATATATACACATGTATTTTTATCAATCTATAAAAAACTATTTAATATTACATGCTATAATTCAGTAGTATTATTTTTTGTTATTATTAATAATAATAGCAGTAATATTAATTTGTGATTGCTGATTTCTGTAAAAAAATATTATAGACAACAAAGAAATTCTCACTGAAAATAATATTGCAACCAATATTGGCATATAGTTTTGATTTAAAATTATAATTTTACAGTTAAAGATTTTTTCAATAAATAATAAAACTACTAACTGTATTAGCAAAACTTATCATATACTTATATAAAAAATTATTTAGCCCTGCAAATATTTGTTAGATTTTAAAGCACAGGTTTTTATATTTAATTGAAGTAAATTCATTTTTTTATTATTCTTAAATAGAGTTAATCGTTTACGTATTATAATAATTTGATATTTCATTGACTTGGAAGAAATTAAATATCTATGAATAAGTATTACTTGATAAAAACGATTCGATATTTATAAATTTGGATAAAGAACATATCGATCAATTTTTTGAAAAATACACCAAAGAATGTATTGTCATAGAAAGAACTTTCAGTGTAAAAATTTTTAACATTCTACGACAGAAAAATTAAAAAATTTAATAATTCATGAAAATAAGTTGGAATAAAGATATTTAGTAAATAAAAGAAAATGCATTAAAACTTAAATAAAAAATTCAACGTTATAAAGAAAAGTTTCTTCTCTCAAAAAAGCTTTGTAAATATTAATTTCATATTGATTGTTAATGATTAGTTTTACTTTAATTCTCATAATCTGATTATATAAATATTTTATTACATAATTATTAGTGTAAAAATTATATTTTATCTAACCGATTAGGTTGTTTTTTATGTAGTTTTTGGTTTTTATTTTCGAATCATATATATTTTGGGGAATAGATAAAAATATTTAAAGGTTTTTTACTATTTCTATTAAGATATATTTTTATTAAAACCAATAAAACTTTTAGATCGTTTAAAATATAATTTCTTTGAGAATTAAAGTTTTCGTGTATATATTTAAAAGCAAATATCGCGTATAAATAAATATCAACCTATTGTTATAAAAATATTTATAAGCATTCATAAATTAATAAATGAAATCATCGAATATATTTAAAAATTTTCTCGTATTATTCAAAACAAATTAGTTACTTCAGTCACATTATAATTATAACATAATTATGTTTTGAATTGATAATGAATGTTTTTATCTTTATGAGAAAGTATTAAGTTTTATAGTATCATTTAAAAGTTTAAAAAACAATTTATGTTTGAGAAAAAGTACAAATAGAAATAAAAAAAAATATATATACATCTATTTTTAATGTATATTTTTAATACATATTTATATTATAATGGTGATTATGTTGATATATGTCCACGTATTATTATTTAATATTAAAAAATTTATGTACATACATATATATATATATATATATATATAAATATCTATATACATTTAATTTTTAATACTAAATAATAATACGTAGATGTGTACGCAGTAAATATATATATGCGATAAAATATAGAAATTATTAAAGGAAAAAAAGTAAAGAAACATTATTATACTCACTGTGATAGTTTTATTAAATTATCCAAGCATAAAATAAAATGGTTGATATTAAAAAACAAAAAAATGAGTATTTAAAAATACGACATAACTTGAGAAATTAGTACATATATATATATATATATATATATATATATATATATATATATATAATTATTTTATATAATTATTATAATTTTATATGTTTATATATTTATATAATTATATAATTAATTACATTATTTTTGTTATTTTAAATACATTATAACATTATTATTATTTATATTAATAATACAAATAATAATGTAAAATAAATTATAATAGCAAATTTCTATCAGAAAGATATAATTAAATAATTTTATTTAAATTAGTTTATCTACTATAAGATTTTTTTAGAATATGATTTATAGGCATTTATTATATTGTTTAAATTAGTTTAATTCTAAACTATTATATTAGTTACTGATTCATATCTGATTTTTATATAACTTTCATATTTGTACATTGATAAATATCTTGAATTGTTTGAAACGTACTTATTTTCATCATACAGGAAAGACATGTCGGTTAATAAATAAATTTTAAACGTTTTATATATACAATTTACATTTTATTAATTTTAATACATGTGCTCAGTAAGTGCAATTTTCATTTATTAAAAAATAATATATTGTTAAATTTCTCAAAGCGTAACAATCAATAAATTTATAATGTAATATAATTTAATTTGGATGTTTTCAATTTAATTTAATGGATTAATATGTATAAATATAATGCATTAAAAATTAATATACATAAATTCAAAATTTGAAATGAATACGAAAGGGCTTAGTATATATATATATATATTAGTACCACTCAGTAAGATAAGTAAAAACCACTATTATTATATAATTATCAAAACATATGTATGAGTGCAATTACTATTTGCAAAACATATTAAAAAGTACTAAAAGAATATATTAGTGCGATAGTAAGATGAGTCATTTGTTTAATGTTCCTTGACGAATGAAACACAGTGCGTTAATAGAAAAGAACAAGATATATTACAAAACCCAAGTTTATAGAGCTGCGAGTTCGTATTGTAGATTCTCGCGTTAGTTTCAATTCTCTCACACGTGTTTTCTGATGAATATACATCGCATAATACATATTTTATATCGTTCAGCGCGTGCGCGTACGTAAACGACGTTTGTTTAACGTTAAACGATCATATCTATTATCATTTATTAATGCCTATGTTTTATATATTACTAGCAACAGGAAATTTGCAGTTATAGTATTGGATGATTAATAAGGATCTTTGTTTTTGCTGTTCAATTGCTGTTGAATCATGTTGTGTCCAGAGGTTTGGAACTTTGGAGCTCCACAATATAGTTTCTTTCATATTTTGAATTTAAACAATAATACAAATTCAATAAAAAAGAATATAAAAAATCGTCCGATGTCTACCATTAAAACACACTGCTTCATTCATTCGGTGGGTTTCTTTTATTTTGCACTTTTTGCTTAGTTGAGCATTTGACGCCGTAATGTATGGAGGGGCTCAAGGAAGTAGTGCGCCCCTCCACGTATTATACACAAACATGAACATACCCAACTTGAAGAGATTAAATAGTAACTGCTGGTTATAGCGCGCGTCGAGGTCTATTGCGCTTTTGCGCTTCGGTAAAGGAAAATGTTTTAATATACGTCGTATTTATATTATTTTACGCAGTCTCGTGAAGCTCTTGACAAAACATGTGTGTATAGTATTTTTACTTTCTCTTTTGTATATTATCCTTATACATAAGCGAGCATTTGATGTTTGTTACCAAAGATAATTCATCATTTTTTTAAAACCTCATTTGTTATTATTGATGAAGATATGCGGATTGTTTAGTATGTTAAATTTGTATATTTCGGTTTAATAAACAATGAAAGTAAGAAAGATCAATAAATATTATTTTTAATGATTTCATAATGATGATAATGCAGTTTATTGAAAGGATTGGCCAGACTTATCTTTGTTTTCTTGTTTTAATTGCCTATTTTTATTATCAATTGCCATTTTATAATTATTTATATATAAGATTTGATGTTAAAATAGCTTAAAAGAAGTTTTATTCTATTCAATTTTATATACTTACCTTTTGAAATAATCTGAGCTTTTTTTTATTCCATTAGCTATAAATAATCATATAATTTATTAGCTAATTTTTATTTAATTATATAATTTATATAAATGCATATAAATTACATACAATTAATTGAATGCGTATTTAAGTAAACAACTTATTATAAATACTTAATAAAATTATTATTCATATACGTAAATTAATGTATATAAAACTTTATTATATTTAGTGTATAACTTTTTTCTTTTGCTCTTATTATAATTAATATATCTAAATTTTTAAAATATAAATTATTAATAATTTGTTTTAACTTTCTTTATTAACTATTAATAAAAACAAAATTTTTTTTCCTACATCACTTCTATAATATTAACATTATTTTGAAACTACAATAAAGATGTAAACAAAAATAACGATGTTATATATTTGACAAATCTACATTTTTCCTAATCTTCACCCACTATAAATAAAGTATGATAATTCTTGTTTAATATAATTAACTAATCGTCAGATATACAAAATTACTATATATATATATATATATATTTATATATATTGTATTTATATAAAATGTTAATCATTTTGGATGATGACCAGGTATCTTTCGTGCTTCCTAATATATGTAGTATTCCTGAAGGTTTTTGCGAAAGCATTTTAGAAGATAGTGATTACTATAGAATTAATGGTCTACGTGCTGTTGAGTTAATTAACAGAACATTTATCAATTCATTTATCAAACAAGGTATGTATCATTTGAATTTATAAATGTCTAATAACTTCATAGAAAACGGTATTGTTCATGTATTTTGAAATAGCAAATTATAAACAAACAAATATAAAAATGCGTATTACTTTAGCTATTAGTTGCTAATAAAATGAATATTTGTGTAATTTTGTGATATAAAATATGTATTAAAAAACTGAATTTTAACAAATATTTCTACATATGCTATTTTACTATAATAAAATTTAACGATTTACTTAAAATTAGTATAATTCTAAACAAAAAAAAGTTTCACTATATATTTCTTTCTTATTTCGGAAATAAAAAGTATATAAAGATTTAAATATATATATAAATTATATATTTTTAAATAAAATATTTATAAGATAAAAAAAAACAAAATTTTATATATTCTAACAAATTTAGAATCGTTCTAAAAGGAATGTTAGTTTTTATATTAATTAATATGTATCTAAAATTGTATTTTTTAATTTATCTGAATATTTAATTTAAAATTTATTTTCCAAAACCATTTTTATTAATATACAGTAATAATTTACTTTAATTACATCTGTGTTAAAAATGGATATTTATTTATAAAACTTATTATTATATTTTAATTAAAAAATAACTATTTTAATGTAATTTAGAAAAGAATTTTATTCCAGTTGTATTTTATACAATTGTATTCCAGGAACATTTTCTTTGTTGACTGTTGATAAAAGATTAGATATTGACAACTTGATTGCAATAACGCCAGATGGTCATTTATGGCTTAATTTGAGGCGCAGCTGCTACCAGAAACTTGGTATAGAGGGAAAGCCGACTCGTTTTGAACGTAAAGAACACTCACGTTATGGTAAGTCATAAAAGATAATATAAAAATAAAAAATGCCTAAAAAACATCAAGTACCTACACTACAAGATCTGGCTCTGAAGTCTGTAAGCAAACTTGTCACTATGTATGGGGTAGAAATTGTGAGACCGTTAACAATGATAAATGCTCTTAATTCAAAAACAGGGCAAAAATCACTTCGAAAATTGTTGACATCTATGAAACATCAGTTAAGTTCTTGTATACCATGGCATTTATATGACAAGTTGGCAATAGAAACGCTGCGAGCAATAAAGAATCTTATAAACGATACAAAGAATAAATTCACAGAGAAAACAACTACTGCTATGTTCCAGATTAGTGCAGCTGCAAATTTAGCTAGAGTTATTAGCCATCCAAATTTAAAACGAATTGAATTTAGTGCATGGCCGAAAATCATGCGACATGTACTTTATGATTGTTTAAGCGAAATGACTGGTTTGGAAGTCTTAGATTTGGGATCTGGTTCAGTAGGATGGAGAACTTCTATTATTGAAAAAATGATAGTGCTTGCTGTCAGTAATATGAAAAATTTAACTTGTTTTACTCTGTGCTTCGACTGTACAGATCAAATCACTGCAACTGTTTGCCAGAACTGCCCAAAACTTCAAAAATTGGACGTTACAGCCTCTAGATCAGTAACTAATCGAATTATCCCGTTTCTATTGAAATGCCAAGATTTAAAGGAAATTAAATTATTTAGTACTTCTGTTACAGTTCCAGGATATGCTAATTTATTACTCAATCACTCTTGTCTTGAGGACATAGGAAGGTATGATCAGTTTGGCATTGCATTAGAATATATCCAATGGCATGTCAGTAATTTCGATAAGCCATTTAAATTGAAGGTATTTGAGTGTCGTAATATGAGTATACAACACCTTTATCTACTTGTTGAAATGTGTCCTTATATAAGAAATCTTTCAATGCTCAAAGATGAAAGAATTAATGATTTGTCTATTTTGTCTAATCTTATCAATGTTAAAGAATTGAAATTGTTATCTTGTGATTTTTATACTAATCGAGTACAAAAACTACTACAAATTATAGGATGTAATATAATTAGTTTACATTTAGAACATGTTGGGGAAATCGATCTTAGTGCTCTTGTTTATATTAGTCAGTATTGTCCCAATTTGAGGAATCTGGTGTTTTACAATTGCGAATTTTTAGCTATCAACTTGGTAGAACAACAAGAATTAATGGTATCTCCATTTAAATATTTAGAGAGACTAAAGTGCGTCATTGATTGTGTTGATACTCATTTGGAATTCATACTTTCACACTGTATCAATATCAAGTTTATTCACCTTGGATCCTCTACGGGAATAGGAGATGGAACTATTCATAGAATTTTTATGAAGAATCAAATGACAAAACTGGAAGAATTAAACATTTTGTATAGTAACGATTTATCTATGAATAGTATACACTTGTTCATGCAGAATTGCGAAAATTTAAGAAGACTTTCCGAACTTGAGAGTTGGGATGGTATTTCACAACAAGAATTGAAGTCATTTAGAGAACAACTTCAAATAAACAATGTTAATTTAGATACTAGTCCAACACTATCTTTAGCTTAATGATTATTAAGCTTTTATAAAACAAAATTCAAGCCCCAATATTTCCTTAATTACATTCAAACATCACATAGTTTTTATAATCTTACAAACTGTTGAAAATAATTTTTATAGTAACTCCCATTTTCATTTTTATAAAAACATTTAGAAGCTTTATAATAGTTTTTACAATATATATATATATATATATGAGAAAAATATTAAAACAAAATACCTTACAGAGACTTGATATATTTTTCTTTCTAATGTTACTAATTAATCATTTATATTATAAAATATATTATTTTTAATATTTGTTCATTGAAGTAGATCCTTTTTTTTAAATATTTTTTTATATTCGATTTTTTTACCGGTTTCTTGCTAGTCGTGAAAATCAATTTGAAAGCTTCAAAATTAACCCCTGGCAACAAATACTATGAAAGGATTTATACCAATCTGGATAAGATGCTTGATCTTACATTCGATGTAATAATATCATGGGATCCATTAGGTAAATATCAAAATTTCACCGCATTGTACTGTTATTATAATTAAAGCAACTTCAACTATTATTTTTATCAAAAATTTGTATTTTTTATATTCGCATTTAAATAATGATTATTACTTGAATCAATTATTTGATTTTGTATATAATTCATATTAATTTTGTAATTAAAATTTAAAATTATTTTCATTATAATCTTTTTTTTAATTAATGAAATTTATTATTTTACCTTTCATACAAGTACTTTATAATATAAATTATTATTATTCATAATTCTGTAGCAGAAAGAATTTGCCCGTCCTCAGTAGCAGCCTGGTTTGATAAACGTGGCTTTCCTGTTAACATTTGTCATCAGCAAGTAATTAGAAGATGTGAATACTCCCTTGAAATTCCAGCACTAGTACAGAATAATTATAAAGAATTTTTCGAATGGCTAGGAGTTTTTTGTATTGATGGAAATTTGTGAGTATTTATTTAATAAGTTATTTTTTTTATATTACTTTGAAATATATTAATTGTAAAATAATAATCACGATTTTAAAAACGCAACTTTCCTAAATATTTATATTATTTTATTTATCATTTTAACTATATAAAATAATTTCGTTAATATATTCTAATTTTATAATAATTACTTCTAAATGTTAAACTAAATGTTGAACAATTGTTAAAAAATTATTTATAATTGTTTAAGTATTAAATTAATCAATACTACTTTTTTTTTATCTAGAACTAGGTATTTTATGTAAACATATATATATAGCTCTATAATAGTTTAATAAATATATTTTCTTTATTCTATTGTAAATTTATACAAAAAATTTTTCTTATTAATACAATCATGCATAATATATTGTTATATATCAATATTGATAATTCATTTAATAACCTTTGAATCTGTAATTCAATTATTAAAGGATATTTTATATTTTATAAATGTTTATAATTTGCAAAGTGTTCATATAATAAATTTAGTTTAGTAGCTTTATAAATAGTAATGAAAAACTAAAATGATTGTACAAAGTGAAAGCAAAATTTATAATATAATTTTTTCATTTATTGATTTTAATAATGCATATATCAGTAAATAAAAATATAATTTTATGAAATTTACTACTTTAATTTATACAAAAATACAATTAAAAATAAATAGAAAAATTTATGGGCATTTACAAAATTTAAACAATATTTTTTATAGAATCAATGAGAACAAAAACATGGAAGCTCAGTATGTCAGTTCATATGAATGCCCTAAACCAAGAATACAAGTTGGACAAATTCAGTACTTACAATTTACGGGATTTTTTACACAAAAAAAAATCTTAAAGATTTATAATGCATGGAAAAAATATGCATTATTAAATAATACAATTTTGCCGTGGTGTACTATAGATATACAAGGATTTGTTGACAGTCCCATAAAACTAAATAATCAAATGGAACATAGCTTTTATACAAACGGAGATCATAGCTGTACAATTGCAATGTGTCCAAGTAATAATGGCTATATTTTACGTCAAAGTTTAAACTCAAGAAGGATGCCAAAAATTAAACAATAATACTTTATTTATCTACAGTTTTGTATTTTATGTGTACATAAATATGTAATAAACATAAGAGATATATAAATATATAATTTTTTATATTTTTATAATCACGTGAAAATGATGTTTATTTGCTCTATAAATGTGTAAAAAATAAAACTTTTTAATACATTGGAATTTAAACATTTTTATTAATCGATATAACTTCAAGATTGCTTCTATGATGTTACATAATATATGTAATCTTAAAAAATTTATGCTAAAGCGGATTTTGATAGCTTTTTTTATTTATAATATATTGCACAAATTTTGCTTAAATAAGCAAAAATATTAAAAATACTTTAACTAAATAAATTACAACATGCAAATAATTCAAATCTCAATAAACAATGATTCAAGTGATACTGAAATTCAATGGTATTCATTATTTTATACATATTAATTTTTATTATGTGTGCAAGACTTCTTATTTCTCTTATCTTACTAAGTACTGCTTCTAATCTTAATATACTTTAAGCGTAATATATTTAAATTTATTTGATCTAATAAGGTTCATTGACTAGTTATTCAATAAATAATCATAAATCTCATTAAATTAGTAAAGATAATTGATGACAAACTTAAAAAAAAAAAATAATGACAACTTTATAAAATTAAATGAGACTTATCGGTATCAAATTTTAATTTGATAAAATTGATTAAATTTGGACTGTGATACAAATCTTCTATCCTGAACTCATGGATAATTGAGATTTTGAAGTTGTTACCATTTCACAAATTTCATTTAGATCTCTACTATACCTAAAATAAAAATATGTTTATCATATCATTTATATTATATTTTTTAATGAAGCACATTTATAATATTTAAATTAAATGAAATGGTTTTAACGTTTAATTTATGACTATAATACCGTTATTATTATAGAAATATAAAAATTCTTGATTTAATAAGCTTACCGACTATTTGGACGGCTAAGATTTTCTGAAGAATCAGACAAAGTTTTAGTTACTAAATCTCCATCATCAATATTGAATCTTGTATTATTTCCTAAACCAAAATTAAAATGTTAATATTAAATTTTAAACTTAATTAATTAAATCAATTATATAAATATATCTTTATAATTTTTAGAAATTTTAATCTAATATTAGATGTAAAATATTGTAATTTCACATAATAAAAATTAATTTTTGAAAATATTCAAATTTATTATTAGAAATATTAATACAGGTATTTGGCTAATACTGATACCTGAAGGAAATAACATTGTGTGTTTTAAAAGATCTCTACTTGCAAATGGTGTAAAATTATCATCTTCGTCTGGAGCAGAAAAACTAGTAGCTGAGATGTCACCATTTATTGACTCAACCATGTCTAACCATTGTTGGTTATGAGATCTGAATTTTTCAACTTTTATTCTTGCTGCCCAATCTTTATCACAAAGCTATAATATTTAAATTTGGTAATATAATTTTAGGTATGAAATTAATTTTTAATTTTAATATTAATGGTATTAAATAAAACCCACTGCAATCACATCTAAACAAGCATCACAGATTTTTCGTATGGCTGGATTTTTGTCATGCATCAAATCAATTAAATAACCTGGTGCCTCTATAAGATAAAAATAATATTACTTAAAAAAATAATAGGACCATTGTATGTTCATTATATATATACAAAACAAAAATGAACAATTAACCATTTCCAGTTTCTCGAATTAAATACTCCCTCGTTGAATCATGTTTAGATATTTGGTAGAAAACATATATTATTTGTAAAACAATTTCATCATCTTCTTGTTTCGCTATTGGTTTAATAAATATTTACTTAACGTTTTTTAAAAATTTTATTATATAGAAATTAAATATACAATTAAAAGTTATGGCCGAACCTTTTAGTAACTCGATTAAGGATAAGAGTATGTCTGCTTTGCACATCACTTGTGCACTGTCTTCGTCAGAAGCAGCAGCTGTTCCTAAGAATATTACTACTTCAAGTACTAAATCATCTTGAGCTTTGCCTGAAATAAATTGAAAATAATATTAATAATATTACAAATATATAAATTACAATTTATTACTGGTTCATATACCTGGAATAAGAGAATTACGTATCCAAGGAATCAGATTACATCGTTGAAGAATTTGTGAATAGTCTAAATCAGTTAATGCTAAATTTCCCATTACTCCAATAATTTCTAACACAAAATCTTGGCAGTTAGATTGAGTTAGAGCCATTGCAAAATCACCAACAAATTCCTAAAATAAAGTAAAAATTTGAAAAATCACATTTAAATTTTTTTCTAAAAGAATCAAACTTTAATAATATTAATTTTGCATGTTTTGGTTATAGTAATTTTATATCAATAAATAATTATTGATTAATTCTAAATTATAAAAATAAATTACCAAATTCAATACTTACAATAAAATGTTCTTTTGTAGACTCATTCTGTGAAATATTTCTAACTATTTTCATTAATAATGCATTTTGATTTTTAAACGCTTTTTTAATTAAACTTTTTAATCTATTATTTTCAATCATTAACTCAGCATTCTTATTATTTGTAGCAAGGTTAATACATAATGCAACTAATTCAGGAAAAATTTGTTCATCATCTGACTCTAAAAGCATGTTTGTAACCTAAAATATTATTAATCAAAATTTAATTTTGTTGAATATTTTTTATTTAATATCTTAAGAAAGATAGAAGATACATACTAGTGAAATACATTCAGTATTTATAAACATCATTTTGACTTTATCATCTATACTAGCATGATACAATATTCCGAGAATAGTCGATCGATTTACATCATCTTGTATTAATAATTTAACTAGCTTGGGTAATAGACCTACTCTTATCATCTTTCCTCTTAGTTTTGTATCAAATGATAAATTAAACAAAAGTCTTAAAGTCATAGAGACCAGATCTGAGTTAGTGATGTGAAGCAACTTTGGTAATTTTTCAATGATGTTTCCTTCAGCCTATTAAAAATTAATCTATAAAATATATGTATTAAAATAATACCTCATTAATTACCAACCATAACATCTTTATTTTCTCTATAGATTGATAGTTTTTTTAAAAAAGTTACAACTAAAATTAGGAGATCAGTGTTTGTTCTGTCTAAAGTCTTTAAAAGCATTCCAATTACGTTTTTTTTCCTCATTTTTTTCTCTACTTCTTTATTCTCTGCAATATTTAGCAATAAATAAAAGCAAACTGAAAAATAAATATTCCATTTTAATAATATAAATTTTATTTGTTATATTTACTGAATAAAAACCTTTTAATAACTGTTCTTGTTTTTCCATTAAACATTTAAACTTTTTATGATGTTTTTCAAGATCATCCTTCAATTTATCAATATCATCTTTCCCTACAGTGAAAGCTCCATCAATAGGTTGTCTATTTATTTGAAGATCTAATGAACTATTAGAATTCCACAAATTATCCATTAATTTTGTTTTTTTGTCACTGTTTTCCGTGCTCATAGTAGGGAGTAAACACATTCCAGTATTATTTTCAAAATACCTTCTTCGCTTTTCCAAATCATCTTTCCATTGATCAAATCGAATTAACTCATAATCTATGATGTCCATGCAAAGAGAGCCAATCTATTACAAAATTAAATTAAATTTCTCTGATGTAGTAAGAAAAAATAAATAATAAAATTATTTTATTTTAAATAATATACCCTGTAATCAACAACGATATTGTGAAATTGACTATATGTAGCAAAGCAAAAAAATATGTAAATTATATTTATAGAAAGTTCAATGCTTTTCTTCCAGTCTTCTCTTAAGACTCGTGCTAAAACACTTAGTAGAGTTTCTAAAAGTCATATAAAAAAGTTTAAATAAGTCATTGTAACCATTATTACCAAATAAAATATTTGGTTTACCTAATTGGTGTACTAACTTTATTTATTTATTAAATAAAATAACTTTTAATTCAGAATATAAACCATAATTTTATATTATTAATATATTTTTAAAATATGTACATAAATATACAATAAATGCAAATAAGATAGTTAAAAGGAAAATAGTAATATTAATAATTATTACATAGTTGTTCATGAATATTATTTAAAAATCAATAATTACCATTTTTACTTAATTCTTGTAAATTATCTGGTATTCTTGTTAATTTTAAAATTGAAGAAGAACCTTTTATTTTATCTGATATATCTTCATAAAGTAATTCAATGTAATCATCAATATTACTTATAATAGCACGTTCTATATCTCCACTATCCACATTAAGCGAAGTTGATGACATTGGTCTTGGAGGTTGGCCAGCATTTTCAAAATCTACATATATACATATTTTTATAAAACATTGTTTTAGAAATATTTGAAATAAAACACAATTGCTATAAATTATTATACTAAAATTAAACTATATTGTGCAAGTAATTATCAAAATTTATAAAAGACAAAATTTAAAAATAATCATTACCACCACCACTGCTTTTACGATTTTGTAGATAATAAATTAATTGTTCAACTTCGTGTAGTTTCGATTCATGGATGAGAGAACATTTATCTATAATTTCTCTAGCAAGTAGAGTCACATTTGTATCAGCATTAAGGCTTTTTAATCTGATAATTTTTTGACACTCCTAATAAAATAATAATAAGTAGTTATAACTAAATATAATAAAATATAATTGAACTAAAATTAATATAAATATTTTATTCTACCTTACGATCTCCTAACATTGGGTCTCCAAGTTCACCTAAAATCAAAGCTTCAACATCATAGTTTACAACTAAAGCTTTTTCAGTTGGATGTACATCAAGATTTCCAGATCTTATTTTTCTGTAACAAAATAAATATAAAAATGATAGTTTATAGTATGAAATGTTTATATAATTAAAATATTAATTTTTAATTTTGTTTTGAAATTATTAAGTTATTCTTAAAAATCATAAATATTCTAAAGTATTTTTTAAATGTGGTCATTGTATTAACCCAAATAATGTTTTTATTGTTTGTTTTATTATTCAAATTATTGTAAAACTTATTATTTTAATATTAAATTTTATATTCATTATAATATATATATATATATATATATATATATATATATTATATTTATTTATTTATTATATTATTTATTATATTATTTATTATATTTATATATATATATATATATATATATATATATATATATATATATATATCTATTAATTTATTAATTAAAAATAAATTTATGTATTTTAAATATAGTTTAAATAAATTGAAGTAATTTTATAAATAGATAAACAAATATGGGTATATGTACAACTAACATTACAGCAAATTGTTGAAAAGATTACATTAATTATTTTATTTAATTTTAGTATAATGAATCTTTTACAATTTATAATATTTTGATAAAATACACAATTTTTGCAAATTTATTAATTTTGGGTTATAATTTTATATTAAAGATTTAGGTTCATTAATTATTACATACTTTGTTCTTTACATTAATTAAATATTAGTTAGAGAAACATAGTGTTTTAAATTGTTTAATTGTAAGATTTAGCCTACCTTTTTAGGTATCTTACTTCGTCCATTTTTTCCTAAAGAGCTTGCGGTTCAGAAAAACGAAATAACAATGATTATTACAAAATTTCTCTGCATTTGGGATGCACATTAAATCGGCTATTTTTGCTTTTATAATAAAATTTTATTGCTAATATATTGGTAAAAAGGTAATATACGTAAATTGAAATAATAAAGAGTTTTTAGTAAGATTTGAGGAATAACAAACTGCCTACTTTCTACGGTCTGGCCTCTATATATTGGTTTCTATTTCGTATTCTTCAGTCGTAAATAATTGACCACATCATAATGAAAATGTTGCTTTAGTAAAAACTAAAATTTTTGAATAGATTAAATATATTAATTGCTTTGGTCATCAAAAAGAGTAATCTACTCATACATTTTGAATTTAAGTTAACATATAATTCTTAATTTATTACCTTTACAATTTCCTTCTATAAAAATATGATCATTTGAGTGGTCATTAGGATTTTATATTTTCAATTAAAAATAAATAATAACTGAAAATTAATAACGAGTATAAAAATTTCATAAATTTTTGTTTAAAATTTTTAAATAGTGTATTTAAAATTATTTAATAAAGAAAGGTTAATTATATTTTTCATAGTTTTTAATAATCCACTGTTAAATTTTATTTAACAAAAGCTTTGAGTTCAAAAGTTTCCGTATAGAAATCGATTTCATGCAAATAATATATACTGTAGCACAATAGCTATGAAGAGGATTTATTATTATGTTAATATATATGACTACTACCAAAAATATATTACAATTTTATATGACAAATTTATTAAAAAAATATTTGCTTATAAATTATTATTATATTATTATTATTATATATTATATATAATAAATTGTTTTATTAAATAAATAAATTAAAAAATTTTTTTTATTTATTTATATAAAATATTTTTATTTTATCTTAAACAATTAAATAAATTATTATTTACTCATGTATGTATATATATATATCATTTATAGTTTGAAAACCTATATTTTGTACAAGGTATATTTATTGATATAATTTATCATTCTGTTTTAATAACAAGCTGTTGTTTATAGTTTACTTACATTATTTAAATTATACATGAAATTATAGATTCATTTAAAGATTCTATCATTACTATTTAAATAATAAGATTTTAATATTAATAATCATTAAGCTTCATTAAGCTTCGCCTTCTTGTTGATGTTTGTTCTCTTGAGTTTCTTGAAATTGTTTCCTAGTTTCTCTATTTGATTTTAACAGCTTGATCAATTCAGCATGGATATTGTCATTTTTTGATTCTAAACTGTCCAATACCAAATTCAGTTGATCTAATTGTTCATTAATTGCCTTAAACTCTGCAATTACATATATATATATATTTATACATCCAAATCGCATAAATGAAATATATCATTACAAACACAATAAATTAGAACATTTGTCAATTTTAATAAAAATAAATAAAAAATAAAAATGATGTCGATGTGTTCAAAGTTTACGCCCAATATAGTTCACTATTAAAATTTGGAAAACTAAATTAATAACAATTTTTTCTTACCTTCTTCATTAATTTGCTCTATATTATCTATGTTATTATTACTATTTTTTATATTTTCGTTGCTATTTTTATGTAGTTGTACGACGTCACAAGCCATATTTCTATCTTCATCTGCCATTACAAAATAAATACTAAAATATAAATATTGAACATTATAGATCAGCTGATAAAAAGACTTGTTTGCAAGAATTCATTTTTATGAAATATCTAACTACAGATGCTTTGATTGGTGCCAAATATTCTAAAATTTTATGCTCGAACATAACTAATTTAAAAATAATACAGTATTATGTTATTTCACATTATTTATTAAATGAAGAATTTTTTAAATAAATTATATAAACCGATTTTACATATAATAAAAAAATATTTGCATAGTATAAAAATTTTTTTTTTCCACAAGTATATAATATTTTTCATGCAAAATAAATAGAAATAATATGGAACATACAAGGTACCTATTAACACAATATTTGGATATTATTTATAAAGTTTAGATAACATCATCGTATTTGTGTACAGTTTTGAAACTGTTTTGATTATACTTTCTAAATTCTTCAAAAAAATATGTTTTTTAAAAATATATATTTTTGTACAAACAATTGTACTTAAATATAAATTAGTATTTTATAAAATATATATACTTAGATATGCATACTAAAAAATATGAATTTATAACATATATATTAAATATTTCAAAAATAAAATTATATTATCATTTTAACAAAAAAAAATATGAAAAGCAGTTTATATTGTAAATGAAAATTTTTTAAATCTTAAAGAATTTTTGTTGTAATTTTATTATATAGTATTTAATTATCTTGAAAATTAAAAAACTTGGTTTAAAGTGATTGTAAATTGAATATCCTTTAGAAGAAATTGTATTTAAAGATCTAGAATTTATAAAAATATTTTTAAAATACTTTAATATTATAAATTAATTAATTCTAAAGTGTGTTAGCGTGTATGTTAAAATTTGCATAGCTAATAAATCTATTTAACCTTACCATATCGACGTTTAAAGCAAATTAACATTATAAAATTAAGATTCGAAATTTAATGTATTTATAATATGAATTGAAAGAATTTGAATAAATGTATATTCAATGCAATTTAAAACTAAAATAAATTCATCCTTTAAAAATTTAGCATATGCTTTTTAAATATATAACATTTTTATCAAATAAATTTAATACGAATAATTTATCACTTTGCAATAACGTTACAATATTTTAATGACTGTTTGTAATTTACAGAATTTTTGCGTAATGTTTTTGTTTTGACTGTTATAATCAACGCTAGTTCGCACATATTATATACTTACTACGCATCAAACGCGCATACATGCATTTAATAATAAACCATACGAATGAAGCACTTATTATCTATTGTATAATTTCTTTCATGCTTTCATTCTTACTAACAAGAGTTAGTCGACCAAGTAAAAAAACGAGAATGTAACTGGACATTCCGATAAAATAAATGAAGTGAATAAGTATCAAATTATACCGTTCGTGGTGTTCATGTTGTGCATATGCAACGTATTGCAGTTGTTTTTACCATTTTTTCCGTTTAAAGCATACTGAAAAAATTCTGAAAGAATGCCGGAGAAAATTTTTACAACTTGTCGATGACTGTACAAAATCAAAATATCGTTATTCTCAAACATAACTATACATTTTCAGCCTAATTTATGTTTAAATATTTTTGTATTCGATAATAGACATTGTGCAGTCATGATCTGTGTTATCACCTCTGTTCAATAATGATCCAATTACGATCGAGAAAATGGTCTGTGATCACACTGGTGAATTATTTTTTTTTTGTCAATTTTGATGTTTATCGTGATAAATTTTAAATACAATTTGTTCAACGGAAGAGTGAAAGGAAAAATTTTGGAAATTCATAGAAGATAGGCATACAGCATTTTTACATATGCCGTTCCTTTATTCAGTGTGTAGATGATGTATTTTGAAAATTTTACGAACATTAACATTTTTTTACTGTTGATTAATAAAAATAAAAAATTTATGAAAAATTGACAAGAATATTTAATCTACAGGGTAATGTTCTATTCTGAAGTAAATTAAATACTTCTTAATATGATCGAATTTTACTGTTACTTTCTACACATTATTCATATAAAATATTTTTTAAATGTGTTGTAAAATAGTATTTAGTAGTTTCAATCTTATTCATTACTACGAAGGAATTTCATTGTATTTAAGATTTATTATTATATTATGACATTTCTTAAATGAAGCAAAAATATAAAATATATATTACCTGCTAGATGTAGATTGTTTTTTTTTTTATATCATTTAAAAAAACTTTATTATGAGATTTTTTTTACTTTTAGCATAATGAGCACCTTACAAAATTCAAATTTGATCGCTGCTGTTATTGGTGCTACTATTGGGGTTATAAGTGTTGCTATGTTTATTTATAATAGAGTAATGGAAAACCAGCAACATTCAAATATGAGCAATAATATAGACAACGTAAATCGCAAAGTTTTGGCATTGCAAGCAGAGTTAGATGAATTAAGGTATATTATCACTACAATTATATAAAAGATATTAAATAAGTTAAATTTTATTTTTTTAAATTTTTAAATTTTGGATTTATAAGGTGATAACAAAAAAATATAAATAATTATTTATTGAATCTAAACCATATATTATAATGAACAAATATTAGTAAATTAGTATATTATTAATAATAAATATTATTAATAATAATATTAATAATAAATACAATTTATAAGTTTCACAAACAATACAATGTTTTAACTCAATATTATTATGTGCTATTATTGTTTATATTTTATAGTTTTACAATAAAATTTATTAGGAATGGTATTAATGTTTGATAATGAAAATAATTTGTTGATTTTTTTAAAAAATCTATGTAAAACAATATCAACTCAGTTCTTAATTTGATTTAGAAATAAGATTCCTAGAAATACATTAGCAATATTAAGAATTTTATTTAAAATTAATCAAATTAAAATGGTTTATATAAAAATATTTTTAAATAATCCTAAAAATAACATTTGCTTACAGAAATCAACAGGCACATTTACAAAAAAATAAACAAAAAAAAATACAAAGAAAAGCATGTTCTAATGATAATTCACATTCAGGAACTGATAATGTTGATATTGATACTTACTCGATAACAGGTACTGATGCTGGAGACGATGAATTCTTTGATTGTTCAGATGATGAAGAAGATATAGACAATGGGTTAGTTAATTTATTTGTTTAATACCATTACTTGTTCCCATGCTAGATTTTGAATTGCTCTGTAACTAGTAGATTAATTTCTTTTTGTTTAATTAAAATTTATAAAATTGACATATCTAATAATGAAACATACTTTAGTAAATGTTTACTTAAATGCTTTTTTGACCAAATATATTATTATTGAGTATTATGTAAGGCGATTCAATATTAGAGAATTATGAACAAAATTTCTAGTGTTAAAATATGGAGATTATATATTTAGTGATACAGGACAACTGAAGAATCAATAGAAGACGATCCAACATTTTTGGAACTCTTTACGGAATGTGAAAAAGATCTTTTACATTTAAATTCATATAATAAATTAAAAATTTTACTGAATAAAAATCCATATAATGTAGAAATTGTATGGAGATTTGCAAGATCATGTTATTATTGTTCATTGAAAGACAATAATAGAATTGAAGATTATATTTGTGAAGGTGATTATTTTGGAAATATATTATAATTTATAAAATTCATTAGTACAATTTTAAAAAAATGATCATGGTTCATATATTAAATACTTTTACTAATATGTTGTATTATAGAAAATATTTTAAAGAAAATATAAAAACCTCTTCATAATTGTAATTTATAATTTCCTATATATATTTTTAATGATTTTATTTCAAAATTGTTATTAATAATAACAAAAACTTTCCAATTTAGAAATTTTTTAATTGAATGTTCTTATTAATATAACAATAATGATATATATTTTTTAGGTTGTGATGTTTGTGAAAAAGTATTGGATGTCGAACATGGGAAATTGTATGAATGGTATGCTATTCTTATTGGTGTAAAAAGTAGATTTTTACCAGTAAAAGAAAAAATTATAAGTGGATTTCGCTTCAAAATGTATTTAGAAAAAGCTCTTGAAATGAATCCAAATAATGGATACTTGTATTATCTTATGGGACGATTTAAATATGAAATATCTGAATTAAATTGGTTTGAGAAAAAAGTAAAATATGTTACTTAAACCATAAATTTATTTAATTCTTTTTTAAATTCATTTTCAAATTTACCTTTGTAAATTTTTATAACTTATTAAATTTCAGGCTGCAGCTATGTTTGTTTCAGAGTTACCAAGTGGTAGTTATAATGATGCAATTTTAGACTTCGAAAAAGCAGAAACATTATCAAAAGAACCCAATTACGTAAATAAATTATATTTAGGTAAAAGTTACATTGCTATAGGAAAAGTTCAAAAAGGAGTCGCTTATCTTTCTTTAGTGAAGGATATGGAAATAACTAATATTGAGGAAGAAAAAGTTTTAAGTGAGGCAGAAATATTGTTAAAAAAATATTCGAACTATTATACAGAACTATAAAGTGAATGCATAGTGTTTCAAAACAAATTATTTGAATATACCATATTCATATTTCTGGTACACCAATGGATTTATGCATTTATAAACTATAAAATTTTGGAACATATAGACGTATTCGTGCGCGTATGCGGACTCCCCTCTCTCACACGTACATGATTTGGTAAATTAAATATAATAAATTTGTATTGAAGTAGGTGTAATTTTTTTTTCTATTCCAATAATTTTGTTAATATTTGACATCAGTTGTTATTTGATTATGAAAGGAATCTTGCATTAATAAAGTAATTTCACAATGGAGAAGAAAATTTTAAATAGTGTTTTATTACAAATCTTAAGAAAGACGATATAAAAATGCTAAAGATAGTAATGTTTTTGTTAAGTATTTCTGATTAGTCAAATTCATATTATTTATGTTTATAAAATATTGATTTTTTACAATTACGTAATTTTTAATGTCAATGATAATAACGTATTATATGATATTTATACAAGTAAATTAATAACAATTTTAAATAAATGACATTTGTTTCACTAAAATTTTAGTTATATATAGCAGTATAACATTGAATTTTTACATTGTATTGAACATATAAATAGCCATAAAAATTATTTGTATAAACGTTTCTTGTCAAAATAAATCAATAATTTATGATAAACTTATATAAACAACATTTTAGAATTATAAATTGATTTAATCACTGCATTTTTTATAAATAAATGCATATTCATAAAAAAGCAAATATATATAAAAAGTTATATTTAAAAGTAGAGATAAATTTATTTATTATACAAAAAATTAACTGTAAAAATAATTATAAAAGTTTTGTTTCGTTTATTTTGTTATAAAATTTTGGAAATAAATATATTTTTTATGATATTCATACATATCAGAGCTCATTTTATAATTTGATAAAAATTTTATTGATAAAATACAAATGCTACTTCAGTTTTTATTAAACGTTTAAATTTATAATATAAATAGAAAAATATAAAATATTGTTTCAAATCCTATAAAACACAATAAGATTTAAAAATGAACAATATAATATTAACGAACATTGAATTTTTATTATAAAAAATTTATTATGTTAGATTCAAAATATTTTATTTTATTTATATAAAATTTATTTACATATAATAAAATTCTTTTTTTATCTGGATATTTTTTAACATATTCTAGAAAAATACCAAATAAGTATACTATGCAGAATAAAAAATTATTTAGAAACAGTAGTACTTAATTATGTTTATATTATTTTTTAGTAGATATTGCTTAAAATTTAGTAGATATTAATTAAAAAATTTAATAATTAATATTCAATATAGTTTATTATTGAAATTTATGAAATAAATCTATCATCATAAGTATGATTTGTAAATATTATTCATTGAAAAATTATTAAATAAATTATTATTTACTTTATTTCTAAACAACATACATTGAATAATTTCTTCTGTTTGTTAAATAAATTATTCAATATTTAACGTTTGAGTTAGCTGTAATTTGAGTCTATCAAAGCATACTTAGTATTAGTTTCCTAATTTAATTGATGGGAATCAACCTAAGTTATATATTATAAGCTTTTATACATGTATAGATTCCTTGGATAATTGTTGTTAAGATCCATAATAAAAATCTTTTTTATGAAATTATTATATTTTGAAAACTTACCAAATATTTTATTTGAAATATTATTTTATGATGTGATATTTACGTAAAAGATAAAAGTTATTCTATTTCACATCCATTTCAAATGACGATTCGTATGTGTTACAAATTAGCATCATTAATTTGTAAAGATTCATACATATCTGTTTGCACATGAGAATAATTAATCAAATATAGTTCGTACCTTGTTAATAGAATTTTTTAATTCAAAATATACGTTTTAAAATTATAATATTTAATACTTATATTATTTATATTATTTTTTTCGTGTGTCAAAAAAAAAATATATATATATATATATATATATATATTATAATTAAAGTCTTAAAACAATAAAATAGAATTTTTATTAAGAACTGTAGGTTGATTGCAATATAAATTTTTATAAAATAACCGAGATTTAAGTTTAATTTTGAACAGTCGTTAAAAATATTAATGTGTAAAAAAACTTGTAAATATTTATAATTTTTTTTAATGAAAATCCTGTCATAATTTTTCATTATTAGTAAATTATTGATTCTAAAATTAACGATGATAAAAATAATAAAATTAATAAATAATATCAAATTAATAAATTAATCAATTACCTCAATTCTAAATATACTTTATTCATTCAAATTGATAATAAAAATGAAATTAGAATAAAAAAATATATCACCTTATTGAAATAATTTTTTACTATTGAATAGCTTATTAGATATATTCATATATTAAATAATATTCTTTAATTTATATATATTATTTTTTATTAATTATATATAATTTTATTTTATAAAAAATATCTATACTTAAAATTTCTTTTTGATATAAATCTGAAAAATAAATAGATGCTAAGAAAATTCAGTACATTTTATAGAACTGGAATAAATAAATAATATATATATATATATTATATATATATATATATATTAAAAAATACTTAAATTAAAAATATTGATTATTTTATGCTGTTATTTATGAACTCCAATTATAATAAATGAAAATGAATTTTTTTACAAACATAGAATACAAAAATACTAATACTCTGAAATGTTCAGTAGCGTAACAAAAATGTAATAAAATATAATAAAGTAAAATAAAAATTTGGAAAAAAATCTATTTTTAGTTTAGCAACAAAATTAATAATACAAATTGTAATATTTTCAAGTATAACATTTAAATTTAATACCTTTCCAGTCAATATTATATATGTATTAATTTTTCAAATATAATAATTTCTTTAATATTACATTTAATACTATTTAATATATTACATTTCTTTAATCATAAATTTTGTTACTAATTTATCTGGAATATCTTCTTTAAATTGAAATAAAAAGCTGATTTTTCACTTTATTCTATTTTAAGTACAATTTCTTAAATTTTATAAAATTTTGCTAATTGATATTAAGATTAATTCTTACTTGTAAATTAGTTGAAATAAGTTTTAATTCTTTATAATGAATGCAATTTTTATTATGCACCAGTAGTGACTCTATTATACGTGGATAATTTTCATGGCAAACTTAGTAAATATAAATTATATTAATAATTATATAGTATTTTAATTTAGTGAAATATATTTGAGTTGGAATATTTGGATTGAAATAAGATTAATTTTTCTGTTCTTGTTTTCAGATCTTGTAAAATTATGATTTTTTAATATTTCATGAATAATTAATTTTTTTAGTACTTCTCATTAGTCATTTTAAACTTTTTTTATAAATTATTTCCCGCGGTTATATTAACTGCCTAAATGTTAGTATAATTTCATATATCAAAGAAAAAAAAGATTTTTAAAGACACGATTATTTATTAAAAATCCGATTAAAAAAAAAGACGAATAACAATTCAATACTTAACTATTAATTTAAATTAGCAAATAGCTTATTTATATTAGTTTTGTGTAAATAAAATTACAATAAAAACAAATTTTTTAAGAAATAGCGTTCTTAAAGATAAAATGTCTAGTTTCAGAAAAATTTGATCTTTATAAACAGAAGAAAAATGTAAACGTTATAAAGCTTGCATTGAAAATTATTTTTGATTTGAATGAACAAGGTTTATTTAATTTCAGATTGACGATATATTTTTATTATTTAAAAGGTGAAGAAGATAAAAAATAATGACTTTAATAATTAATGATCTAAAAATTTCAAATCTTTTATGAATGCACATGTCGAGATTAAATTAATTGATTCAAAAAAATTAAAGTGGCATTAATTTTTCACTTACATTTTACGTAATAGATAAAAGAATATAAATATCGATGCCGTTTATTAAAAAAAACTGTCATTATTATGGAAGAGCTAGTAAGTTGATCTGAAAAAGAATTCCGATCACTTCGTTGGAAAGGTCACACGAGATGAACCCTTGAAAGACCAATTGAACCGCAAATTTCCCTCGCCCCTTCCATCCATCCATTCACCCCAGCGCCACCCTCGATCAATAATGGTCCGATATGAAAAGGCGTCCTTCGGGCGCAGCATCCGTGTGGCCCGTTGGAAGACCGACGTTACTAGGAAGACGACAGTGGAGTTCGACAGTTGGTATAAGGACGCTGGGATTAAACTTCCAGCGGTGTCATGGCCCGCGACCTGTGTCGAGCACAATCATACCGGAATTACGACAACGGCTTACGTCTCCACCTTCTAACACCTGATAGTACGATTTGGATTTCTTTAAGGATTGCGAACGCGAGATGTGCATGAGTTTGTTTGGTACTGTAGGTAGGACTACGAGACTTATTATTGAATTCCGATTGCCTCGAGGATTCCAATACTTTGCTTGAGCTCTTATGTTAGTCACAGGTCTTCCATGTACTTACAGCTTTATTAAATTTGATGCGTGGCTTTGAACTGTTATACAATAAAGCTTTTTACGTTACCTATGAACTAGATCAACTCCCATTGTGTTGCGGGTATTAGTTTCAATCAAGTATTACGCGAAATAAGTGTTTCTTTTAAATTTATGATTGCGGCTATGTTTAAGGTGTGTAATTAAGTCATCATATTTATTAGAATATTATAACAGTATTGAATACAAATAATATGAAGAAATTTATAATTAATAAATAATTCGTGATCTATTTTTTAATGTAAAATTATATTTGTACTTATTTCAAGTATTTTATTCATATGAAAGAAAAATTTTCTGTATTTAAAAATACGTTGACTACGAATTATTTAGTTTAAATAAAAGCATTTCTAATTATTCAATTATAAAAAATAATTTAAATTCAAATAAAGCGTAAATTGAAATTAAGTTGTATACATTTAATATCTATCTCAATGTTAATTAATTTTCTTGAAATTAAAAACACATTGTAATATTAATAAATTATTTAATAACTAAGCCTTCATTTTAACTTTGATTTCAATATTAATAATTGATTGACAATATGAATTTAAAAAATAATTTTTAAATTTATTTGAACTATTAATACCGTAACTATGAATTATACTTACAAAATGTATTCATATCTCTTGCATTTTCCTTGATTATTATATCATTTATCTTATTTTTTTATTTATAGCATCAATGTAGATATATTAATATAAAATAATAATGTTTTTAATTTGAGAGCATACATATTACAATAATATAAAATAAATATGAAAATAACAATTTATATTCCTATTTAGAAAAATTATAAGAGATAAATTGATTTTTACATTGACTCATTTTAACTAATTTCTGACGGAATTCTTCTATATATTTCTGTATATTTTCGTAAATTTTTAACAAAATCGTTATATTATTATTCAATAAAATAGGAGAAGCTTATGTTGCGAATTTTATTTAAATTAATGTAAAAACTTAAGGAATAACGTAATTGGATAAAAAATGATTATATAATAACTATATTAAAAGAAATATTTCTAAACAAATTATTGTTTTCTAATCATTAAAATATTTTAATCATATGTCATAAAGTTCAATTATTTTTAAAATTTATCTTTTAAAAGCAAATCAGAATATCACTACAGAAATTTAATTTCTTTTTAAGTTTGATTTATGTTTTTTTGCATTAGAGTATAACAGTTATATATATATATATATATATATATATATATATATATATATATATATTATATATTATTTTATATTATATTATATTATATATATATATATATATACATATAAAATAATGCAATATTCAAAATCATACTATTAACATCTAAAGATATTTATATAAAATAAATTAATAATTATTTTTATTGATGTTATATTTGAACTATACTAATTTCACTAAAATCTATAGTTAAATAAAGATGCCAATCAACATATTAGATAGATTAGATGAAAATTTCAATAACTGTATATAAGCACTTTTAAATCAATATTTTAGAAACCTTAAAAGATTAATCCATTATAAATTTATGTTAATTTATAATTCTTTATATCATAATTAAATTAATATTATATATTAAATCAAAATTATGTATAAATTATAATTTTGTACAATTGTCATGATCGTTTAAAATTTATTATAAATTAAAAATTAACTGTTATGTAAGATTGAAAAATTTTATTAAAAAATGCTTCTGCAATACAATATAATTATCGAAAAAATACGCAAATAGTTAGATACGTATTAAAATGAAAAATAAAAAGGGGTGGTACATTTTTTGGTCTAAAATGAAATAATATTTAAAAATTACTAATTATAAATAAAAATATCGATAAATGCAAAATTATAGAGAAATATAGATAGCTGACAATTTCGATAGAATTCAACCGCAATTATCGCAGTCAGTGTACTGATATCTTTATGCTAAATTCTTGGGCACTGTCGAGTATGCTTGCCAAATTTTCTCAAGCCAAAATGACATCGGCTGGGCAGATCGAGTGTAACAATCACTTCATCATAGTCGTGTCTGTTGCGTAGCATAGCAAAAAACAATGTCACTCTCTCATTCCTAGTGAATTATTTTTTTCGAATTAATCGACCTATCAAATATAGAAGTTCAAGATTGTCAAAAAATGCAAAAAATTATAACGTAATTTTAGAACGTAAGTCGTTTCTTATAAATCTTAAAAATTATATGCTTTACAGTAGGTGACCAAAAAATCATCTGTAATGCAAAGGACGCTACGTGGATTGTTGTACTGTTCAATGTGGTACGCCAGCATACTTTCGGGATTCTTCATCATCGCTTGTCCGCTGCTCCCACTGCTCCTCATTAGTCCCCCGACTTTTCGCAAATGTGGTGAGCTGCTATTCTCCTGCTGGGAAATGTATCCAACTGTAAGTTATCTTTTCCACGTGATTTCAGTCTTACTTTTATTTCTGCTTTTATTGTTGTTCAGCCAATGAGTACTCTTCTGGTCATTTTGATTCGAGCCAATCTCTTGAATAGTGCTCATTAATAGCAATATTTCTGTGCGCTATTTCATCAAAACGAGTCGAACAATTTGAAACTTAATTTTAACAAGTTGAGACTAATTTTTTTAGACAACTTTATTATGCTTTTATATTATACCTATTATATCTTCATTTTCTTCTAGTAGAATGACGTTGAAATAATTTTTATCTAAGATCGTAGTCATTTTAAATAACATTGGCGCTAAGCACTATTCAATTATAGATTAGTTTATGAAGTGCAATTTTTTGTATTTATCTCGCAATAAAGAAATGTATGAATTAAAATTTTTACCATTTTTGCCTTAAAAAAATGTGTTTCAAATAAATTTACCTGATCGCGATGAATTAGGAAATAATCTTATTTCTAGTTAAGATCTATTAATTTTGTATTTTTACAGGTGCTAATGAAATTTCTCGGTGTAAAAGTAATAGTATCTGGAGATCATATTTTACCCAACGACTCAGCGATTTTGGTAATGAATCATCGTACAAGAGTTGACTGGAACTTTCTTTGGGGGGCTATGTATCAAGCGTGTATGCCGAATGTTGCAGCTCACAAACTTAAATTTATATTAAAGGATCCCATAAGACACATTCCTGGCCCAGGTATAACTTCAATTAAAATAATAGATTACTTCTATAATTATTTCGTTACAATTACAAAAAACATTTTTCAGGAGCTCTTAATTTGAACGATTTTATAAAATTGATATTTTTTATATTGTCTTACTTGAAATAAAATGAAAGAAACCAATAAGTATTATAGCGACAGTATTTATAATAGCCACTTATGTTAATTCAACTTGAATGAAGCGCAAATATATTTATTCAATTCTCTTTAATTTGCTTGTATAATATATTTTTACATAAAAATTTTCATTGACACTCACATTATATTGAAATGATAAGTTTTATTCAATATTGTCTCTCACTCCCTATAATTTCATATAATGAAATAGCCAATTAATCAGAAATAAAAACAGTTTCTCTTATTCAATTAGAATAGGATTTAATTTTTGAAAAGCCGTCGTTTTTATGTTTTAATATTTGACATTTTAAAAATCATATAATTTTATATGACATATCAAATTGAAAAAATTTCACTTTATAGGCTTTGGGCAATCTGTAAAAAACAGGCCGGTTCGTATTGATAAATACGAACCGACGGTAGCTATATATTCGAGAAAGGAGAGCAACACGTAATCGTATTTATGCTTGAAGTATAGGCTGGATAATGCAGATGAACGGCTTCCTGTACATAACGCGTCGCTGGCAAGAGGACCGGGGTCGATTGTCGCGCACACTCGACTACCTGGTAGCACTCCACCGACGCAGCCAATTACTCATTTTTCCTGAGGGTACCGATCTTACACCTAGCAGCAAGCGACGCTCCCATGAATACGCCGATAGTCATGAGTTACCACGTTATATGTACAGCTTACACCCAAAGACCACGGGTTTCAGTTACTTAGTGCACCATCTACAGGATGTGGGATATCTCGATGCCGTATATGACCTTACCGTCGGTTATCCAGACTTTGTACCTCAGGTACGTACAGAATGCGCTATGCCGTCAAAGTTTTTTTACGAATGGCACAAATACTATCTTTTCTGGCACGTGAATATAATGCATTCTCTCGACACGAAAATAATGCATTATTCGATGAACCGTGACGTAATTTATTACGTAAATAAATTTTGTTCTATAGATCTACTTTCTCTATAATACATTTTTATTTGATACTAGAATTAGTTTTAAATATATCATGTATAACAATGTTTTTCAATATTTTATATAGGTTACGAAAAACGTTAAAAATGTTTGAAAAAAATTTGAATGTAAAATTTTTAATTTGTAAATGAACTTTAATATCTGTAAAAAGCTTATACTTTAACAATGTAGTATTTTTTACAGTTATAAAGTTTTAATTGTACTATACGATGCCTAATAATTTTTGTTTATAAACATCTTTAAACGACAATAAATAGAATACAGATGATTTGTTAATTGTGAAATACCTTTATTATAATAAGTAATAAATTTACATTAAATTTTTATTGAAATTTTTTGCATTTCTTTTCACATTCAATTAATATCACTTTTAAAAGGAAAACAAATCAATTATACGAGATACTATTTTAATTTAATATTTGGCTTTTAAATATTTTATTTGTGTTACAAAATAGTATTTTTTGTTTATCATTTTCCATTATAAATATTTAAAGCTAATATATTTTAGAATGTTAAATGTGCTTAGCTCAGATTATCAAGTAGATTTAGTAGTAATTATTTTTAAAGAAGAAATTTATATTGATTTATTGCTATTTTACAGTGAGACTACAAAGTAATATTGTTACAATTTCAAGGCGATATAATATTTATTTATATTTATTCAATTGATATTAGAAATCTTAGCACCCAACGCTAATTGATTATAAGAAAGATAGAAATATGTGATGCGCAAATGAAGTTAGCAACTAAAGGCAATTATCACTAAAAATTTGTTGTCCAGTCTGAATTAGATTTGCTAGGCGGTAAGATTCCCGATGAGGTTCATTTCCATGTGGAAAGGATAGCCCAGGAAGACATGCCGAGAGATGAGCTCGCGCTCAGAAGTTGGTTGGAAGACAGATGGCGAAAAAAGGAGCAAATCCTTCAGAATTTTTACATAAATAAAACATTCAAGAGTAAACCTTGGTCGACGCCCCGACAAACGCCTCTTACTATCGCTTTCATCTTTTGGACTTTACTCTCTGGTGAGTCGATGACGTATACTTTTTTTATATTAAATTTATAGTAACAAATTGGTTGCATTTATTTTTAAGGTGCAATGATAGTGATGCTCATGGTATCTCCGCTATTTCAGCTGTGGACATTCTTGCATACAATGTTATTTATTGGCATATCCATTTTTAGTAATGGATTTAATCAGTTGGAAATCAGATGGTATCAGATATGGAAATCGCTAGTTCATAAAATTAAACTTGATTAATTATTCTATGACACTATTTACAATTTAACAATAATAATAGAAAAAGAATGTACATCAATTATCTGTCTCTGTGATAAACAAATTGTACATTGTGTAAATTTCAACCACGGGTTTCGATAGTTTTAGAATAAAATAAGCACTATTTATCATTTTTGTAGCTAAATACGGATATATATATCAGACACATTGAAAAACAGATATCTATATGAATTTTGTCTAGTTAAAAATTAGATCGAAAATATTAATTAATAATTAATAAAAACAAATTATTTTATCTGTAAGTAAAGAAAATCATTAATTAATTAAATAAATATTTAAAATGAAAATATATCATTTCCAAAAAATTACGGTACAAAATGAAGATGACCTTAAAGTTCCTAAGATTATTTCTTTACTAAAATTTACTTTATTTTCAATTTACAATTATAATTTATAATTCTAAAATTATAATTATAATATAATATTTATTTTTAATACTTAATATAATAATTATAATAATAATGATGAAATAATTTTGCATGTAAATACGAAATTATTTAGATAATCATATTTGATCTCATATTTATGTTTTAAATAAAAAAAATTTAAGAAAATAGTAATTTCATGGATTGCATCAAACAAAATCACAATAGTAATATAAATAATATATAATACACACCAAGGATATAAAATGAAAAGTAATCCGTGCGGAAAATGCTCTGTACTAAAAATATAATTAATTTAATTTTTAACAAAATAAAAATCAAGTATTCACCCTACTATACACCCTACCCTAAGTGAATGTTGTTTTAGTTTTAATTTTGAGTTACAATTGTTATTTAATTACGATTTTTAAAATTTTCCAAATATTAAGACAGACGCGTAGGCCTACCTATAAACAAATTTATTTTTAATAAAAATCCATTTACGTGCAAAAATGAGTATAAAACATGTATTTATAATTGTTTTACTTAACTTCTATATCGCGTATATACAAATCATAAAGCAATTCAAAGTATAAAATATGTTTAATAAAAATTACAATAAAAAAAAATTGAATTTATATAAATATACATCTGCGAAGGTTATAAAACAATTTACTAATCAAATAATGATTTTCGAATAATTCGATAATTTGAATAGATTTTAAATATTATAAAAAATAGTTCTCTACAAAAAACTAGTATGTAGTACATATAATCTACCATAACAATATTAAATACATGATTTCTTTTTATATCAATATATAATATAAAAATTGTATCTAATGAATAAAATCATAATATTAAGAATACATTGAATATAGAAAAAAAATTCACGTTATTTTTTATTAATTATATTTTTTCTGAATTAACCATGATTTATAATTGGTATTGATTACATTATAATCGAAAATATAGAATAAATGTAATTGAGAAAATATTTAAATAACGGAAGTAAGATTCATTTTTTGTTTTGCATATTTATAAAAAAATCTTTTATTATAAGAAGGTGAATTCATGTGCCAACAAATAATGTTAGTTGATAATTGATATTTTAATCTAAAGTATTCATTATAAATTTATTACTTACACAGTTTCAAGATATATTCAATTTGAAGTTTGTATCATTCAATCCTAATGGAAATTATTTTGAAATTCAATAATTTTTTTGTTTGAGCAGGAATTATAGTTAATAGTTAATTACACGTGCGCACACACATACACGCGCAAACAGAAAAACATACATATTAAAATACATTGTATATATACAAATTAAAATAAATGTATTCGTAAATTAATAGAATTTTCGTCAAACGCATTGCGCAACGGTATAAATAACCTATTTTTTTTATATAATTTTTTTTATTTTATTAATAAATGAATTGATTACATGTGATTAATAAACAGACTGAATCATTCATGTTATATAAAATTTCATGTTACATTTTAGAAAGGAAATATCGAGTTCATAAACAAATTTCAAAAATATGTAAGACATAATTCACTAATGGAAATATAACATACTTTAAAAATTAAATTTGTAGTATAAAGAAAATATTTTATAAAAAGAAATGTGCAAATATCAGATTATATGATTATATACATTCATTAACAATTTAATTATTAGATAATATAAAACATATCATAACAGAAATATGCTAAAAATATTCGATGTACTTAAAATTGTGGACATTATTTTATAAGCTCGAAAATCCACAAATTGTAGGTATAAAATCAAAATATAGACAAATATTTAAAACAAATTGCCTATTGTATGGTATTAAATTATTTTCCTTTTGTAAAATGGATTTATCGGGCTTGGAAGAAGACTTGGCTTCAGTACACTGGCCTTTGGTTTTCGATTAGCATCATATGGAATGTGTGGATTCTGTCTAATTTGACGAATATATTCTGAAATATTTCGTACTGTATTTCGATGCAGTTTAATTTGAACTCGTTTTTTTGTTGAACTTGCTACAGTTGCTTGATTTGGCACAATCTTAACAGATGCCTCAGTCTGAAATTTTTTTATACTTAGAAGTAATTTTCAATATAAATAATTTTTCATAATAATTTTCATTACTGTATATTATAATTGCAATAAATAAAATAAAATACTATACTAAATAAAGGTTTTTACTTTAACTTTACTAAATAAAAAATTAAAATATGTATATATATATATATACATTTCGTAATTTTAAATAGAATTTGTTTACAAGTTTACAAGTAATTATTAATTTCAAATTCTATCAAAGAATTAAATTGAAATTTCTTAGAGACATTTAATTTTAAGTAAAAGTTTATTATTAAGAATCTCATATTCATTTATCATTTCTGGGATTGGATCTATAAAGAACAGTTATGAGAATATTCAATATTTGTTATCATTAACAATGAATTAAAATGTATAAATTAAGAGATTAGATTACGTATGTATATTTTTAATCTAGTAGGAATTAAATTAAATTAAAAATCGAAATTCAACATTTTAATATAATTATGTATAGTTTTTCTTTATATTTATTTTAGACCATTCAGTATTTCAAACATACGTTTTTACAAAATTTTAATATTTTTAAAAAGTGTCAATTATGAAATTTAGTTTTACTTACTTTATTTTGTTCTTCTAACCTAACTAAAACTGGAGTTAGCCATGGTGTACTAGGGCTTACTAATTTAGTATCTACCTTGTTTTCTGCTATCCCTTTTTTTGTAGTTCTCTTTTTTTCTAATACTTTATTAAATGTAGTTGGAGTGAAACTTGTTGGTGTTGGATTCACATTCCAATTGCAGCTTGTGCTACCTTTATTAGCACTTAAATTGTCAGCACCTGTTATTTTATATTCCTCTATGCACGTTGAAAATGTTTTAAAAGACTTTTTAAATTTGTTATTTATAAGTGATTCAGAACGATCAAATTTATTTGATTTTTTTTTCACTGGCAATTGCAGCTTATTATTTTGCTTAATTGATTTATCATCTTTACTCATATGATTCATATTCTGACTTTGACTATTAGCTAATTTTAGTTTTTTATTATTTGAACACATCAAAGAAGTATATTGAACATCTTCAGGTACAATTAACTCTTCAATATTATCAAAGTTTTCATTGTATTTTACTACAACACTTTTCCTTTTTTTTTTACGACTGTTTTTATTTGAATCTACATAAAGATCTTGTTCAAAATTTAATAAATTTTTTGCAGCTACATAAGAATTTATGTTAGTATGTTCTGGTATTGGAATTTCTTTAATGCCAAGTGGCATATCACCTTCACTGAGTTTGGTAAATCTAAAATAGTAAAAATTATCAATAGTTATTACTAAAAATATTTTTACATAATGTATTTAATATTATTGATTTAGATTTATTTACTCATTAATTAATTGATTTATAATTTTACGACTTTTTGTAGTAGATAATTTATGAAATTTATATTCTTTTAGTAAAGACACTATTTCGGTTGGATTAAAAGGTAATTGTGGTATTTCAACATTTACTCTCCCTGCTCTTGGATCTAATGGCATATTTGTTGCTTTTATATCTTCACTATCTTCTTCATCAGCATTATCACAATTACTTGTATAATCTGAAAATTCTACCTTTTGCATTTCATCAATGCTTTTACATGGAAATCCAACCTACATAATTATATAATAACTAAAATAAATAATATGTTTTAATTATATTATTTTTAACAAAATATTTACCTGTTTCCAAGCATTAAATTTTTCTGCATAATCCAATCCAATATCTGATTGAAAAATTAAATACCTAAATATATTTGTTACAATATGTTTGATTTGTCTTTGGTCATCTGTACAAGTTAAGTTAATAACAAAAGGCTTAATAAAATCTGTAACAATACTTTTTTCAATTTTGCCTCTACTTATCTGAAACAAAAGTTGTTTAATTATTTCAAATAATATTAACATATTTAATTACACAAAGCTTTTAATTTAATATACTTTCGCTAATTCTTCCATGTAAACTTCAGTAATATGAAAATTAAGTCCCAAACAAGTTTTTGGATCTAATAAAATTTCTTCAATTATTGTTGCTACGCCAACAACCCATTCCTTATTCCAAGATTCCTTTTTACACATTTCAAATGTTTGTCGTAAAATTCTTTTTACTAGCTACAATATGAAATAAAAATTTTATAAACATTATCTCTTTGAAATATCAATATTATTTTATTTACTCAAACAACCGAAATATTATCTTCTTTAAAAAAATAAGGTACAAATTAAAATTTCAATTTAAAATTTAAAAATATAAAAGATGATCTAACCATTTCAAATTTATCAATTCTATATCTATCTATTCCGAACCATTCAGTAGCAAAACATTTAAAGGTACATTTTGTATAAAGTAGCGCAGTATCCATTGAATTAAAACAATGTACTATTTTGCTGAGAGACTCTGCAAGTTCTTCTTGCACTAAAGGCTTATCTGACAGCCACATGCAATAAAATAAGCCCTTCCAAAGTCTCAGGAAGTCTGAATCTGTAAAAGCTATTATTTAAATTATATATTATTATATTATCATAAAATTTATAATAGTTATAAGATACCAAATCAATACCAAAAGATGAACATACCAAATGAACTTTGAGAACGCATCATCAACCATTTTTTTAGATTCTTTAAAACTTTGTCTCTAACTTTTTTATTATTATTCGCTAGTAATCTAGCAAATTTTACTTCTTGAGCAATTAGTAAAGCTTTATCGCTTGTGGATTTTTTATTAATTTCTGTTTTCTTATTGGCCTTTTTTATTACAGATAAATTTTGTTTAGATAACACACGTGCACATTTTCTCGCTATTTTAACCGTCATCTTTGTATTTTTCTTTTTAGATTTCATCTCATAGGAAAACAACCCTTTGATTGTATGAATAATTTAATTACCAAACATAATATATTATCATTATTAAATGACTAATTAGCAATTAAAACAAATGATTTTTATTACCATATTGTACCCTAACCTAAATTATATTATAAACTAACGTAGTTAATTTAAATTTTTTAATAGTATACACCAGAGAGCATAGATAATGCATTTAATAGTCGTATGCGCAATGGAATTCATAGCCGAATGTAGTAGCTTTTCAAATGCTCCAATTGGATTATTCGACAGAAGAAGAAGAATGTATGAATAATAAAATACTGTAGTTATTTTATCATAATTAAAATTATATTTCCTTTGGAGCAAAAAATTATTATATTTTTTCATTCTATTAATATTTTTGAAATATTTTGTAATTAAAATTCAATTAGACTTACATATTTAAATAAATAAATTTCTATATTTGCATATATTATTTAAAAATATGAATATTATTGGTCTTTTTATTATTAATAGATTTTTATTTCATTATTTTGTTTTATAATAATTATAATAAAAATAAAAATAAACTTTGTTATAAAATAACATAGTGTTTATATGCTTGTTTATTTTAAACATCGAATATAATCAATAAAACAGCATTAAACAATCATATATATATATATAAGTATGGGTCAGTGCGTTTCTGTGTTGCGTGCGAACGGGCGCACACGTATAGCTTTGACAAGATGGATTCAATACTAAGTAAACATGAAGTAGTATGCCACAAAAAGGCATCCAATCCATGTCTCGTTTTTTCACGTAACGCAAGTGCATTTTCGTTTCCCACATGCGAAGGATTTCTCTCTCTCTCTCTCTCTCTCTCTCTCTCTCTCTATTTATTTTTCCTTACATATATATATATATAATTATTGATTCTTTATTGCTTGGGTTACAGATTTAATAAACTATATAAAATCTATCGCACTTCTTATTACAAATTTGAATTTACTGTGTCATGTATATTATATATATTTCCACGCTGCCTTTTATAGTTATTATTCCAATTGTATTACATTTACTATTTATTATTCATTTGCATATTTATTTAATTTTTCTCAGTTTAATAACTCAGAAAACAGTCCCGTTCTTCTATCAAATCTCTTTTTAAATAATTAAATATTGAAATTTGTTTGCAACGATTTATCAATTTACTAATGAAATTGTTCTTCTAATGTCATAAGCAAACAGAAAAATGATTAAAATTACATAAATTTAATCATTTTTAATATCAAAATATATTAAAATTAATATACAATTAGATTATGAATAATAACAAGTAATTTATAATTATATATTTAATTATTTATTATCAGTAATCATTTTTAATTAATTTTTTATAAATGATTTAAGGTTGTCAAAAAAAGTAAATCTAAAAAAAGTAAAGTTAAAATCTAAAATTATAATAAATAATTAATAAAATATATTTTTTAAAGACCAATAAAATGATTGTTTCTATTAATAAAAATACTATTAAAAATAGTGAATTAAGTGACATGCTCAGGAAATTCTTATAAGTATGTAATGACTATGTCAGTTTTTGTTCAATAATTATTTTCGATATTCTTAAATTTAATATTTGTATTTTCATAAAAATTGATTATGTATAATCATCTATAATAGTATAATCATATAGATGTTTCTTTGACATTCACCACTTAACTTTCAAACAAATTTTAATTCATGCTTGAAAATTGTTTAGTACTACAATTCATATAAATGTAGTAAATAAACTAAAGACAATTTATAATGTTATAGTGGATGATGACAGGGTTTTGTAATTACATTAAAAAATTTATATCAATTTTAAGAAACTTATTTTCATATTATAAATGTATAATTTTGGCATGAAGATAATTTTTAAATTAATAAAATATTTGAAATAATATATTTGTATAATTATACGATTCATAAAATAATTTTCAATGTAAACACAAATATATAATTATTTAACAAATTAAATATACAAGTATAATTAAATACATATTATATTATATAAGTAATAATTTTCTACACAGGATGACCATCGTAGTTCAATTATACGAAATTTTCAAAATTCAAAACTATTAATAAAAGTTTATTAACCAGAAGAGATGAATCTGTGTTATTAGTCAGTAATTAAATTTTAAAAAAAGACAATAACTAACACAAGCTATTAAACATATTTTGATATACTAAATATCGTTAAATTGACATTTAAATTTTATTAAGAATTAATCAAATTCTAATTGCAATAAATATTAAAATATGTATCTTATACAATTTTATACTATATAAATAAATTTCATACAGAGCTACAATGTGTTTGATATATATTTATTAAATTAATTTGATTAATATGAAAATTATTCGACTATTAATTTTTATTTAAATTTATAAAAAATTGAATTAGAATGAAAATTAATCAATTTTTTATTTTAAACTTAATTATTTCTTTATAGATTATAAATGAAAGTTTGCTAATTTTTCTTTTCTTTTGCCAAAATAGTGTTTATATCAATAAAATTTAATTTGATAAACTTTATATTAATACTTCTATTGAAACAATTTTATTGTCGGGTATAATAAGTAAAGGATTAGTCATTTTGGTAAGTTGAATTATTGCAAATACATAATTACACATACTAAACAAATAATATATCCCATTTCTTATATTTGGTCTTTCATTAATGTTGCAAATTTTTGTTCTTGTTATGTTCAGAATTTTTCTAATCAATTTATTCAGAACAAAATTACTCTTAAATATATTCCTCTTTATTAAAAAGTTATTAGATTTTTTTTTAATTTTAAATTATTTCATTGGCACTTGAAAAATTAAACGAAAAAAATTAAAAATAAATAAATAAATACAATAATGAAAAATTTTAATGTAATTTATATAAATAATAAAAAATAAAATATAATTCAGAATATAAATCCGAATGAAAAATTGTACATGATGCTATCTCTGATCTATATTGATTGAAAATATAGTGAATCTATTATTTTAATAGTTTTATTTCAAGTCGACAACTGAAAACTCAATTATCTTAATTTAGTTATATAGTTATAAAGTTAACAATATACTGTAAGATAAAAATGAGATTTATGGTAAAAATTCCGTTCGGTACAGTTTCTGGTTTATTTGTTCAGTAATTCGCAATCACTTGTTAAATTGCAAGTAAAAGTATAAAAAAGTGAATAAATGTGAGTTAGTATAATAAATAATATAAAAAACAAGCTTATATAATATAAATTTATATTCAAAAATTCATAGAATATTTTTTTTTAATTTTTAAATAAAAAAAGGAAATTTAGCATCAGCTATTTTACCTTAAAATTGTTAATTACATTTAAATATTTGACACGTCTTCATAAATTTTCGAAATATTATAGTATTAAAAATTTATTGTATATCTCGTATAAAATTATAACTTACTGTAAGGTCATATTCAATGATGGCTCCCATTTTTTCTAATTTCATTCAAAAAGAAAAACTATTGTTATTTCTCTCCTTAATTTAAACATTTTTTTGTATTGACTACTATTATTATGTAACATAAAGCTTAAGCTTAAATTTTCCTTATATAGAAATTGAGCGATTTTGAAATAAATATCATAATAAGCTTAATTTAATTTTGTATAATTATATTTTTTTAATAAATACATAATTATGAAATTTTTTAATTCGATTTGAGCAAAAAATTAGTTTTTAATTAATAAATGAATTACATATATGAACAAGTTTTATTCGAATACTATTAGATGCATAATAGTAATCAATGCAAATATAGTGCATTATATAATGTTTAATCATCCTATATCAATTGTTGAAGAAATGTAATGTTATCTCATTATCATATTTCTAATTTTTGGTCTTTTGAATAATCATTTATAAGAATTCTATGACGAATAAATAATTGAATAAACTTAAGCCCATACTTAAAATGTATCTTAACATCACATTAATTGTGTTTTATTAATTACAGTTAGCCTGCTTATTTCATAATATTATCAGCGAAAAATTTTATTACTTTGTTTATCAGCACTTTGTTCCTTTTATCAAGGTTAATTAAATATCGAATTAGAATACTGTCATAACCTTGTTTAGAGTTGAAAAATCTGTCTAGTACAAATACTTCTGTCAGAATAAAAATGTTCAAAGCTACACAAATCTATAACAATAAACGTTAGTTATAAGTTGAATGAATTTTAATATAATTTTGATATTTTTTCTTACATATATATTGTATTTATTAAATATAAAGTTTCTTAATTATTAGTTAATTCTTATTATTTTGATTTAAAATTAAAACGTACACCCAATTAATTTTGTACATCTAAATATCAAAATAAATAGATTTAAACAAATTTTTTGTAATCTTTCGTACAGCAAACAGTTTACATTATAAAATGTAAAAGTTCGATCCAATACCCTTTTTTGTTGCCAGGTACGAATATCATAAAGTAAAAAAAAACAATCTGTAATAATATAGGTTTTTCTAATATGTCTAAAGTATTCTGTTACAAAAATATAGTTATTATTTAAGTTGCATATATTTCCAAAATAATTGTCGCTGTTCAAATGAAATCATATAGATAATTATAGATTCATTCTTATTTAGTAAATTTCTTTAATCCTCCCATAATATGTACAAATACAATAATAATAATAACAATAATAACAACAATAATAATAATATCAATAACAATAACAAAATCAATATATGCAGTTATATTTCTATAGAGTACAATCCTGAGTTGAATTATTAATTCCCATAATAGTGATAATAAATGATAGTAATGGCACAAAATCATAATCACTATTAATTATAGTATAAAACATGTGATTAATTTAGAATATTGTTTATATTATAATGATTGTGATTAGTTTTTATTAACTTATAACATTGTGGATAATAAAATTAGTAATATGTGTTAAAAATTATATAATAAATTCAACCCAAAGCATTAAAAACATATTTTACTAATTTTCAGTTGTACATTTCAACTCTTTTTTTTAATATAAATTTTCATATTCTACAAATATAAAAATCAGTATCCAAATAAAATACTGAAAATATATTTTTAAAGAGATTTTTATAATAATGTTTACAATAATATAATAAAAATGTTTAATAAATCTTTTAATATTAAATTTAAAAATTGTTCAAATCATATAAAATCTAATATTCTGCATTAAAACACTTAATTCCAAATAGTATTTATTTTAATATTTAACTACAGTAAGTTAAGCCGATTTAAATATAATATTCTATGAATTTGTAATTACTTTTTAATAATAGTTGTAAGTTGTTTCTTATTATTTATCTTTTTAAAATTATAAAATATATTAGTATATGAATTTGATTTAAAAAATTAAAACTTAAATTTATATATAATTTTACAATAATTATTATATTTGAGATGATATTCAAACTCTTATAAACAGAAAATTATATAAATAGAAATATTTATTTTATAATAATATATTAGTAATTTACACGCTTATATTTTAAACAATTTCTATAGCTGGTACTTGAATAGTAGAGTAATAAAGTTTTCATTTATCCCTCTTTTTTCATATAAGAAAATAAATTTAAATATAAAATTTATTTGAATAATTAAATCATTACACAAATATTGTTAGAAATGAAGAATGAAGCATTTATTTCATTATATGATAAGCTCTGCTCTTTTTTGATAATTAAGAATACTGTAAATCACTATATAACGATATATTATAAATATTATTACAACATATATGATGAGGCAGCTGTCATGTAATAAGAAAAGTATTTCAAGTTTGAATCTTAAATATCTCATACTAGTCAAAGGAGTTATTTGAGCTACTATATTTGTATTATATTAATTTATTTTTATTATTATTACCCAGTATCTAAATTTATTGTATATCATAAAAAATATTTTATTTCAATAATATAATATTTATATTTAGAATGTTAAAATTTTAATTCTTATTCTTATCATCATTGAATCTAAATCTAATTATTTACGAGTTGAATCCAATAAATTAATATAAATGTTATATTTAGTACTATTCGATCAAATATATTAAATTTTTTAAATAATTATATTTATATATTTATTTATTTATTTAAATCACAATAGAATTTTATTTATATAATTCCTTATATACCTCGTAAATTCAAAAGTTTAGAAAGTTTTTCACAAAAGCAATCAAATTTTAAAAGCATACATTTAAATATTATTAGAAAATATTGTATTAATATTTATTATAAAATCATTCAAAAAATAAATTTCCTCAATAAAATTTTATTATATTTTTAAAAATGTATTTATTATGTTAGAGTAAAAAATACAGTAAATTGCTAGATATTTTTATTTTTACAACAACAAGATATGGGACACTAACTCTTTTTATAAAATGTATTATATTAACTTGCTTTTCAGTAGTTTTAAGTCATTTTAAGTAATTTTTAAATTTTTAACTAAATTTTAAATAATTTTAAGTAATTCTTTGATGAATTTTCATAAAAACTATAATGATATATAACAAATATAAATTAATAAATTAATTTAATTTAAAAAATCATTTAATTTTTTTCATGAAATTACATATAATCTCTTACTTTTTATATTTTTAGTTTCTTTATCTATTAATTTTGGTTTTAATTTTAAAATAACAACAAATATCTGATGATTTTTTAATTATATAGTTAAATATAGAATTATTTTATATTAAAATACTACTTATTTTTATGTTTTTATTATATATAATGTTTCTCATTATTTATTAAATTAGCCATATGCTTGTATTAATTAATAATCAGTATTTTAGGATATATATTCACATTCATGAAAAATATTTTTTATTTATTTTTTTCAAGTCTTTAGCTTTGTTATTTAGTATTTGCTCCAAAAAATATGATATTTGCAATTACAGAGTATTATGGTATTATTACTAATTAAAAAATGCTTATCAATAATATGATTAGTATAAAATTTATAAGATATGATTGTAATTAGGATGTTCCATGTTATATATATACATATATATATATATATATATATATATATATATATAGTGCATATCAACGAATTACTAAACACAGAACTACATTTTCTTCACTACACAAATTCTTTATTATCGTGGCCCGTGTTGACATAAATTCTAGGAAGTTGATTAGAAAAATTAATTTATATTTGGTTGAAAAGCAAAAAGAATATTTTTGTAATTACATACTACGTGCATTCTTTTAAAAACTTGTATTTAAAAAATCGCGCGTTCTAATTACACGCATGTGCATAATTGTCAGGATGGAAACAATTCATAAGTCAATTGTTTACAAGAATTTTAGAGAATTTGTTTGAGTATATAAATAAATGAGGCCTATAGTAATGTCTAAAATCGATAATAATTTTTGCGCTAAAATTAACACAACTGTTTATTCATTCAGAAGGATAAAAACGCGTATACTATGTAATTTAAATATTGAGAGTAAATAGATAAAGGATATTTTGTTTAACTGTAAAGTTAATTGATAATACTATAGGTTACGAACTGCAAGCACTGAACTGGTCTTTAGTTGCATGTGATGCTTATTAATCTTGGTATGCGTATTTGTAGCAGTAATGGCTTTTGAGTTAAGTGTTCCCAGCCCGGAACTTTTCTCCGGATTGACTAAATAGCATTAAAGATTTTGTACTCTTGAAAGTAAACATCTAGAAAAGGACCGAAGACTAATGATATCAACGGCCAACAACGAGCCACGATCCTCGTTCGCATAAAGTTCTTAAGCGCTTGTCAACAATCTTGATTACTCATAACCTTGACTATTTAATATAAAATGGCAAACTCCTGAGCTCGATGAAGCATTGAGTGCTTTCTGCTGTTGCTTGCTCATGCGCGTCGCGTATATGTGTAGTTTACACCGTGTGTCTTCGTCTTGTGACTTTTGCGGGTGCTTTCCTTGGGTGTTTTGTCGACAACCCTTTGCTCTTAATAAGCTTACGTTCGTTAACGAAAATGCCGAACATCATCAACGATATCAAGCTCGATTTTAAGGATGTCTTGCTCAGACCGAAGAGAAGCACCCTCAAAAGCAGATTCGACGTAAGTATATATATTACGGGTGGAAATTTCTTGAGCGCAATGGAAAAACTGTATCGCTTATTGCATCTAATCACGTGAACGTTTTCGGGTGAGGTACCTAGTTCAAGCGCCAAGCTTGAAGTGGAATCAATTTTTGATTTATTTTTTAATCTCGTTTTACACCTTTATCACGCAACTATGATGCATATAATATAAATTGTACAACACTATGCGTGTTCTTACCCTTTAACTCTTGCATACGATCAGAATAAATTTGTTTGCAAATACTTCTATATAAAAATAGCTTGAGCTTTCATTTGTTGACAAAGCTATTTTGTTTTTATTCAAATTTTTTTCTACGCGATGGATATTTCATTATTATACATCACTGTATTTGTATTTTTTTTTATTTTTAGGTCGATTTATTTAGGGATATTACTTTTCGAAATTCCAAGCTGGCTTATCAAGGAATACCTGTGATGGCTTCAAATATGGACACAGTTGGAACTTTTGAAATGGCAAAAGCACTGTCTAAGGTAACTTAGATATTTTAAATTAAATTTAATTTTTTGTGAGAATATTAGATTAATGATATTATTTTAGGGGATAATAATCATATCACCATCTTTCATTTATATAAATTTTTCAGCATGGCCTATTTACAACAATTCATAAATATTATACTGCAGATGAATGGAAAGTCTTTGCTATTCGCAATCCTGAGTGCTTAAAAAATGTAGCTGCTAGTTCAGGAACTGGAAACGAAGACTTTGAACGCTTATCAATGATTTTAGCAACTATTCCTGAATTAACATTTATTTGTATAGATGTTGCCAATGGATATTCTCAGCATTTTGTAGAATATGTGAGAAGAGTTCGCTTAGAATTTCCATTTCATACAATAATTGTAAGGCAATAATAAATATATTAATGTTTAGAATTTTTTAGTATTAAGTAAAATTTAGAAGAATTTATTTAAAAACTGTATCATAGGCTGGAAATGTAGTAACTGGAGAAATGGTAGAAGAGCTAATTCTCTCAGGAGCAGATATTATTAAAGTAGGTATTGGTCCTGGATCTGTATGCACAACACGTATGAAAACTGGTGTTGGGTATCCTCAATTAAGTGCAGTAATTGAATGTGCTGATGCTGCACATGGCCTTAAAGGTCATATTATTTCTGTAAGTATATTAGCAGAATTCAAAATAATATAACTAATACATAAAACATTATATAAAGATTCATAATATTTAAATAAAACAAACTAGTATTTTCAAATTTTATTTTAATGTGTACAAATTATCTATCCAAGCATTGCATATTTAGCGGTGTAAATATAAAGTCCAATAATTTTGTTGCATAATCATTCATATGATATAAAATTTCAAATTTCAAATCCTTGCTTTAATTTTATGTTTCAATTTATGTACTATTAAAATAATTTATTAGGATGGTGGTTGCACTTGCCCAGGAGATATAGCTAAGGCATTTGGTGCTGGCGCCGATTTTGTTATGGCAGGTGGAATGTTTGCTGGTCATGATGAGTGTGGAGGGGAAACTATTCAAAAAAATGGAAAAAAATATAAACTATTTTATGGAATGGCTTCCAACACAGCCATGAAAAAGCATGCTGGTGGTGTTGCTGACTATAGGTAAAACAGAATAAAATATTGAAAAAATATTTTTAATAATAAAAATCGAAGTATCCTAGTTTCATTTATATTTATAAAATGATATTTTTATGAAAATTGAAAATGAAAATAAAGTAAAGAAGTTTCACAAATATTTTTTGTCTGAATATATATATATATATATATATATATACATATTAATGTTTACTATTATTATTAAAAGTACTTTTTAAATGTACATAATTCTCTCTGTTTTATGTTAAAGATCTTCAGAAGGTAAAACTGTTGAAGTGGCGCATAAAGGTGCTGTAGAATCAACAATATTAGATATGCTTGGTGGTTTGCGTTCAGCTTGTACCTACGTAGGGGCATCTCGATTAAGAGAATTGCCAAAACGTGCTACGTTTATAAGATGTAATCAGCAAATCAATAATATTTATGGTCCACCTATGTAAACAAAGTGTAAAAGTTTGAGAGTTTATACTTGTTTATTAATTGCTGAGATTAACGGATAAATGTCTCAATTAATTTTAATAGAGAAATATAGTATTCTTAAATAAGTGCCATCACTGATTGTATTACGGCTATATCTCAGTATGAAATGACAGTTAACATTATTTAAACATCGATTGTAGATATAGCGTTTTGCTTATTGGGCGATTGATCTAAAATATGGTGGATATATGGATGTTTTTGTACTTCATATATACTTTAAATATTGTGAAAAATATTGTAACAGTATTGATAATTTTTTTGTATGTATATGGAAAATAATTTCTATAAAAGTATTTTTGTAGTAAATTATAAATAAAAATGTTATGCCTTTTAAAAAAGAAAATCTCAAGAATCTCATTTTAAAAGAATAATTTTTATTAAATTCACTTATTATTCATTTTAGTTCATTCAATTTATAAATACTGTTTACTAAAAACATATTACTAAATAAAATATGAGTTAATTTTTTTTCAATTTAACCAAACATTTTTAAATCTTATGTATCCATTATTTATTATATAATATTTTATATACAATATAAAGTAGAAAATTCAATTTTATTTGAAAAAGCCAAATTAATTAAATAAAAATTATATAAAATTTATTTTTTGGATAATTTACCATAATTCTAAATGATTCATTAATTGCTAAAATTATTTTAATAATTGAGTACATTAATTATACAGTTAAATTTAAAAATGTAAAACTGTATATAAAATAAATATAACATATTCATTAGGACATAAATTCTTTATAAGTAGTGAAGGAAACAAGCTATTTATGTAAAAAAACTAATTTTAATATTTTCTATTATTAATATTATTTTAGATTCAAAATATTTCTACACAATGTAATAGCTATTACAATGAGTAAAAATTATATAGAATTTAATGGAATCCTTAGTGTTTTAGAAATTATATTTAAAATAAATATTTAGTTTATTAATTCAATTAGTTTAACTTTTATTAGTTTTAAAAATTATTAGATTTACAATGACTTATATAAATTTATATCTTCAACATATCAGTATCAATATGTTTATTAATCTTCATATTTTATAATAATATAAAAGCTATTACAATCTTAATATGGCAATTTTTATGTATAATCACATCAATATATTGATGTAAGTAAATGACAAAATTTAAAACGTATTTCTAAATTTAAAATTATGATACAAATTTATCATTTAATTGAGTTTAGGATATACAAATCAGTTTAATGCATAAAAAAATTTATATACTTGTTTTGTTTTAAAATTATTGTTTTCTGAGAAGATTTAAAATTAAAACTTGTTTTCTGAGTGGTTAAATAACTTACAATATTTACTGATGTCTATTCGATCAAATTTAGGCAATTTAATTTTAGTATAAATTATATTAGATCTAATTGCCAAAATATGAGTACAGAATTTACATTAGGAAATATTTATACATAACTTTATTAACTCAAACTGAATGTACATATAAATATGGAATCGTAAAACTTAATTATTAAAATGAGCTTGCAATATAATCTGACAATTTTGTATGTTTACAAATAATAATCATACATAAGTATCATATATAACAAAAAATTTTCGATGCATATTTTTCAATGTCACTTTCTTTAATCAACCTACAAAATAACATTCTCAAAAATATCTTAATAAATAAAAAAGAAATTTTAATTGAATGTCTGAAATATTCTACATAGCAAGCTTTTTATTAAAAATTTTTGTTGACATTAAAAATCGAACAAAAAATATTTAAAGTTAAATATTTTCTGTATGAAATTTTATTTTACATAATCCTAATATAATTATTAAAGCAATTTTTTGCGTTTCAAATATGCCAAACAAGCATCTGTAATAAAATTTATTATTTTATATATTATATTGCTAAATTAATATTTTCACTTTTAATTAATCATAGTAGTAGTATTTCTAAGTCATTTTTATTTAGAAATTCTTTCTACAAAAGCAACAATTTTACATGTGACTTATATTATCTATGATATACTTATTTATTAAAAAATATAAAGAATATACCCGCTTTATTGTCTACTATTGAAAAATCATAGATTAGTATATACTTTTAAAAAATATTAATTTTAAAACAATAATTGTTCAAAAGTAATTATAATCCCTGACTTGGATAACTATGTAAAACAAAATATTTCCATGCTTGTCACATTATTAGAATATTCCGTTACATCAAGGTTAATTTCTGTCATAAAATTAACATTAAAGTGAATTAAATGTGTACAATTATAAATGAATATAGAAAAGTTAATTAAAAAATTAATTTACATAAATGTAACGATTATACGCTTTTATATTCTATAGATTAAAGAGTAAATTAATATTTAATATAAATAAATATATTTTTTTAACAGAGGTTTGAAAATGTTTAAAAGTTTCTTTGTAAAAAAATAACATTTGACAATAAACAAAATGACTTTAACACAATTATATTTACTTTATGACTTTTAGACAATGCTATATTATTACTTAAGTTTTCATCTATAATAAAAAACAATAATGATCAACTTAATTTATATTAAACATTTTTTTCTTTATATTTGTAATAATTTATTAGATTTAGATATATAATCCTAAATTTATTATATGATTCAATGTATTTCATATAATTTTAAATGAATTACTTAAGTACATTTTAATTATGTTTATTGCATATACTGATATCTTTGTAATGAAAATGTCTAAAAATTATGGGTGTTAAAAATAAATTTTTAGAATATATTGTTAGTAATATGTAGTTTTCTAATAAAAAACTAAAATTAAATATATTTTTATTTTCCAATTTGTTGTATAGATCACAAGATACCTTAAAACTTTGAATGTTTAATGATAGAATCAATGAAATTATGAAATCATATTACAAACATTATTACTCCAAATACATAATTAATTATATGATATATTTTAATCAATCTTACTTTGCTGGATACTATTTCTGCATTATTTATAAAAATTATTTAATTCGATTTATAAGATATTATCATTCAACAAAAATAATTGTATAAAAATATATTTCGGTAAAGTTTAACTTTATTGAAATTTTAATTTTTACATAAATTCGTTTGCTTTAAATGAAACAGAAATAACTGAAATATATATATAAAAAACTTTAACGTTATTAAATTAAATAGTTGATTACAATTATCATCAGCTTTAAAATCTAACTATACATTAAATTCTTCAGCGTTGATCACAAATATTCTGAAAATTTAAAATAAACTCTGAACTTTATAGTGAATTATTAAATCATTCAGAAATCATCTTTTAAATAATTACTTATTAATTTAGTCCTCCCAGGTATATTTTTAAATCCACGAAAAAAGGAATAAAAATTTGAATATAAGTATAAATAGTAATATTTACTAGTACTCAATGAGGAATGTGAAAAAAAATTAATCAAATTTACTAACTTATTGTTCACTTATATTTATAAATATAAAATCTTACATTTTGAAGAATTTTCGTTAATAAAAGAAATGTCCATCTTGAAACCTGAAATTTTGAGCTTAGCTTTATAAGCTAAGATATAAAAAAAATTAAAAAAAAATAAAAAGTAAAATAGAACAAGGAAAACCTAAATTCTTAGAAGCAAATTTAAAAATACTAATGTATTTTTTCATCAATATAACGCACAATAATTAATTATACATTTTATTTATTTATTTAATGTTTCGCAAAGTGATTGACAATGTTTTTAAGTTATGGTAAGTAATATACAGTATAACATTAGTGTTGACAGAAGACATAATTCATATGACTTTTTTTAAAGACATGAAAATTAGTGACTAATGCATAGCATCTATAATAGTAACGTGAATTGTAACAAAGTTCATAGAGATAGAAAAGAATTGTTTGTATTTAATAATTTTAAAATAATTTTAATAAATTTCCCTAATCCAAAGCATGAACAGTGCATAAGTTATTAAAAAGATAATGTCATCTTGCTGGTCATGCACACACCCCCAGGTTTGGCTGCTTCTACCTGCAGAACTTTATGACTCACTTGGTTAAAGTCAGGATTAGGTAGAAATACACAAACATAATTGTTGAAAAAATAAAACAAACATGATATTGCTGATCATATTATATGAAATTAAATTTTTTTGTTTTATAATCCTAAGGTCGGTTCAAAAATTTTCTTATGTCACTTAAAAACTAGAACAATGGGTATCCTACAATGTGTAAAAAAATCATTCAATAATATTTCTCATACTATAAATAAAGCGTAAAACAGATACTGTAGGTGACTTCTCAGGCTTGATTTCTTTTGTTTTTCTTTAAACAACAGCCAAATGTGTAATCATCATTTTTTGCATGTATAAATATATACATATATTTATACATGTATATTTATATTCATATGTATATATTTATATGGGAGTACTGCAGGTATTAAAAACATCCCTCTGGAAAGCTATCTGTAATCTGTATGGAAATAAATAAAGGATTATTGTAAAAAATAGTATAGCTTTATAATGTACATGATTAAAAATTTCAAAGGTGTAATATAAATAAATATATATGTATATATAGATAGATATAGATGCATATATTAGTAATACATAATTATATGAGATTTTTAGTATATTAAAATAATTTATTATCACACATATCACATATTATATAAATATATTGAAAAAACATCCTTTTTGTCTATTATTCCTGAAATAAGGTTGTATACATCGGATATATGTTGTATGTTCTATTACAATATTTTTAAATATAATTTCTTAATCTTACACCATTGATTTTATTATGCAATATAGATATATGTAGTTAATTAGTAGTTACACGAAAATTTTAATATTTTGTGTTACTTCAAATTATCTCACAAGTTTTAAATAAAGAGAAAGTCGAGTATCAATGTCTTAATTTTCATTTTATTAATTTCAACCTTGTAAGTTTATTTTGAACTTTGAATAACAGTTAATTAATATCATAATTAACAGCATTTATATTTGCACATAAATACACGCAAGAAATTATTAATATATATAATTAAAAATATATTATTTTTTGTTACTCAATTTAATTTTTTTAAGAAAGTTACCATCAATACTTATAAAGTTAAGACATTACTGTATTTTTTTATTCTTAACAGCATAAGCAATATAAATTAGTTAATAATAAAATATAAATTTTTATCGGTACTCTATTTCCTTTAAGCGGCTTGTTAAAGTTTTGCTTTCATTACTAGACTGATTACCTTACATAATAAATAATGTTTATCAAATAATAAAATCGATTATTGAGAAGTCCAGCAGGATAAATAATTACTTATCATTGTTTAATGTTTTAAATCAAAATTTCAATACAATGCTATAACTTTTAAAAATTATTTTTTAAAACTGTATCGAAATAATTATTTTAAAAATTAAATAATGATAAGTTGATTAACATGACAAAATGCATTATTTTAATTGAATTAATTTTTTATAAATCTTTCATTATTTAATGAGTAAATAAGACTAGATATAAACGTAAAACTTAAGCCGTTCCTTAACTTTGTAGAAAAAATGTGCATTTTTATTATAAATAAAAATTTATATCTTTGTAATCATTAATAACAGATGGAATATTAATTTTTATAAAATACAAAATAGAAATTTAATATTTACATTAATAAATACGTTATTTTTAGAATTTAATTTCTTTAATTTACAAGTAATTACATTAAAAATTATATAATTTTTTTTTTATTATTAATTATAGTTCTATTTATTTTTTATTGTAATATTTATTTAAAATATTTTTTACAAATGTTAATATTTAATACAACAATTAATACTTTTGTATGTAGAAAATTATTATTTTTACTAAAAATATTTTAATATAAATGAAATTATTTAAACTATACTATAAAACATTGTTATTATAATTATAGTTATACTGACAAAAATTGAAAAATCAAACAATATAAACTAATATTAATATTAAAGAAAAAAAAATTGAAAAAATCTTGAATAATGCACATATTGTCTAGAAAGTGAAGGTATGAATTATAAAATAGTATGATAATCATACTTACTGGGTTATTTAATTTTGCCTCAGGCCGTTTCTGATGTCTCAGTTATCAGAGCTTGGCTGAGGATACTGATAGTTTTGATAACCAGTAGCAGTAGGGAACGTAGGATTTTGTTGGCCAGGTTGACCAGAACTTTGTGCACCAGGTGTATAGTAACCACCCGCTGAGGCTGGATTCATCCCTGGATAACCACCATATGGCTGAGGAAATGCATTTGGTGCAGTTCCAGGTCCTCCGCCGCCACCAGGAGCACCACCCTGACTCGCCATAGTATTAGGTTGCATTTGTGGCTGTTGTTGCTGCTGTTGAGGCTGAGACATCTGATTATTTTGCATACCACCACCCTGCTATATAATAATTAAAGATTTGATAAATAGGCTTTTAGGAATTAATAGTATTTCAATAAATAAGTGTCATTAAAAAAGTATTGTAATTAAATATATGAGTTTTGTAAAACAAATTAATCATGGGTTAAATGTTAACATTATATATTTTATAATTAATTTTGTAATTAGTTTAATTTTGACAAGAAAATTTTTAATTGCTTTAACACACGATGTTATATATTTTTACTATATATAAATAAATAAATAAATTAATAAATAAATAAATATATATATATATATATATATATATATTGTGGTTGTTTGAGAATTGAATCACTTATTATAAAAATGGCCATTATTTAATATTAATTTAGCAGTTGCAAATCGATGTATTTAAAATTGATATTTAAAATATTTTCAAAAATTTACTTTTCCAGTTTTCATCTGTGCTTCAATAGCTTCTGCTTCTTTAATTTTTCCAATACTTCTGTAATATTCTGCCCATTGTGCACTGTAATCTGCTTGGCCACCATTTTGTTGAGCACCTTGTTGTTGTTGTTGTTGCTGCTGTTGTTGTGGTTGTGGTTGCTGTTGTGCTTGCTGTGGTCCAGTAGGAGCTGTTGGATTTCCAGGTGCTTGTCCACCACCTAAATCAAATATTAAAAAAAAATTCTTTTTAATGATATCAAAATCAAATCTGCATATGAATTGTGCATTTAACTTATATCAATAATTTTAAAAATCAATTGGTTTTATAGAGATAATGTTTCTGTAAATTATTTGTTAATAAAAATTTACCTGACTGTTGATTCATATCTGGTTTTACACCAGTTGCCTGCTGCTGCTGTTGCTGTTTAGTTTGCTGTTCTATTATCTCTGCTTCTCTGTGCATGCCCATTGATCTATAATATTCAGCCCATTGTGCACTGTAGTCTGGTTGCCCAGTTGCTGGATTGATCTGTACTGATGCTTGGTTGGCAGCATTTGGATCCCCTGTAGGTGTCTGGCCTGGCCATGCTTGATAACCTGGAGTTGCATTCCATGATGGATTATAACCCATTGTATTTTGTCCTCCATATATGCTATTAGTTGAAGTCTGTAATAATTCAATAATAATTCAATTAAGATTTTCTAATTTCATGTTTTTTTCTGTTTATTAATTTTTACTACAATTGCTAATAAATGTATAATAAACTTGCCAATACCTGACAAATAATTGTTTAAATTGTTCATATCAGTACAAAGTATGTTATTCTTATAAATTAGAAGAATAACCATTTTTTATATTTTTAAATTTTTATAAGTTTATTTATGAACTTCTACATACATATAAAAAGTTTCATGTATACATACCATGCCTCCACCACCCAACTTTTCACCAAATATTCTTTTTGCATGTTCCACTTGTTCTGGTGTTCCTCTAATAGTAAAGAATTTCTCAGTCTCTGTACCTGGATTTCGCCTATCTAATTCACAATGGGCACCAGTTTGTTGATTAATCTGTTTGATTGTTTCGCCACCTGAAAATATTTTAAGTAAAATTTATATCATTTAAATTCTGTATTCTTAGTTTTTCTAATTTTTTTTTAATAAACTCTTTAAAATAATGTTTTGGATGAAAAGTTGTTTAATATAAAAATAATTAAAACTTAAAAATATTTTGAAAAAGATAAAACTAAAACATTATTCATAAAAGATTACACTCATATATATATATATATATATATTTATATTACCTTTTCCAATTATGATACCACACTTATTAGATGGTACAGGATAACTAAATTCAATTTTGTTCCCTATATCATTTTGTCTTCTGTTACCATCCCAACCTCCGTATTCGTTAGGTCGACCAGAATTAAAACCATTACCACGTGGATTACCTCGTCCTTTCTAAATGATAAAATAATTATAATGAATTGAATTTAGAAATATTCAAGTGCATTACATTAATTAACACGTTCAATGCAGCCTATACAGAATTAAGATTTTGTAATTTTAAATAAAAGTTAATTCCAATGTGTTCAATACCGTAGAGAATTAAAAAAAAAAAAAAAAAACTATTTATTCCAGAATAAATTTCTTTAAATTTTTAAAGCATTATAGATTCAGTAATGTTTAACCTTATCTAAATCAAGTATCCAGTCATGATTAACTAATTTTTATATATTGTTACAAAAATTATTATATGAAACGTATTGTTAAACCTTTAGAAAATCTATCTTTAATACATTTATGCGAAAAGCATAATGAAAATCGTTAATTTGATATATTCAAATTATTAGAATAGCATAGTAAATAAAATAAGCACTGTAAACGATTATTCGTTTATTTTGACATATTCAATAATTTAAAGTAATTTCTTATTATTTTATTTACTCACTAGTGTATTAGATAAATAATAAATTACACACACGCACACGCACACACACACATATATAATTTTGTTTTGCTGAAAAAAATAAGTTATTAATATTTATTTAATATTATTAAAATAAGTTATTAGTATTGAATCCATTATTTAACATACCTAAAATTCTTAATAAATATAATTATGAATGAATTACGTTGATCAAATTTTATAAAAGCAAAAATTATATTTCAATTTTTTTTTGTAATTATAACTAACTTTTTATATTAACAAACTGTTAGATTTTGATGTTATAAGATTTAAAAAATGAGTTATTTTGATTATATAAAATATTTCAATCTAATACCACCTTATATTTGATTAAATCTTATAGCTCATTAATCATATTTCAAATTAATTTTTAATTATGAAATTGGTATTATAATAATTTAATAAATTCATTAAAGTTACTAAAAATGACTTTTTTAATATGTTTTCTATTTTAGCACATACTTAAAATTTTAATTATGTATTCTGATTAATTTTCTAACAATTATAATGATGCTACTTTGGAATTGAAAAAAAATTAAATATTTTCTATTTACCGATCGAATATGTCTTTAAATGCTCATTGTAAAATTTCAATAGCAGGTTATCGTGTACAATGATATTAATATAATGCCAATTATAATGTCACATAACCAAGCGTCAAGCATTTTAAAACTATAAATATTTAAATGTCATAGTTTTTATAAAAATTATCTTTTTAAGATTAACTGAGCCACCACTAAACAATTGTGATTATAAATTTTTTATGTACAGTAAAAACGTATAAAAACTTTTTTATAGTTTAATATATTTTTATAAAACATCTTCAAATTATAATTTTTGAGGTTTTCAAGTGGGAAAATTCACTTTAAAAATAGCGTGATAATTATTTTTAATTAACCGAAAACAATTAAAATTTTGTTTTAAAAAAGATTTTTCTACAATGTTTTATACAAAAAATATTTATCAATATATTAGTTATCTATATGAAATATTATTGTTATTATCTTCGCATTTTTCATTTCTTGTATCTGAAAGAAGCTCTTTATTTTAAATTTATGTGTATATATCAGAGGTGCTTCGTTAATTTGTAACGCTTTTTGTTATACATTATAAAATGGATAAAGCGGTTGAAAGATTTTTTTTTTAATGGAAATCGCGTATTAGCAGTAGTAATAACAGCGACAGTGGCAAACAGCAGCAGCAGCAGCAAACGTGTAAATAAATGTATGCATTTTCGACGAGGATGATACGAAACGTACCACGACGCTGTCAATCATGTCCTGGATCCTTTGGCGCGCATTCTCGACGCAATCGTCCTTACCGTTGATAATGCAATTACGGTCACCAGGACCCTCGTCTTTCATCTGTATGAACTGTATCTTAGCTCCTGTCTCCTGCTGCAACTTTTTTATCATATCGCCGCCTTTGCCAATAACCACACCGACCGCGGCTTTCGGCACGAATACCTAAGAGTTTGGGTGAGAATCAGCATTGCTTGCATGATGCTTATACATACATAAGTATACACACGAGGAAAAAGTAAACGTTGTTATTAAAAAAATGTATGTACTAAATAAAAACACTTTTTTTAATCAATAAATGCTTATTTCATTCAGCAAATCATATAGTTACAATAAACTAATGTCTTTTTATTTTAAAACGTTAACAAATTATTAAATATTTATTATTAACAAATAAATAGAAATACTAAAAATCTATCTAATTGGTTGAAATGCACATGTATTCTGTTTTATTAAAAAATATTTATCTTAATAAAAATTAGTTTCATTGTTACCAATATATGAAATGATATAAAAAAATTAATTAACTTGGATTACACTAATATAAATTTATACTATAATTAATAAAAAAAGAAACATATAAATTTTGAACAAGTCCCCTGTTGCATATAAATTATTTAATTTATTGTATTAATACATTATTATTACATAATATAAATTAGTAAATTTAGTTAATATAATAATGAATTAATAAATTTATTTTGTATATTTTAATTAGAGATTAAATTGAAATGAATTTTTTGCTTTCAAACTTCAAAAAACTAAAATTTTTAATTTCGTATGAAAAAATTTAGTATTAATTTTACTATTCTGAAATTGTTATTTTCGAGATTTTGTAAATAATTGAAAGTTTTAGTATTTAATTAATTTTTCCTTTTTTAAATAGAAAGTTAATCAATATTACTTTTGTTAAACAAGTTCAATGCTACAATTATTTTCTAATTTTTATTCTTGTTCGCAAAATCCTTAATAAAAAAAGTTTTAGATATAAGAGATATTATGAAGCACCTCTGATGATATAATTCATACAATTAAATAAAAACAGTAATTATTATTTTATTATAAAGGGAAATCGAAACACGAATTTGGTTTAATAAATTAAGTAATAAAATTTTTTGTTTTATAAGATAAAAGCAAAAATGAACAATGTATTTTGTTTAAAAAATATAAATATTTAATATCTTATAGTTGTATAGTTTAATAAAAAAAATTTAACGTAACATTAAACAATTGTTCTTAGTAATTTCGGGCAATTTATAATGTAAAAATAAATTGTGTAAGGTTTATTTTTACATTATTTTCTTATTATATAAAAACTACTTGACTTTGTTAACAAAAATTTGATCTAATATTGTCAATTGTCAAAGTTTGTAAAATATAAATTTAAGAAAGACTTTCTGGATTATATTTAATATATCTAGGTATACATATTAAAAGATACAATATTTGAATTATTTATTTTATTTATAGAATTTTAAATAAAAGAATGTACTTTTAATACTTTGTTATATAGCGATCTATGTTACGCTAAACATTTTACAAAATGAAATAATAACTTATAGTCAAATTAAAATATTATTTTATTACCTCAACTCCATCAGCACTTCCATCTTGATTGAAGCTGTTATTTCCAGAAAAGTTATGTCCAGAGGAATTTCTTGTACCTCTACTGTACATTTGCATTTCCTTTTCAGCAATTAATTCGTAAACTAACTGCTTAGCATGCTCTACTTTTTGTTGATCACCAGTAATTCTAAAAGTGTAGCATTAAAATATAAATAATTATTATTTTATAATTTTGTTGAATATTTTAAACATATTTAATATCTAACATGTTTTGGATCTGTTACTCTTAATGAAGATTACAATTATTTATAAATTCTATTAATTTAATCTTTTTTAGACAATATTGGAACCTAGTTTACTTATTCAGATCTCTTTTCTTAGGAAATTAGATTAACGTGAAATACCAAAATGATGGTTTTGATTAATTAGTAAAAAATAACACAAAATAAACACAAAATAAACACAAAATTATATAAAATTATTGAGCATAAATATCAACTGAGTGCAAATGTTATAGTGTTGTTTTAAAGAAATTTTTTACTTCTTTTATATTATAAATATAATTTATTATTTTTGATTAGCTGCATAATCTAATTTCAAACAATTTTTAATTTTAAAGATAGCAAAAGTGTACTTAATTGATAAATTAAATAGTTTCTTTAGTAACAGATGAATAGATATTAAACAGAGTATTTAATGTAAAATAATTTTTTCTGTATTTAAAAGTTGTTTAAAAATCAATCAAATAAAATTTACTGATTCATAGAATTATTCATTTAATATCTAATGTATTAAAATGTACTTTATCTTAATACTTATATATAAATTAATTTAATCAATATAAACAATTTCATTTTACACTTTGTTTAATATTTGATAGATATAGGTATTTTTATTCAAAATATAAATTTGCAAAAATATTTGAAAAATTAAAAATCAGTGTACCAAGTATATAATAAAATATTAAAGAATACTTGTAATAATCTTAAATATCTTAAATGAAAAGATTTTTTAAATGAATTTAAATTATTTCATTTTATAACAGTCACTGTTAAGTAAATTTTGAAAATTTTGAATATAATTAATATATTTCTTAAAATATAAGACTGAGTCTCATATAATATTCATCTTGTTATATATCAATTATAATAAATTGTTACAAATATTGTATTCAAATATATTTCTCTATGTACGATGCATTTAAAATAGTTTTCAATTTTTTAACGATCAGTTTTAAGTTGGATAAATTTTAGCCAATTAAAATTTACACATAAGAGGCATGAATTTCTTATGAATAAATGTTATACTTCGAAGCATCATACCTCACCTATAGTACTACAATATTGTATGTATACCAACAAAATCAAATAATTATTTGCTGTAAATTTTATTTTTATAGTTAATTAATTTGTGAATATACATTTTTTACACCAAATATTTGTTATTAAAATGTGGATACTCTACTTTGAATATTAAATGAAAAAAAAAACATTTACCTTAATGGTTTTTCCTGTTCTTGAGCTGGACCTTCTTGTATAACAACCATTTTTGCTCCAGACTTCTCTTGCAGTTGTTTAATTGTTTCACCTCCCTTTCCAATGATCAGACCGACTTTTGGTCCAGGAATCATAATTTCTACAAAACCTGGATGTCCAGACATCATTGATTGTGGCGTAGAAGAACTTGGTCCTGGATAAGGCGGATTGGTACCAGGTATTTGATCATCTCCTGGTTTGTTTCTCTGATTGACAATAGACAACACGAGTTCCTTTGCTCGACTGAAACAAACCAGCAGTCACTGTAAGCAAATTTTCAAATAGTATTTTTTTGTTTTAACCTAATATCATTTGATTACAAAACGTATAAATTAAATTGAATTAAAACATAAATACATGACTAGTATTCTTTTTATGGAATGCAATAACGAATCATTGGTAAATTACGTTTATACTTTTATATTTAATCACAATTATAGTTCTAAAAAATTAATTTTTTTCCCTATATAAAAATAACGATTATCATCGGTGTTACGATGAGCTGTTCCAAACAGACAAAAACATATCGATTATCTTCAGTAGTGAAAAATACGTCCCCATGCATTTTTCTATTTATTACTTTCTTCATCCAACTTTCTCACTCATATCCTCCCACTTCCCTCTCCAAACCCTAGTGAAAGTAAAAAGCTATTAGTAAATTCGAAAATCGTCAAATCAAAATTTCAAATAGATTCAGATGAGAATATCAGAGGCCATCTGTACTCACATTCAGGGCCAATATTTTTATTAGAAATATAAATTTTTAATTTCATTATTCAATACATGTGCTAAATCGACATTGTTTACGCTATAAATAAATCACACATAAGAAGATAAATATATCTGTAAATTATTTACATATTCATTGATTTTAAAAATAAAATCATATTAGTTTCAAAAATTATGCCAACAATTAAAAATATTTTAACTTCAAGTACTTATTTAACAACATAATTAGTAAATTATGTTAGAATTCAAATTTAAATAAATATTTGACGTAGAAAACATTTTTAATTTTTAATATAATTTTTGACATTATATATGTAAAATATAATTTATATATATTTACAATATGTAAATTTTTATTATTATATACTCTAAGTTATTTTTCATATTAAAATTAAATAAAATATTAATAATTCTAAAGAACCTAAAAATGTTTAAATAGAAATAAAATATTTTAAGTAATAATTATGGTAATATAATTATTGTTTGGTGAATAACAGAATAACCCTACTAATGAAAGCCAAACTTTAATGAATAGATTAACATAACTTTAAAAGATCCTAATAGCCTACTGGCTTCGACCGACTCAATACAGCTTTTGAAAATTAGGATACTTGAATTTCATGATAAAGTAGAGAAAATAATATATATATATATATATATATATATATATATACATATACACACATATCCCCCTCTCTCTCTCCCACTCCCCATATATATATATAT